CTGAATTAAGGCATGCTGTTTAAATGCCACATAATATCTGTTTTTTTTTTTATATATATATCTGAATGTCCATTGAGCACTAAGACCTTGAACTGGACATTTAATATAGACTGTAAATCAGAAAATAATCCTAAATTAAAAACAAATTATCAAAAAAGAAGTGAATTCAAATATCACCACCAACCACCGAGAAGACACAAAAGAGGTTCAAAGTTTAGGAGGCTTCTTTCTCTGCTTTCATTTGGCCGTTTCCATAACATCTTAAACAGCATATACATCAGTGGTTTAAAACTGTAGGCTGATAGGGAACACGGCCAATCGTTGTCTCCACACACATAAGCCCCAGAGCTTTCCAAATGATCTAAACTCTAAGAAAACACCATAAAACTAAACATTTCACGTGATTTACACATCTGAACTGCACTAGATGATAATTACGCCTGTTGGCTGAATATATAGATGGTGACAGATGTTAAATTGCGTTTTTAATATAATAGTATAACATAAATAAATGTTATACACATATGCCTCATATTTACACCGATTAGAGTTTCAGGTAACACTGAAATCTTTTCTGGGTCAAAGTGTTTCTCTCTGTCCACCACACATCCCCAGGAAACACAGAGGAGGATTGTGGGAAAGGGTGAAGTGTTGAGGAGGGGTCAGAGCCCTGAAACACAGAGCAAAATAAATACATGAACTATAAAAAAAAAAAATACAGTCAGAAAGTGCACACAAAGCAGGTTGTGCTGGCTGGCTTCCTTCATTAAATAAGCTGAACGTCTTCCGCTGGTTCCTGGAGCAACCCTCCCCCCGTCACTGCCCTGCTCTGACTGTTACAATGGACTCCTGGACGTGGAGCTACATGGGCAAAGCCAGCATGGGGGGAAGCCAAGCACTTCCTGCCTCCAGAGCTGGCAGAGAGACAAGCTCTCACGGGAACAGCGTGCAAGAGCAGGAAGTATGTGTATGTGTGTGTGTGTAAGTCGCCAGCACAGTTGGTCCAGCTCCCCATGAGACCCGGATGAGGAAAACTGGCTTTATGACAAGAGCAGATGTAAAGACATACTAGACAACAAACCCCTATAAGTTAGTGTATGCACACACACCAGGTCATCGGATGACCTTCAGATCAACCAACTGACCTTTGGATGCGTTTAAAATGTTTTTAGAAGAGATGAGAAATGACAGTGTGGTGTAAATCATTCTTACAAATTCAAGATCATTACATTGTCCACATTCAAATCAAAACAAAACGCAGTTCGCAACCTATTTTACTTCTGTAATCTGACATATTTCTGAGGATATTCAACATTAAAGAATATTTATAATAAAGAAAACTACTCTTAGCATTTACATTCACACCCTGGAATGATGCAATTTGAAATCTGCCATCTTATCTCACGGGTGGCGCTCAGTTTCACATCCACAAGGTTTTTTTTTTAGAGCCAATCGGCTGAGCCACAAATGTCAAGTGACTAATCACTGTAAAACCACTAGAAAATTACATTACAGCAACGCTTGATTGGCTCATGGCACTACAATAAGTACAGTCCCAAACCCTTCACTAACGACTATCCCGGCCTAAGTTGTGAAAGGCCGCAAACAAAGAAAAATAAACATTCATATACATTTTTCAAGCTTTATTAATAATAATAAAACATTTATCAAATTTAAATAAAGTTAAAGCTGCCACTGGCAAAACATGTACTACAATAAAATATTTGCGTGTATGTTTATATGAGCTGTGATGCAGCAGACAAAGACAAATGGCTTTTCGGGACAAAAGGTGTACAGGTAGTTCTGATACCTAGCAGCATGGACTAACAATAAAACAGAAAATTGAGAATAACATAGGCTGGATCTTTGATTTATCTATCTGGAATGGATTGGAATGTGGCTATGAAATGGGAGTGTTGAAATGTAAGAGCATACCATTCAAAATCAAAACAATTATTGCATTTTGATAGAAAGACAAGCTTTTTTCTTTAAAAAATAATAATAACATGCACTAAAGAATCGTGCACAATAAGAAAAGCAATGTGCTTTAAAAAAAAGTAGATTTCTTGTTGACTTTAAACCAAATCAGTTATTTTGTCTACCTTTAAAGCAAACTCATTCGTCATTTGATAGTGCTTCCTGTGGCACCGTCGAGTGTCTATCGCTGTGGGCTTGCGATTTTTTACCCTTTCTAATCTCATTTCCACATGGCTGAGATTCGTTCACAATATAGTCCGCTGAATGTCACAAGGCGGAACATCACAGGGACGAGACGATTCAGTCTCCCAAATCGAATAGAATCGTGACCTATTTCTCTTATCCAGCTAACATCTTTCAAACATATTCCCCCGGTGGCAATTGGCATACACGACCCAGATATCTAGACACTGAGCTGGAAGGGGGAAAAAACGTGAAGACATGAAAAAGCATTAAGAACCGTCTACAAGGGCATCGCAAAACCCCGTAGGTAATGTCACTACAAATGCAAAACTGGCATCACGGGAAGTTTTGCTTCCAGCTGCCCATGCATGAACCTCTCTGTATGTGATACATGCTACTCGATTGTAATATGGCACATTAAAGCACAAATGCTCCCTTGTTATAACTAAGCATGCAAAGCACATCAAAGTAGTGAAGCAATCCAGGAGAAATGCTTTGCCATCTGCCTTCATTAACTCCGCCTAAGCCACAGTCCATCTATCACACACTGAGTGCTCAGAATTCACGCTGATTATGTTTTACCATGGTGCACTGGTACAAGCTTCTCCTATGGGATGGTGGTGCTTGCTAATGCTTGGTGGTTTTAAAAACTCTCATGTATTAAATTTGGTGCATTAAATTAATCAAAAGTGACAGGCATTTATAATGTTACAAAGATTTCTAATTTAAATAAATGTTGTTCTTTTGAACTTTGTTCATCAAAGTATACTGAGTGAGAGAATAAAAAAACTATTTCCACAACAAAATTAAGCAGTACAACTGATTTCAACATTGCTCAGAGATGTTTCTTGAGCACTAAATAAGTACCGGTATATAAGAATGATTTCTGAAGGATCATGTGACACTTAAGACTGGAGTAATGATGCTGAAAATTCAGCTTTGCCATCACAGAAATAAATTTAATTTTAAATTACATTACCCTCAAAGATTTTGTGATCAGCAAGATTTTTTTATGTTTTTGAAATAAGTCTCTTATGCTCACCAAGGCTGCAATTATTTGATCAAAAACACAGTAAAATAGCAAAAACAGTTAATATAACAATGTTATTTTTTTACTGTATTTTGATCAAATAAATGCAGCTTTGGTGAGCATGAGAAACTTCTTTCAAAAACATTAAAAGAAATTACCAACCCTAGAATGTACATTAAAAGTGGAATCTGTGCCATACAGTATATGGGGAGCAAATTATCATAGAATCCTAGGGTTGGCCTCTCTCAACAGAACATATAAAAATCTAGTTCATATTAATTTTTCACACCAACCATGCTCTGATCCTCCACTGAAAGATTTCCATATCCTCTTTCCCGTGTCTCTGGTGTCTATCTGTCCTACAAAGCTCAAGAACAACCATAAAAAAACAGATCCATTATCCCTGGGAAGTTTAGTAAATGAATGAGGGAAAATATATCACAAGGAACGATATCCAAACACCTACAAGAAACATATAAGAAGAGGAAATGCTATTTGGATACTCCAATCCCACAATCCTGCACTCCTCAACAAAAGAAAGCTACATTGTTCTCTCTCCCTCTCTATTCTCACAAATGAACTGTGTAAGCAGGAAAGTGAAACAGGGCCTATTGATATGAATTAAGATAACACTGTAAGATAATGGCAGAGAGGGCAGGAGATTAGTCCCATCCTCTATTATGCTCTTAATGAAGTGTTACCAGATGTCATTCAACAGTGAATTCTCCAAAATATCATCTTCATTTTTCTATGAAAGCTACGATTTTAATTTGCCAAAGATTTAATACGGCTAAAACTAATTAAAACTGTGTCGCTTCAAATATTATCCAAAGAAATTCTGGGATGCATGTAGCCCTGAGCAAAATTAAGTCATGATTGTTTGACACGCTGAAAAGGTGATACACTGCCCTCTGTTGGTAGATGGAAACCCTGGACGTTGGACAGTTCGATGTCAGTTTCATCACTAATGTTATAAAATACAAAAAGATAAAACGGTGTCGGTCTAATAATAATAAACTGGTTGAGAGTGAATGAATGCAGTCAATACACACATTCAACAATTCTCATTAGCGTGATGCATATGGGTGTTTCTAAATCTCATCTGTGATTCTTCTAATTACTGTAATGCAGTAATGATGAGAGTCGTCCTGTTTGGACACAATATTATGTGTTTGGACACATAATGCAGTTGGGAATAGATGTAATAATAAATTCTAACAATATGTTATTTTGTTTTGCATTTTGAAAATTTGCAGTAAAATAATGAGAACTGCAGGAGAATTATTTATTTAACTGCACTTTTTATTTCTGGGGTTAAAGGGATAGTTCTCCCAAAAATGACAATTAGCCCATGATTTACTCACCCTCAAGTCATCCTAGGTGTATATGACATTCTTCTTTCAGACAATACAATCGGAGTTATATTAAAAAATGTCCTGGCTCTTCCAAGCTTTATAATGGCAGTTTCTGTTTTGAAGTCCATAAAAGTGCATCTATCCATCATAAAAGTGCTCCACAGGGCTCCGGGGGGTTAATAAAGGCCTTAATATTTTTTTATATAACTCCGATTGTATTTGTCTGAAAGAAGAAGGTCATATACACCTAGCATGACTTGAGAGTGAGTAAACGATGGGCTAATTTTCATTTTTGGGTGAACTATCCCATGACTTTTTTGACAGATTTTCACCCCAGCAGCTTCAAATCAGGTCTGACAAACCATATAAATTTGTATTTTATATCAGTCATTTGTATCATCAATATGTCCAGAGAGCCTTTAAACTACCCACAAAGAACCATTAGTCATACTCACAATTTCTTCAGGGCTTTGATCACATGATTCATGAATGAATCCTGAGCCAGTTTTCCATGTGGCTGATGTCTGCTGACCTCCTGGACAGACTCATATACTCTCAGCTTCACTGGAGGTTGGCTGCCAAGAGGAATAGAGAAGATCAGATGATTTCTCATAAAGTTTATATCCATCACTTGCCAATGAATAAATGAGGATATTCATGACAAAGTGTAAGTGATTGCATGACAAGACTTCAAACATGCAGACGGAGATATTACGGTAACACTTTACAAAAGCCTTAAGTATAATGCATTATAAAGGTATTTCATAATGCATGTTATAATTTATAAAGAATTGTAACCAAAGTTAACATGCATTATAATATTTGCAGATTTCTGGTTGCATCTCAAATTGGTTGTTTGTCTTGTTTTAATGTATTATACTTTCTAAAGTCATGTTCAATGAATAGATCAGTATTAGGTCACATAGGGTCCAATTCTCACTATTAACTACTTACAACAACTTTTGCCTCTAACTCCTAATAACTGTTTATTAATAGTTAGTAAGGTAGATATTGGGTAGGATTAAGGGATGTAGAATATGGCCATGTAGGGCAGGCATTAATATGTGCTTTATAAGTACTAATAAACCACCAATATCCTATAACATGCATGCTAATAAGCAACTAGTGAACATTGAAGTGTAAACTTAAGTGTTACCAAGGATTATAATGTATTACAACTGTGGTTACAAATATTCATGAGACTGTACAATAAAAAAATACTTTTATAAACAGGGGTGCACATAAGATTTTCTGTCTGGTTCTCATGAGAGCACCTGGAGATTCGGTTTGGTGCTCACACTGCACGTGACCCATTAAATATAACTATAAAAAATACAATAAAATAATTAATAATAGTATTACTGCATTTTATTTAGTTGTTTTTTTTAATAAAGTAAACAAAATAATAAATAAAGTGTGATAATACTATTATATTTTTAAATAAAAAAATGGATTAAATAAAAATACAATTATTTTATAGTATACTTAAAAAATACAATGCTAATATTTACCTTTTCCTTTTTTCTTCCTTTTATATGAATGTTCAACATTTTCAAAACTAAAATCAGCAAGCTTTTATTTTGGCGGGTTGCACTACCGAGTGAAGTGACTGAGTCAGTGAATGTCACAGTTTCGCGTTTTGCTCTGAAGCTGGCAGATTTATGCATTCGGTTTTTTACAGTATTACAGTGTCGATCTAAAACGATGTGCATTAAAACCCGTCAACCATGTTGGTACGCAAATGAGCAGTATGCAAATTATTATTATTATTTTTTTTTGGTCGCGCATGCACACCACGTGCACCCGTTTATAATGGATAAATTCTTTAAAGGAGCTGTATGTAAGAAATGTTTTTTTAAATAATCATAAAATGGCCCTGATATGTTACTAGACATTAAGAAATCATGTTCATTTCAAATACTTATATCACTGACAACAGTAGTTCAGCCAGGATATTGTCATTTAAAAAGTGAAGTTGTAGCCCTCAACTGATGTTGATATTGTCATGTTGTGTTTTGGTCTGATGCTCCACCCTCCACCGATCTACCAATCACGAAGTCAGTAGTGTTGCAGCATCCGGGTTGCCAGCTCTGCTCTAGTTACCACAGCTGCATATTCAAACGTGTTGGATAAAAAAATGTTGGATCCTGCAGCCTATCTGGCAACCTCGAGTCAGGGGGGAGGGAGAGGGGATAAGTAATTTGAAAGTGATTGTAGTACCAGTTCTGACCACAATCTTACATACGGCTCCTTTAAGTAAAGTCTAACCGATATGACTTAAAGACAATTTCCATACTTTAATTTGTCTGATTTTATAGTTTTAATGGCTTTATATTTTTCTAAATTGTGGGAAAAGTAATAATAAAGAATGAGTAGGTGTGTCCAAACTTTTGATTAACAGCATAACTAAAACCTGCAGCCATATTAAGCAGTGCATTCAGTCAGGATTACCTTAACCACAGTCACAAAGTTGATTTACAAGATAATCACTCGCCATTTTTCACTTTTACCAATCCTTAAATAACCCTTCTTTGTCAGCCCTATTCAAGACGCACGATTCCAACTGGGAGCAGATCTATATTCCAGCCAATTAGAGCCATGACTCATATGTCACTACCCGCAAGAACATTCATTTTTGCTGCTCCAGCAGGCTGTCGAGAAGACTGTAAACATTACTCAGAACATCTCTGAGTGGGACTACAGTGAGATTGAAATGACTGACGGCTCCTCAGTTTCTGCGTCAAGCCTCTGCAGGGGTGCGGCCCACATGTCTTTTAGAAAACACTTCCTGTTGTGTGACTTTCACTCTACAAGATGTGACTTTCCAAAAGGACACATGGGCAATTTTTAGAATGACGCAACTTTGATGTAGGGCCTAAAACTCCCCCTGCGCACTCTGATCACAGTAAAGTTACAGAGCAATACAGTTTTTCGTTCATCCCCAATATGCAAAAAAATAGTAATATTACAACTGAATGCAGATGACTGCTAAAAACAAACTGAGTTTGATTTCAAAGGCGAATACTGTTCAAAGGTTTGTGGTCAGTAAGATATTTTTTAAGAAATTATTCCTTTTATTCAGCAAGGATACATTACACTGATCAAAAGTTACATTTAAAATGTTACAAAAGACTTTTATATCAAATAAATACTGTTCTTTGGAACTTTCTATTCATCAATGAATCCTGAAAAAAATTCGAATAAATTCAGCCTTGAAGTGAGAACCACACACTTTAGAACCATTTTAAACTACATCGAGACCCATCTGCGTCATCTTCTCAGTTCTCGGGCATGCGTCGTGGCGCTCTCGCGAGCTCACTCAGAGGCCCACATGGAAGAAAATGAATAGTTGAATAAAGTCGTTAGTTTGGGGGGGGTTTTGCACAAAAAAAGTATTCTCGTTGCTTGATAAACTTAAAGGGCATATTGCAGGTTAGAGGACCCAACGAGTCAATGTATAGAAAAATAATGTAGGAACTAGATTTTCTTTAAAATATACTTATAAATACGCTACAGAAGCTTCTGGAGTCGTTTTTGTGAGAAAATTTTACTTCCGTGTCTGAAAATGTGCGTGGCGGGCGTGACGTAATGGGCAGGAGAGCGGTCGATTCAAACAACAGGAAAACAATGGATTCGCAATGACATTTCGGACGCTGAGGAAATACTTACTCGTATGACGGACCACAGCCATACAATTATGAGCCTGCTATGCTGCCAAGAGAGCAGGACAGGCCAGGACTAATGTCAGACAGAACGGTCAGAGACACCATGAGTTGTGGTGTGAGAACCAGTGGAGAACAGCCCAAGACAGGTGCTTAGTGAGAGACGTGTTTATAGATATACACGTTCGCTAACGATATGCACTTTGCTCACAATATTGTACAGATTATTACCATCGTATATCAGGCCAGCAGACATTAGTATGTTTAGGGTAGATTTATACTATTACTTGTATAAAAACTATACTTGAGTATATTTCTATTGTACTAAAAACATACCCAAGTACATTTTTAATACATATTTTTCACCTGGGTTATAACATAAACAGAAAATTAAAGATTTGAATATTTAAACAACCTGAGTAATTTTGTTTTTCAATTACAATTTGCCTCTATTTAGGGCATGACTACCTATATCACAGTATTTCATGCCATTGGTACAGTATTAGACGATCAATATTTTTGCTTCGGCATCCCATGTTGAACTCCATCATATCGCCGGGATGATAATCCTCCGATCTGAAGTGAACGCTACACACGACCGCGTTTCTCGAAGCCGATGCGGAAGAGAAATCCCGTCGCTTCACCTGCACAAACCGCACCAGGCACGAAAGATATACAGATTTTCTTAAAGATATAACGATTTTCTTGTTATGGAAACCTGTGGACTCGATGTCCTGACAGGCCGGAGTTTTTGCAACCTCCACAAACAATTTACCATGACGATGATAAATTAAAATACAAAAACTACCGAAAACACACAGACTCACGGCCGCTCTCACTGAATACCAGCCTACTCTGCACTGAGCCGAGGCTGAGGCTCCCTGGTGTGACGTAAAATGACGCGATGTTGAAAAAAAAAGCCGTTTTTACGAGCAGTCCAAGAAACGCTCACTTTATCTACTAAATTAGTGCCCTTATGTCGTTTAAAACATTTTAAATCCTGCATTAACTTTTCATATGGTATTTTCATACAAGGTTATATATTAATTTAGTTTTTTTTTACCTGCAATATGCTCTTTAAGGTTGAGCCACTGTAGTCACTTGGACTATTTTACCGATGTCTTTACTAACTTTTCTGGGCCGGCAGATGCAATTACCTAGCAGCCAATGGAGGAGAGAGACAGCTCTCAGATTTCATCAAAAATATCTTAATTTGTGTCCCGAAGATGAATGAAAGTCTTACGGGGTTGGAACAACATGAGAGTGAGTAATTACTGATAGAATTTTCATTTTTGGGTGTTTTCGTCAATCACAATGCACTGGTCAGCTGTCCAATCAGAGCACTGGCTTCTCAGAAGGAGAGGCTTTGTAGTGTTTCAGACAGACTGGGAATAAAGGCGCTGCAATAATGTACAGTACGTATGTGAAAAGCATGTAAACCAATTCTAGTTCACCCAAAAAAAACAAATTTATGACCTTTTAAAATATCATTATAAGGGACATTACAAACAAAAAACGGTCCCGAATAAAATAGCTTACTTTCATGTGTTTGTAAAGTATCTTTAATTTGATTACATTTGACCTATGTGGATCACTGTTTCATTTATAAGGTAATCTAATCTAATTCTGAGCTTTACTAAGTTTTCTTTGCTACAGTGTTTACTACTAAGTTTTGCAGCTGAATAAACTACTTCTCCAGGTAAGAGGATTACGGCATTACCTGAAACTGATCGTGAAAGGCTCACTGAAACTAAGAGGATGAGTTACACTTTATTTTAGACAGAATTACTAGGAATGGTATGGAAGCTTGTTTCCGCTACTGACATTTTTTTTTTTTTTAAATAGGTATTTGACATTTTATCTTACAAAGACTTTTTTTCTCAGAATTGCGAGTTTATATCTCGCAGTTACCTTTTATATTTACTATTCAGTGGCGGAAAATAAGCTTCCATAGAATGCCGATCTTGCATTGGAAATAACTGACTCCGTAATGTCTGCCCCATAGACTTCAATGCAAAACTTTTTCCTTAGTGAAACTAGTTTTAGTGGTATGATCTCATGATATGTACTGTGATTACCAATTAGTAATTTGTATTAATTAGTCATTTTTTAAATATTAAAGAAATAGTTACTCACATCTTACTCTTGAGTTGTATTCTGGGTAAAGATGTCTGAGGGCGCAGGAATATTCCTTGATAAAGTTTCATGAATTTTTTATGGGCCTCTTCAGTAGAACTGATACTGTGAAGAGAAGCGAGACTGTATTTTACCTTCTTTTTTTTTATGGAATATTAAAAACACTAGTTTAATAAGTTCACAAGCAACTAATACATTCGGAAATGACAAAACTTAATTTACAATATTAATGACCATTCCCACCTTTCATTTAGCTTGTTTAGCTGTGCCAGCTGTGTGTAGTCGATGTCTGAGAGTCTTTGCTCAGCTGTGATACAAAGTATGAAAGTCACTTTTGGCAGATCAGTAACACAAATTTTTGTCCTGTTTTGTGAAGATCAGGGCTAGTTGTCACAAGGATTATATCTAACTGTTATGATTACACAAATGTGTGTAACATTAAATCTCTAGACATGGTTTTATATGCTGATTTTAAACACCTGTAAAAACTCTCTTAAAATTAGGATGCGAGTTATTTTAACACAATTTACTGCAATAATGATTTAAAGGGATAGTTCTCCCAAAAATTCTGTCATCATTTACTCAACCTCAAGTTGTTTAACACCTGTATTTCTTTCTGTTGACACAAAAGAAGATATTTTGAAGAATATGGGTAACCAAACAGTTGATGGGCCCCATTGACTTCCACAGTATGAGGAAAATAATGCGCTAATATTATGTTTGTAAGACTTCAGAAATCAAATCTAAAGCTTATTTTACCAAATTAAAACATTTAATAGACTGTGTGACATCCAGCTCCGTCTCCTCTATCTGGTCTATGCAGAATAGCCTTGTCATTTACAAAAGGGAGTGATCCCAGCCTATAATATGAAATAAACGGTCTATGATATGTACAATACAACTGACTCCGTACATTATTAAACATGTGATATAAGAAATGTCTCTGTACCTGAACGTCGGTATCGGCGCATGACTGTTTGAAGTGTCATTGCAGCAAATTATAACAAGACGATTCAGTTTGGCCTGTTGCTGTGCGTCATGGCAACAGCCATGTAACTTACTCATATTACAGACAGGTTATCGTGTTAAAACATCATTAATAAAACGTGTAAGTGAATTATTAGTCTCTTGTTGTTGGGATGGCACGCTTCCACACGCAAAATAAAAAGCGACAACTGTTGACACCTCAAATTTAGCAAGTTAATGAGGTAAAAGTGGGCTAACAACTCAGTAAACAAGAAGTTCATATTGAGTAACTTATATTTCAGACACAAATAGTTCAAGTTAGTTTGTCTATATTTGCTTCGCCAACAAATCTACTTCCAAAGGAAGGCAAACAGAAAGAGTCGTTGCGTGTCGAATCAAATGATTTTGAACGAATCGGTTGAATGAATGACTCATTGAGTCACTCATAAATGAATCAGTGTTTGTGAACAATTCTGTTGAATAAATTATTTAATGACTCGCTCATAAAGACGGTAGTTTTTCGCCACCCACTGGCGTAAAGTAACGTGCGAAACAGTCACCGAAGAAATCAAAATCAAACACATAAATAAATACATTTTTGTTAATTGAAAGAAAGCTGAAATAAAAAAATAAAATATAAATATTAGATTAAACTAAAGGGAAAATTAGAAACGTTGCTTTGACATTTGAGTTTAAGTAGCAAATAAAGATAAATAAACCCCAAATTGTAATATTTAAAAGGAACAAAAACAAAATGACAAAAGTATTTTACAAAATTTCTAATCAATGAATTTAACTCAAATTACAATGAAAACTGATATATAAAAATAAAAGCTAGTTCAAAATATTAATAGACTATAATAGTAGGCTATATAAATAATACTAAAATAACACATTTGACATTTGCATTTTAAACTAGATTTTAAAAACATTTTAATCATATTTGGTTAATAGCAAATAAGGATGACCAACAACTTGAACGTATAGGCTGTCCTTAAATAATAGAAGGTGAGTAACTATTCTATTCTTTTTAAGCCAGCTGAAACAGAAATATAAAATGAACATGTCTCTATACTAAATTTTAAAAGGGGAAAGAATAAAGCGATGGAAGGCCTGTAAGATCAAAGACGTCTTTTCTTCTTCGTGTTAGCCTTGTCTGTTCCCTATGAAACCACAACAGTAAATCCCCTCAGCTGAACTAAAAGCTTTAAGGTTTAATTAAGTAAGTGGTCCATCGCTCCATATGAGCCGAACTAATCCAGCAGAACAGCTCACGGGTCCACCAGTGAAATCTGCTCAAAGCTATGACAATTTACTGATATTCTCTGAACTGTATGGAGACTTAAAAAAGGCTGCGAACACTACAGAAACATACTGTGAATCAAACTATATGGTTTATATTGACCATAAGCACTTTTACTTCTTGTTTGTATGACTTTTTCTATATTTGACATGTTTTATAACTTTATAAAATAGTATAATAGCTAGTTGTACAACAATGAAATATTAAAATATGTATCAAATTTGTGGCTGTATAGGCATGTTTTGGAACGCGGTCTGCAGATGACAGACACTGTGATGATTTGTGGCCTCGACTCACTTCTGAGGTCTGTTTGCAGATGGGTATTAGTGGTCTAAAAGTGCTAATTGCATCAGGCAGCAACATTAGGAGGACTGGAGCCGTGGTCACACTAGAAGGACAAACACAACAGCGATCTCATCAGACGCTGCCTGCCATGTTCAGCAAGCTGAAGAAGATCATCGGGGGTCCAACTGTGGGTCCCACCCCGGCCTCAGCCTCTGGGTCGGCCCCTGCACCGGCTCCTGTCCCGGCTCCTGCCAAGGTAAGTACAACTGGCACGTAATTGACTTTATGAACATTTTGGTACTTTTTATCTCAAGCATATGTAATAATCAACTTGCTAACATCACAAAAATGTAGTAAACTTTCTAGCTATTAATTAAAATGTTTTTGGAAAATTTTGCTCACAAATAATGATAAATGCTTCTTATGCTGCTTATTTATTACATTTTTAAATGCATTTCTGTATATGGCACATTACTGTGTAAAGCATATGTTTTCTGAAGCATTTAATATATTAAGTAGTATATATAGTCTATACATGTATAATTTACAAGTAGGCTATTGTATATTTTTATATACACATATATAATGTGTAATGTATATATAAATGTACAATAGAAAAAATAGAAAAATTGTTTGTCATATATACATATATAGATGTGTTGTTTTAAAATCATTTTATTATGAAATATGATTATATATGTAACAATTTTACAATATTACAATTATTGTATATTTTTATATACTTTGCTTAACTTTATAAACATGTATGGTGGTGCTTTGCTATTATGTCAAACACCATGTAAAGGACCAACAGTGTTCTAACATCATTTAAAAATGTAAAAGTTATAGCTTAAGGTGCTGGGGTAATTTAAAATAACAGAAGCCATCATATGTCATTTATGAGAATGTTTTCATAACTGCAAAACCGCTCTGGGATAATGATCAATCTCTGCACCCAGCAGGAAGAAAAACCTGCAGACAAGGAAAATGAAGACAAGAAAGATGATGAAGGCCCTGGTAAGTCGTCTGTTATCATTGTAATTATCCTCTAAATTATCTCATCATTCATTGCTTGAGCACCTGCAGAAGATATGTTCCAGATGAGAGGCATTTGAAATAATTCTTACAGTCTGTCACAGGTTGCTTAGCAGTAATGTTTGTAATGGCTTCTAAATACCTTATAGGCCCAGCTCCAGCTCCAGCTCCAGCTCCAGCTCCAGCTCCAGCTCCAGCTCCAGCTCCAGCTCCAGCTCCAGAACCAGCTGCAAAGCCGACGGCCCCAACTGCAGCACCAGAACCGGCCCCCAAACCAGAGGAAAAACCTGCGGACCCAGCCAATGGCCAGCCACCTGCTGAAGGGTAAACTAAATACTAGAAACATTTTATCTGATAAATCCTGTAACAGTTTGGTCAAAAGGTTTTTAATATAACGGCAAGAGTAAATAGGGTAGATTTTGATTTCATTCACTTATATAAATCATTGTTTTTGCTACGCAAGTGCCAAGAGACACTCTTGATGTCCTGAGTGCAATTGATAAGCTTTAATTAATAAAGGCTAATTAACCAGGCTCTCGTTGTTTTGGAAAGGACTCACAGTAATTGACAGAACAGCATGAGAGTAAGTTGCCTGTGCAAACATTAGATCCAAGACTGTCCAATAGAGGCATGGAAGATTATGAGACCATGAGCTGAGAGGAGATTAAAAGATTTACGTTGTGTTTGATATAAGAAGATCTCTCGAGCTACTTAAGTTTAGAGAACAAAAAATAATGTTGACACCAAAATGGGGAAATGCCATAGTGGTTTTATGATGGATTTGATATGATCCTTAAAATATATTCACATTCACTGGAACTGAATTTAAATGAGACTTATTTTAAATAATAAAAAATATATATATATATATATCATAGACTGATATATATGATGACACGCATAATAACTCTATATAATAACTCTATATTATAATCATAATAATAACACTGGCTCTTCAACCCCCCATGTTGTAATGCTCCTTCCTGACCAGTAGAGGTCAGCATATATACAGGCAAAATACGGATCAACAGTTGCAGGTCCTGTAAAAACATCATGTTGATCAGTGTTTATTAGACCTACATATGCTGATATATGCTGCCTTTCAACTCAGGTAATCTCACAGTCCATTTCAACTTAGTTTGTATGAAGAAACAAAAGTCGTGTTTACACGGATCCAATTGGAAGCTTATGGGTCAACGTAAAAATACGTAATTAAAAGCATTTCGGCTTCAAAGCTCAAACAACACATTTTGTCATGAAGAATTAATTCGTTCACGGTTTACAAAACTGTGAGCATTATAAGTGGTAAAATGAAACTAGAGTGATAATTGTACTCACTTTTACTCACTTTAATTTTAAATCCGTCATTACAATTTCTGTCAGATACGCATCCTGTTTGTTTAACTTACATAGCTAGAGGAAAATCAACCGGAAGTTACTTCATTCGCTTAGAAAGGTAACGTTAGTCATATCGCAAGGTCGCTACACACAGCATAGATAACATTTATTTTTGCATTGAGGAATTAATATAAACACTATTAAAATAGCACAAGGTTTAAATTTCTACTTTTAAAATTCCTATAATAACTTATTTTTGTCCCATAGACTTCCATTGTAAGTCCATTACCGTAAGCATAATTCTGTTTTTCCCTGAGGGACAAATCTGAATTATTTTCTTTAAAATAAGCTTCTCCTCCCAAGCCACCGTCCCCCTTTTATTTAGTGTGACAATTTCAGATGTAATTTTGATATGTAATAGTGGCAGTTACTTATTATATTTTAATACATTAATTTCACCTTCTTGTCATTCTCTGTGTGATTGTTATAGTGAGGTGGCCCCTCCCCGGCCCATTGTGATAAGTGAGCATTTTGATGCTCAACTCATCGAGATTGTTAAGCGGTACCGCCAACGGACTGAACAGTATAAAGAAAAGGTCATTGACCCCTATGCATCCTCCCCAGAGCGCAGCCCACCTGTCAGTGAGTACAAATCAATCCTATGCCTCTGCAATTAATGACTACTACAGTTGAATGATACGTAAATGTTACATATTGCCACAAAGCATAACATGAGATTCACCAATAAGTAAATACATAACACACCAGTTATTTTGTGCTTGTTCTAGCACCCGTCCTGAGAAAAGACGACTACCTGAAGAAAGAGGAGGAGAGGAAACGAAAAGAAGAGGAGGACAAGAAAAGAAAAGAGGAGGAGGAGAAGAAAAAGAAAGAGGAGGAGGAGAGAAAAAAGAAAGAGGAGGAGGAAAGGAAGAAGAAAGAGGAGGAGGAGAAGAAAAAAGAGAAAGAAGAGAAGCCTGTGGAAAAGAAAGAAGAAAAAAAGGAGGAGAAGAAAGATGACCTGAAGAAAGAGGAGCCAGCCAAAGAGGACAAGTCCATCTGCCCAAAAATGAAATGCACCTTTGTAGATTTCCTTCTGAAGCCCATCGAGGACAGAGTGGACAAAAGACTGGGCGTCTCCATCGATCCTTTCACAGGTTACTCCTCACAAACATGCCAACTTTTAGTATTAAAATCTTCAGATTTATTAAAAAACGACCACCATGTTTCCACGTTTTTCTTCTGCTCTTGTGATTTCCATTAGACCTGCGGTATATCGCTTGGCTAAGCGTGGTGACCATTGCCTTTAACTATAACCTGTGGTTCATACCAGTCCGTATGGCCTTCCCATATCATGACCCGGAGGTCATTCCATTGTGGTTCACCTTGGACATCATTGCTGACATCATCTACGTCATCGACATGATCGTTTTCCAGCCTCGACTGCAGTTTTGTAGGGGAGGAGACATTATTGTAAGAAAACATTCATTTTTAACACACTTTATTGATAGTTTCATTTTATGTTTACAGTCTTTTCTGGAAAATATCTATTTATGCTTATGTAATTATTTTATATAAAGCAATGTTTAATATGTATTCCCCCATAGACTTCTATTGTTAGTGCACTAACATTTTTTTTTTATTTCATAATTTTCTTTCAGTATGACAGAGTTGTGATTAAAAAGAAATATAGGGAATCGGCAAGATTTCAGGTATTGCAGACGTTCATCTTTAAAATAGAATTTTATCTCCCAGTAAAAAGCCACAAAGTATTTATTTATTATTTCCTGCCGTTTCAGAATGATCTAATATCCGTCCTGCCTTTGGACCTGTTATGTTTCCTGTTTGGATACAAGTCCGTCTTCAGGATCAATCGTTTGATGAAGGTAATGAACACTGCAGTTTTTATAAATGCTTGTGTTTTGAAAGAAGCCGTTATTGGCTATGAGATGCCTAATTATTCATGAACTGATTATATTTTTGAATATGCACTAACCTTTGTTTTGTTTACATTTTCTCCTTAAGTCTGAATCTTTTTTTGAGTTCAGTGACCGTCTTGAAGGTATAATGACCAAAGCGTACATCTGGAGGTGTGTGTAACCACGTCTTTACTAGTTAAGAGTTGATCTTGCTCTAGCAGGGATGGGAAAACATTTGACAATTTACAAAATGACTACATTTCATTAAAAAAATTGGAATGTTGTTTTGCTCCTTTTTGAAGATTTTGAGGAAAGTTAGAGCATTGTATATTATTTCACCATGGTCCAAAAACGTTAATTTTGTAAATTTAACAAATAAATGAAACGCACGTCTCTGTTTTAACTTGATTCCATTATAATTCGACCTCCTCAAATTCGAATTAAAATTCTACATCCTGTTTGCTCTCTAAATTCAAGTTCAGGAACTGAAGTGGAATTTAAAAGATATTCTTAATTCAATAAATCATTGTAACCACAATTATCCTATGCTCTTTTTTTAAGAGTAATTCGCACTATTGGATACCTGATGTTTATTCTCCACCTCAACGCTTCTATTTACTATGTGGCATCTGACTACCAGGGGATCGGCACGACCAAATGGGTCTACAGTGGAGATGGCAGCGCGTATGTAATTCCATATACCCTTCTGATTCAGTCAGAATATGCAGATTTGTCTATTTTTTAAAGGTAAAGTGTGGTAACCACTAGCCATGTTTTCATCCACTTGTCAATCGAATTATCTAAAGTTCGGTAAAAAACCTCATGCGAATAAAGCTGGTGAAAGGGTGTTTCCATCCAACGGCTTTAAAGCGGATAAAAACCTGTGCGTAATGACGTCACATGCTGTTTTGCGATCAAATTGGTAAATCGAATTGATTTGAGACATGTTAAGGTGTTTCCATTCATTTTCTCACCGAATTGCACAACATTCAAGCCAACATTTGCGAACAAAGTTTTACTAGGCAAAATGGATCGCGCCATAATAACGTTTCCATCCGCGTTTATCGCATAATAGTCCAGTCATTTTATGAAAAAAGGTTGAACAAATTGCAACAGAAGCAAACTCAACTGATTTTGTATCCTCAATATGTCCTGAGTAAGGAAAAAAAAGCCCCGAAGAATCGCATTAGGGGAACATTTCGAAAAAGACCCAAATATACCAGAAGTATCCCATTCATACGCCTATTCATTCTTTTTCTCACGTGAAAAGGGTAAAAAATGTAACCTTTAGATATCATCATGAAATCATCATGAGTTCATTACTTACATCAAGACATACAAAAAATGTATTTTTTACAAGTTTTTTTAAATTGATTGTTAACATGGACAAACGGTGCATCATATAATTACGTATTAGCTAATTTGCATAATTACCCAAACAGATTTAAACATTGGGTATAGCAGGTGAAAATGTTTTTTTGAATCTTGTTGACATAACAGTAAACTATTTAATATTAAGGTCTGAATGGAACCCATTTAGGCTACCCATGAACATTAATACAGGAAGAAGTACTTTAGAAACCAGCCTTTATTCATTATTATTGCAGAGATGGGGTTTGGGCATTGAGTGCATTGTGTACGTAATTAGATTTTTTGATCCAGACACTTTTTATTTCACCTACTTTTTGTCTTCTGCATTCTCCTTACCCGTGTCTCCTGTTCTTCCCTCAGACTCATCCCCCAGAAACAGTCCCACTGACCCAGCCCCAAACCCCATCTCTGCCATAATAATTAATAAAGGCTGGTTTCTAAAGTACTTCTTCCTGCATTAATGTTCATGGGTAGCCTAAATGGGTTCCATTCAGACCTTAATATTAAATAGTTTACTGTTATATGTCAACAAAATTCTACAAGACATTTTCACCTGCTATACCCAATGTTTAGATCTGTTTGGGTATTTATGCAAATTAGCACATATGTAATTAGATGATGCACCATTTGTCCATGTTAACAAACAATTAAAAAAAACTTGTAATACATTTTTTGTCTGTCTTGATGTAAGTAATCAACTCACTGATTTTCATGATGATATCTAAAGGTTAAAATTTTTACCCTTTTCACGTGAGAAAAAGAATGAATAGACGTATGAATGGGATATATTTGGGTCTTTTTCTAAACTTTCCCCTAATGGGATTCTTCGGGGCTTTTTTTCCTTACTCAGGACATATGGAGGATACAAAATCAGTTGAGTTTGCTTCTGTTGCAATTTGTTCAAGGTTGACCCCCATTTTGGCTTAAAATGACTGGACTATAAGCCGTATATCGATCAAGATAAAATCCGATGAGACAGATCGTATTTCATTTGAGTCGATATTCATGAAATTCAATCGAATTTTACTGTTTCCATAAGGCATTTTTCATTCGATATCACTTAATGCGGATAAAAACGTGTGGATGGAAACATAGCTACTGACAGCTTCAAACAGAAAGGCAAAAATAAAGATCGATTCAAAGAGGTTTCCCAAACACTCTCCCCATCTGTCATTCGTTGAACAAACAAAAGCTCCGCCGCTAAACCCATGCCATTGGCTGAGCCAGTGCTGCTGTACAAGAATATGTGTTCTACAAATCAACCTACAAATTGCTTGTTTATAGTCTCAGCATATTAAACTGGGACAGATGAAAGTATTTAAGGTAAAAAAACAAAACACAAAACATGCATTACCTTTAAATGAGCTTGAAATGACAATTTAATGTTGTTATTTTTTTTTTTTCTTCCATTCACAGTTCAAGTTTAAGCAATAAATTGCAAGATTTAGTAATTGCAGGTTTTGGGGGTTTTTCATATTCTCGTAGCTACCTGAGCTGTTTCTTCTATGCGGAGAAATCCCTCCTGATGATCGCAGAACTTCCTTTCCCTGAGACCATGTTCGGTCAGATCTTTCAGATGACCAACTATTTTTTTGGTGCCCTATTTTTGTCCATCATTCTTGGCCAGGTAGACATTTTGTCTCCAAAGCTTTTGTCTGTAAAGCTTATGCTCCTGAAGTGCTTCGTCGGTTTGTTTTTTTGCTCAGTTTTGAGGTCACGCCCCACGCCCCATGCTTGGCTTTCTTGCTTGGCCTTGGCTTTGCTCAGTGTTTGATGTCTGCTGTTTTGACGTTGTTGTAATACGTTTGAATCTCTAATACTGATTCAGTTGCGAATGCAAGATGTTTTTATTCTTTACCGACTGAATTTTAGAAGCCACTAACTTTATCTCTCTTTTCCTCTTTCGCAGGTACTTGCGCAGTTATTATTTTGCTGTGCGGACTCTGATCAACATTGGTGGCTTGCCTGAGCCTCACACAGTCTTTGAGATTTCCTTTCAGTTAATAAACTTTTTCGTTGGTGTCTTTGTCTTCTCAAGTTTGATTGGACAGGTACATGATGTGATGATGTAAACATCATGAGCTCCTCCCCCTAATCCCAGGCAGCCAATCATATAGTATTCAGCTCTACCTGTTCTTCCGTCAGTAACCATGTTGATTTATTGTTATGGTGTTCCTGTTGGCTTAGTATATAGGCTTAGGTATATAGTGCCACATCTTTACCAGATGTTAGGGATGCACACAATATTGAGATATTTTTATTTATTTGTTTGTTTGTTTGTTAGTTGTTATGACTATATCCGAGTGAAATGGCTTTTCGAACATGAAAAAATGTAGGGCAGGACTTCATTTTGGACATCGGGAACTGATCGGATTGTTGTCTGTGAGTGACAGTTTGCCCCGCCCTCACGTCACTAAACATGTCATCAGAGAAGAGAAGTCGTTAAAAGAGACGTCGTTAGGTTATTTTAATTAAAGATTACGGGGGCATTTAAACAAAAATAATGAAATGCAAGGATAAATCATTTATAATAAATACTGCAATATTCTATTTAAAGTCACCATGAAATCTAAATTGACCATTTTTTTAAATACATTTTTAAACCAATTTTTTTTTATTAATAAAAAAACTACACTATTATTGTATAACAATGTTAAATGTAATCTTTAGTAAATCCCAAAATGAATATCCATTTTTCATGCTGTACATTATATGTTGTGATGCCTAAATTTATTTGTAGCATTTCAGACGGTTGATTTTAGTTTTTAGTATTGTATTTTGAATTTAATTTGACAAAATAGTGTATAATTTTAATATAGGTCTTTCATCAGTTATCGACCATAACATGAAATTTAATTATCGGTTTATCAGTATCAGTTAAAAGGTTAATATTGGTGCATCCCTATCAGATGTATAGACATTAAAGGGATAGTTCACCCATAAAGGAAAATTCCTCAACCTCAAGTTGTTCCAAACCTGTATGAATTTCTTTCTGCTGCTGAACACAAAATAATATATTTTGAAGAATATGGCTGACCAAACAGTTGATGAGCCCCATTGACTTCCATAGTATTTGTTTCCCCTTACTATGGAAGTCAATGGGGTTCATCAACTGTTTGGTTACCGATATTCTTCAAAATATCTTCTTTTGTGTTCAGCAGAAGAAAGAAATTCATACAGGTTTGGAACAACTTGAGGTTGAGTCATTTTTGGGTGAACTATCCCTTTAACCTTTGATGTTACAGATGAGAGATGTCATTGGAGCAGCTACTGCCGGCCAGACCTACTTCCGTGCATCTATGGATTCTTGTGTGTCGTACATGGTGACGAACCGCATCCCCAGGCTGGTTCAAACCAGAGTACGCACCTGGTATAACTACACCTGGGACTCCCAGGGCATGCTGGGTAAAATCTTAGCTTACATTTAAAATGATCTGAAATGAGTAGCAATGACAGCGGGGTCCTTCTGATTAAGGTTTTTTTTTTTTCCTCAGATGAGTCTGAGCTACTGGAACAGATGCCTCTGGTGATGAGAATAGCCATCGCTGTGGATATCAACCTTGCTACTTTCCAAAAGATCGACCTCTTCAAGGTGGGCTTGATTTAAGGAAGGAAAGGGACAGTGATCTGCTGCTCATGGTCAGTTGGTTGATGTTTCTGCAGTTTTTTCATACAGGGCTGTGACAACCAGATGCTGGTGGACATGTTATTGAGGCTGAAGTCCATTGTGTACTTGCCTGGAGACTTTGTGTGCAAGAAGGTGAGCTTTATTGCCCTTTATTTATGCATAGACAGCAAAAACATCAGGTCCTCACATACCTGGTTATCCACAGGGTGACATCGGAAAGGAAATGTACATTATTAAGGCCGGAGAGGTGCAGGTCATCGGTGGGCCGGACAATACGATTGTGTTCGTGACTCTAAAAGCAGGCTGTGTGTTCGGGGAGATCAGGTGAGGTATTAAAATGGGAATCTGCTTTTACAGCTACACATCATGAATGTGACATATGAACTATCATGTGTTTATAATCATCCCCAGTCTGCTACAATCTTCAGCCAATGGCGGAAACAGAAGAACTGCTAACGTAGCGGCTCATGGATTCGCCAACCTCTTTGTACTGGACAAGAAAGATCTCAATGACATCTTGATTCACTACCCCGAGTCTCAGAAAGTGCTGGCCAGGAAAGGACGGTGAGTTATGTCACATTATTCTTTCAAGCAGAAGTTCATATAGATGCAGATCCACTTACATGAGCAGTGAGACATTTTTTAATCAGAATTGTTTGTCTTTTGTCTAAATATCCTTAAAACAAGATGGATATACTTTTAAAATATTATTTTTAAAACAAGGTAATATGGTTCTGCAAGACATTAAGACCTCACTTAATTGTGTTAGATTTTTGCTTAAAGGGATACTCCACCCAAAAATGAAAATTCTGTCATCATTTACTCACCCTCAAGTTGTTGCAAACCTGTATGAGTTTCTTTCTTCTGCTGAACACAAAGGAAGATATTTTGAAGAACGATTGAAGAACACATTTTATGTCTTCTAACAGAATAAATATTTAATTAAAAACGGTGTTTATCACTTTGTCTATGAATACAACATGTCACCCACCTCAGTTTTAAGATGCGGTCACAGCAGCGAAATATGAGTGAAATTTTGCATGCAAAATTGGTCCATTGTCAATAACGTAGAGATGTATGAAGCACAGCTCAGAAGTTTCTTTCAAACAGCAGCTTTCTGTTGGTCAGAACTTGAACATAAGTCAAATCTGCATGGGGAACTTTTCCGCCTTGACACGAAACTTACGATCGCGTGGATTTCTGACTGGGTTTTTGCCTGTGAAATTTTAAAGACCACCAGTAAATGAGAACACGCCTAACTTACTGAAAGGGCAGTTCTTACTGAAACGGTTTGATTGATTCATTTTAAAAGAACACCTAGTCTCAATCACAAGAATCCCGATCTCAAATATCTCTCAGCCTGGTTGAAATTTCTCTATTTGAGTTAAATGCCATTCCGGCTGGAGTAGATGTGTTGGTGTTAGAATCTAGGCGAGTCTAGAGAGGGGTCTGGTCTCATTGCTAGCCTTCATGGACTAAAATGTACTACCAACGGTGAAATCTTAAATACCAGTTAACAATCTTCACAGGAAACTGCTGAAAGCCAAGGGTCCACCTCCTGCTGCTAAAGCCGACGAGGAAAAGAAAAAAGGACTGTCTCTGTTCGGACAAAAACCTCCTACTCCAAAATTTTTGCGTGCCTTTGCAGGAGCTCCGTTCTCCAGAAAAGGCTTTTTGGACAGACTTAAGGTAAGAAATGCTCAGTTATATATTAAGTATAAAGTTTGGGGTCGGTAAGATTTTACATTAAACTGATTAAGTGATAGGAAAGAAATTTATAATGTTACAAGAGATTTATATTTTAAAATAAATGCTGTTCTTTTGAACGTTATATTCATCACAATAATTCTGAGAAAAAAATGTTTTTCACGGAAATATTAAGCTGCACAACTGTTTTCAACACTGATAATAATAATAAATGTTTCTTGAGCAGCAAATCAGTATATTAGAATGATTTGTGAAGGATCATGTGACACTGAAGACTGGAGTAATGATGTTGAAAATACAGCTTTGCATCACAGGAATAAATTACTAAAACTAGAAATAAAAAAAGTTATTTTAAAATGTAATAATATATTACTGGTTTTACTTTTACTGTGTATTTGTAGATTTGCACTGTAGTTTTTTTTTTTTTTTTTTAAACATCTTACTGACCCCAAACTTTTGAGTGGTAGTGTATACTGAATAAAACTTTTGGATGTATAATACAATATAATACAAAAAGACAGTTCAACAAGAATACATTTTGGTTTATTTTTTTTTATTTTTTTTCTAGACTGCAGCTTCATCAGAACGTCAATAATCACATGAAATCCATTAAAAATTTATCTTTGAGGATTTTTAGTTCTTTTTGAAATCATCTACTGTCATGTATTTACAAAATAAATATCTTTATGTATCTAAAAGTTTTGAAAATGAGCTCCTTTCCCTGCCAACTGCAGTACTTGCCAATTAGTGAGTTGTATTAATAGCGATACATGCATTGAGATTGCAACCATCCTTCCAAAACAGTATGTTTGTAGATCTATTTTGTACTGAAACCTAAATAAAAATTATTTTGTAATTCCATAGTACATTGGACCTCATTTCTGAAGCATATTGAGTTTGTCAATGCACAAACATGTAATAACACTACGTATAATATATAATATATCAAGTACTTGAGAGTTCACATAGCACACATATGCTCTCATTTAGCCAAGGATTGGTAGTTGTGTCAGTCTGCCGTGAGATCTCACAGTTAATCTCTTTAGTCTGGCAGGGACATTGAGAGTTTTAATTAACTAAGTGGTCATTCTAAATGTGGACCCAGAGCAAATATACAGTACAGAGCAGGAATAGCTCACAGCTCCAGAATAGCCTGTCCGACCTCACTATTAAAGTCCTGTCTAGCACACTTTGAAAAAAACAAATATCTTACATATCAATCAAAAATCATTGCAATTTTCTTGGCTTTACAAAAAGAGGTGGCCCTTTGCAACACCCTCTACGGTGTAGTTTTAAGAGAAGGATTGTGACTGGTTGACTGCAAGTGAGAAGGCCTGTGATAGGTCGGTCAAACTGGTGAACCATGGGAAATGGGCTGGTCCTAAGAAGGAATTAATAGGGCTCTAAGAATTAATTGAAGCAGGTCGGAGTTCACAAATCAGCGACAGTTGGATAAGGAGTCGAGGGCTCAATCTGAATGGGATTGCGTGCAGTGCAGCCATGTTTAGCACGTTGAAAAAGATTTTTTGGCCCAGTACTGTGGCAGCAGTAGCTCAGATCCCAGGACCACAGACACCAGCACCTGTGCCGGCTCCGGCTTCAACCCCAGCATCTGCTGCTCCGACAAAGGTATGACCAGCTGGCTTTAGCACAACACAACACCAACATCATCCTTCACGCACAACTCAACTCAATTCTCATTTCTTTAAATAAAATAAAGAAATAGAAATTTTGCTAAAAAAAATATCTCAGCTTGGTTTACTGGATATGTGATTTGAAAAAGCTTTGTGGATTTAAATAGCTAATATTCACTTATTAATAATGTTTTTGACTTTTATGTGAATGGTAGGATCCTGAGCCGTTTATCTATTGTATGTAAAAGAGCAAGTAATCTTTTGGAGATTGTGAAAAAATGACACTTTAAAAAGGAAATCTTCGCTGGTGCATCTTGTGAATTAGTGATGTTGTCTGGACGGTTCTGTGTTTAATTTTTACACAACCGGGGGAAACTTTGTTGGGATCAAACGGATAGCCAACTAGTCTAAAAGACAAATCCAAAATATTTAGAGCATAAATGCTTGTAGTCTCGGGTTTATTATTTGAATTCCATATACTGAAATATATTTATTTATTTATGACCTCAGTTGATGGAGATTACGAGGTAAATTATACAGTGGACTCCTTTCATTCTTTTCTATAATTTTTTAATGCATGTAGTGTTTGTGACCCCACAATAATTTGTAGAATATTTTTATACATTTATTAATTATTTGCCATACCAAAAGACTGTATGTGAACTGTGAAAAAGATCAACTATAATAAAAAAATTATATTTGACTTTTTTTAAATCTAAAATCTTGGGAAAAAAAGTAACTGATGGACATTATTATTTGTCAGCTATTGTCATATATTAATAAATGAAACCGCTACTGTAGGTCAACATCAGGCTACTGAAGTTTCAATACCTCTGATGCCGTTAGTTCAAATGTCATTGCTATAAACTGGAAATGAGTTGTGAGAAAAAAAAAAAAAAGAAATCTTTCTCTGGTGTTCACAGGAGGAAAAGACAGATGCAAAGAAAGATGAAGAGAAAAAGGAGGAGGAAAAGCCTGCTGGTGAGTCTTCATGATGTTCCATTAAGGGAAACTACAATTCACTGTGTACATTTTTGTTTAAGAGTGACTGTTTTATAGGTATGATTGATATTTTCATCTTGAACCACCAATGTTTGAATGGAAATGCATAGTGTATCATCATAAAAAAAAAGTATTAGAATACTTTATTAGTTAACTAGCATGTCAGGAAAAGCCGAGGCTTAACCCCTGAACACAAAACTATGAATGAGTCTTAACATGTAAAGTGGCAATGAATGAGCAAACACATGCACATATACTGTTAATAATCACAGGTTTTTTATCTTGATGTGCAAATCCAGAAATTAGCAGATATTCGACATTAGGAATATCAAATATACAGTATCTCAAAACGTCTAATTCAGCTCTGTACTTTTTAAGAACCGGCTCCGGCTCCGGCTCCGGCTCCGGCTCCGGCTCCGGCTCCGGCTCCTGCACCGGCTCCTGCACCGGCTCCTGCACCGGCTCCTGCTCCAGAGCCCCCTAAACCAGAGGCCAAATCAGCAGATCCAGCCAATCCTGGGGCAGAAGCTGCAGAAGGGTAAGAGTTTAGACAACCTGTAAATTATTTTATTTTATTTTAAAAGTCGCTGTTTAGATTTAAACCTCTTGATGGAAATCGAAATGAAAAGCTACACACCATCAATTAGGGTTAGAAGAACTGTTGCTAAACGGATAACATGCAGAAACATAATAATAACTGCAATAATGATCCAATCTCTTAAGCATTTTACTCTTTAAATCCAAAAAGCAACTTTTTTTATTTTTTTTGGCCATGCAATGTTTAAATATATAGTGGCTTTTTTATATTTTAGAAAATTGTTTGAATGGGTCAATTAAAATATGTGACTTTTGCCCCTTTATCATGTCATTGTTGGCTTGTATGGATGTGTGGCATCTCAATGATGTGCACCGTGTGACTCCAAAAGTAGCTGAAAGGAGATTAGGGGATCTGCTGTATTTGTGACTTAAGAAGATCATGGGAACGGCCTCACGTGCAAACAGGAGTTTCTGTTTTATACTCTTATTTTGTTCTTTGTGTCAGTAGCTATTCTAAGTAGTCACCATTTTCCAGTCACAGTGCTGTATATGTGATGATACTAATGTCTTGACTAAGACTAAATTTAGTACTGAATTTACCACATGGGCCCATTTTAGCTAACTGCAATAAACAGGACAGCATCAGCTCATCAAGAACAACCAGACCTGACATGTCTTCAGAATTAAAGATGTGCAATTGTGAGTGTTTCAGGACAGTCCTCATCCTAACTCGATAGTCATGTAGCTATTTAAGCCCATGATTTGACACAAATGCAAAGGAGTTGCATTGATTAAAATGAATATAAATAGATGTACACTAGGTGTACACTGTCTATTCCTAAATATAGTGAATGTTCACCTGCTAATGTTTGACTGAGGACTGAGGCTGTGAGTAGAGGAACTGCTCTGAATAGATTTATTGGCTGTGGCTGTGCGAGTTTCCCTCTTTTGAAATAATAACATTAAGCATTAAAATAAACATTAACATCATGATTTTCTGTAAAGCTGCTTTAATAATTGTGTATTGCCCTATACAAAATAATACATTTGACTTGACTAGAATATTCTCGATGAATCACAACTTTCATTTCCTCTTCAGATTTAGAACAGGAAACCTATATCCTCACGACTTTGTGTAGTCTACTACTTCTAAAACTACCACCACCATTACCACTACTACAACTAGGGATTTTTTTTTTATTTAAGCCTACATTGCTGTCTCTTTTTTCATGTAGTGAGGAAGGAGCACCACCACCACCTCCTCCACCCATCGTCATCAACAGATACTCTGACGACCAGCTGCGAGATATTGTGAAGAAACTTCGCGAGAGGACGGAGCTTTTTAAGGAGAAAGTTGTTGACCCCTATGCCTCGTCCCCAGAGCGCAGCCCACCCGTCAGTGAGTACAGAGTTTCTCTGAATCCTGTTATTAATGCAAGATAAATAAATGATCTAGCAGGTGTTTCTCATTTCTCTGTTTCTCAAGGGCTTGTATTCTGAAAGTCAGCTTGAAACGGAAGTTGCAATAGTCTTTTCTTCTAAATTATGACATATGTCCAAGTAAAATGGCTTCTCGAAAGAAAAGGCAGGACTTGATTTTGTCCATTGGGAATTGATTGGACTGTTGGATGGTTGTGGTTTGCTATTGGTCAATCTCATGTGAGTGACAGGTTGCCAGTAAACACGTCATCAGAGAAGTCAATGCAAGAGGGAAGGAAAGTTATTTTGATTAAAGATTACGAGGCACATGAATTAAAAAAAGAAGAAGATATGCATGAATGACTTATTTATGAAAAAAAATACTGCAATGTTCCATAAAAAATAAGGATTGTCAGTTTTGATTTCATGGTGACTTTAAACAGTCTGACTCATTCATCCTGCTGGAAAAACCTGGTCATTCCAGCTTAAGTGATCAAGCTGAACAAAATTGTCAAAACCTGCTGCTAGTCCTTCTGATTAACCATCTAATGACCATAAATGACCAGTTTTGTCCAGCAAAATCATGAAAAACGATCTGGTTTTAGCTGGATTTTCCAGTAAGGAATCCATCTGTTTCTGAACTCTAGTCTGCTGTTGATTTCCAGCACCGGTTTATCGAAAGGAAGACTGGAACAGAAAGCAGGAAGCGGAGAGAATAAAGCGAGAAGAGGCTGAGCAGAAGAAAAAAGAGGATGATGCTAAGAGAGCAGCTGCAAAGAAAGAAAAAGAGGAGAAAGAAAAGAAGGAGAAAGAGGAAAAGCTGAAAGCTGAGAAGGAGCAGGCTGATAAGGAGGAGGCCGAAGCTATCTGCCCTAAAATCAAATGCACATGCATAGACACACTTCTCAAACCTTTAGAAGACAAGATGGACTCATATTTGGGGACGACCATCGACCCTTTCACAGGTAGGACACTATGAGAACTGAAGATGGCTTTTAAAGTATAAAACATTGGCCTAAACACGTTTGTCCTGCCTGATTGTCTCTCATCAGATCGGCGGTATATTAAATGGCTAAGTGTCGTCACAATCGCTTTTAACTATAATGTTTGGCTCGCCACGGCACGTTTGTGTTTCCCGTACCACACGCCTGAAGCAATCCCCTTCTGGATCTTTTTCGATGTCCTGGCAGACGTGGTGAACATCATAGACATCACCATGTTTCAGACACGCTTACAGTTTGTGAAAGCAGGAGACATCATAGTAAGTCTTTTTATCGACGCTTACACCTTTCAAATTGTGACTTAGGATTTCAACTCAAAAAGCTACAAATGTTTTTCCTCAGAAAGACAGAATAATGACAAAACAGAACTACAGAGAATCTGCCAGATTTCAGGTGTGTAAAAAATAATATCTATACGAATAATGACTATATTAATTAGTATATTAAATTATTTTATTTTCTCTCAACAGATAGACCTGATAAGCATCATACCATTCGACTTGCTGTGTTTCCACTTTGGGTTTAACTCAATCTTTAGGATGAACCGTTTTTTACGGGTCAGTTACTCAACTTCATTTATACATACAGTATATATATGTGTGTGTGTGTGTGTGTGTGTGTATGTGTGTATATAATGTCTATATAATGCACTAAGTTCTATTAGTTGCCTTTATTTGAGATGGCTCAACATGTGGAGCAAGCCACGGTGTGGTTAACTTGATGCACGCACACATTTCACATATCAAAATACCTCAGTCAAGGCCAACACTGCTCTTAATGATATGACCTATGACCTTTTGCCCTGGTTTGTAAAGTCGACGATTTCTCATGAATTGTGACCAAAACCTATTAGCAAGTATTTGGCACGTCCTCCATCGTCGTCGGCTGAGTAATTCACGCTTATGATACACGGCCCGCGGGAACGAAGGGTCTCGCCGCCCATTAGAAGAAGGTATGGGGTGACGGGATCATGGTCAGCCACGTCAGTGGACACATAAACCAAAGGTTTGGAATTTAGAATCCCTTCAATTTCCACAAGGATTGTCGTCAAGACTGTTACAGTTTGAATTCAGTTTAACATTTAGGGCTTTAATGGACCGAATCTCCCTCTGTCAAGAGCCTCCAAAGTGTGGTGCATGAGGTGGATTAAAGGAACATTTGATTTGATTCTCAGCTAATTGGGCTTTCATGTCTGGGTGAAGGGCATTGAATGCATCTGTAAGTTCTCAATCTCCACCTTTAAAATTCGTTCTTTGATCAGATAACACTGCAGACTTTCCCCTTTGAGAGATAAAATGTCTTAAAGGCATCAATAAAGAATCAGAATCAAAATCAAGGCTGGTTTGAACTTCAAAATGTACAGCTCGTGTTTAGAAACTCGAATAGTATTCCCTATCTTTTCTCATTTCTTCAGCCCAATTATTAAGCGGCCCGAAACAATCCATCCCTGTAGAGAAGAAGGCTGGCTGATGTAAACGTGCTGGAGGTTAATCTGCTATTCGTGGAGATATTGGTTGAGCTCATTTCTGACTCTGCACAGCTGCATTGTTCCTTTCTCATAGCTCTGAGAATCCAGTATTTCCTCCTCAACTCTGCAAATAAACCTTCTGCACCGTCCTTTTGTCGAATAATGTTTTGAAGCCAAAACTATGGGATGAGCTGTTTCTGATTCCAACTGATTGAAATTGCGTAGTCTACCTCCCCCTCAGATTACTTGAATTTCCATATCAAATTCTGAAGCTAATGTTGCCAAACGACTTGATGATGACAGAGATTTCCCATTAGTAAGAATCTCTGGCTCCCTGTGTGGTGTGTAATGAGCTCTGTATCATCTCTGCATATTTCCTTTTTTCAGTATCAATCCTTTTTTGAGTTCAGCGATCGTCTGGAAAGCATCATGACTAAGGCGTATATCTGGAGGTATGTCTGAAAATATGTGATTTTATGCAATACTGAATGTTTTTTAAAGGTGTTGCGATGTTGTTGCTTACTATCCTGTCCCAAGTCTCTATGATATTCAGGTATCTAGATATGGGTTAGTTCAGGTCCCTCCTCCAATATGTGTAAGGACAAATCCCCCCATTTTATCACCCACCAGGTGAAATTGATAACTCTGACCAACAAAAGTAACAGCACACCTCTTAACAAGCAGTATCATTAGTGACCCAAACAGTATTAAACAAATGGCAAGGGTTAATGTGTTCAAACCCATACCTGGTTGTATGAACAACAATAATCATAGTGATGCTGGCCTTTTTTCAGAGTTGGACGTACTACTGGATATCTGCTCTACTGCCTCCATATCAACTCCTGCCTTTACTATGTAGCATCAGAATACGAGGGGCTGGGCAGCACGAAATGGACATATGATGGAGAAGGAAATGCGTATGACCTTTTTTTTGTTATTATTTACAAATAAGTATTTATAAATTAAAATAAATTAAATTACATATTAAGTTAAATTGTTTTATATAAATATATATATATATACAATTAAAACAGATTAAATATATATTAATAATTTAATCATAATTTATTCATTATTATATAACATTATTATAATAATATATATTTATTTACAATTAAAATGAATTAAATACAATTAAATAAATTCAAAATAAAATATTAATAAATATATTAAAACAAACATTGTACTGTTCATTTTGTCATTTTTCTATGCCAAGGTATCTCCGCTGTTATTATTTTGCTACCCGTACGCTGATCACTATCGGAGGTCTTCCTGAGCCCAACACACTCTTCGAGATCATCTTCCAGCTGGTGAACTTCTTCACAGGAGTCTTCGTCTTCTCTAGCTTGATTGGACAGGTGAGAACTTAGAACTTCCCTAAATGTTTTGGCAAGGTTCACTTAAAATTATGAACAAATGTTCTTCCAGTAATGTTAATAGAACATTAATTCAAAGTTATCTGGTCTTTAATAATGTTCTCAAAACATTGACATTCATGGACCATTTTCTTTCTTGAATGTTTTAGTTAGATGTTTGTCTAACCCTTTTTTAATGTAACTACTCGTTTTAGGATGTTCAGATAACATTGAAAAGTAACATTCCCATGTTTGCAAAATGATCAAATGAAATATTTCCTTACCGTTCACATAACCAAGAATTTTTTTTAAAAAAATTTAAAAACTGGACGTTTTGAGCGTTCATCGAACTTATTGGAAACCTTAGCCAAACGTTCTTAGAACATATTTTTATTAGTGGGGATGACCCAGATTAATAACGTCACGCGACTGGAAGTTGTTTACATTGATCTAAATCTGTTTAAACTCAGATGAGAGATGTCATTGGAGCAGCTACAGCGGGTCAGACCTACTTCCGCGCTTCCATGGACTGCTGTGTGGCGTATATGAACACCTACACCATTCCAAAACTGGTGCAGAACAGAGTACGCACCTGGTACAACTACACCTGGGATTCCCAGGGCATGCTGGGTAAGTGCTTAGTGTACATCTTAATAGAAGAGCTCAATTAATAGAGGTAGTTGCTCATTTTTCTGGACCAGCTGCAAAAATCTCCAATGTTTCCTCAGATGAGTCTGAGCTACTGGAACAGATGCCTCTGGTGATGAGAACAGCCATCGCTGTGGATATCAACCTCGCCACCTTCCAGAAGATCGACCTCTTCAAGGTAAAGTTATTGTCAGTAACGACTGCATTCATCTGTCGAGGCTCTATACTGAAGATTTGTGGAAGGGAAAAAAACTATTGCTTCCTACTGCTGCCAACAGTTTCATCTATTCTGGTGCATTTTGATGAAGTAAATCCATATTAGAAGAATCCATATTAGTTTTTGCTGTTTTAAACATATTTTTTCCAGGGCTGTGACAACCAGATGCTCGTGGACATGTTATTACGTCTGAAATCCATTGTGTACCTGCCAGGAGACTTTGTTTGCAAGAAGGTGAGAACATCAGATATAATCGTTCTTGTATCTGATATTATGTTTTATACTACGGGGCTGTTGAATTCTTGAACGAACGCTCTAAGGTGTGCAATTGTTTTCAGGGAAACGTACGCCTAAAGTAGTTCCAGGCAGGTTTGACCGCATTACAGTTCCATATCACTTCGTGTAGTTAACTGTAATAACGGAAAATAGGATACAATTCATAACAAGAAAAACAAAATTACAGACAATTTTGATTTTCCGAAAGTACATTTTTATTTAGGCATTTTTTTAGGCTAGCCTACTTTCAATAATAGATTTTTTTTTTTTTTTTACGTATTAATTAATTAATTAATTAATTAAATAATATTAACTCATGCTTTTCTGTCTCATTATTGCAATCTCTCTCTCTCTCTCTCTCTTTAATAACTCAAACCTCTGTTACTAGCTATAAAATTACGTTTTGGAATTAGCAACGGAGGCTTGGGATTCGATGCGTAAGAAATTAGTCCTACACACAAGAGTGTTTTAATGACAAAAACGTCTTGAAATACATAATCTGAACAATGTTTCAAGGTGTATAAGCCGTAGTATAAGCAGAAGTGACTCCGGGCCGTTGAATTATTAGAAAAAAAATACTGCTTTGCGTTGTGATCGCTTTACCACCTTGTTTGTGCATTATTTTTCTAATAGTTCATGGGCAAATGTACTCCATTGCTTTATGCAGGGTGACATTGGGAGAGAAATGTACGTTATTAAGGCCGGAGAGGTGCAGGTCATCGGTGGGCCGGACAATAAGATCGTGTTCGTGACATTAAAAGCAGGATGTGTGTTCGGGGAGATCAGGTACTGGGACAGACGACATCTATATGCGGTAGTGTACAATGATTAAGTGATAAAGCAAGACTGTCTAAAAACAAGTCTCTGAAACGGAAATTCATTTTTTCAGTCTCTTACAGTCAGCAAAAGATGGAGGCAACAGAAGGACAGCAAATGTAGCGGCTCATGGATTCGCTAACCTCTTCGTACTGGATAAGAAAGAACTCACTGACATCCTGGTCCACTATCCCGAGTCTCAGAAGGTGCTGGCCAAGAAGGGACGGTGAGTCAGACCGGGTCACAGTCATGCAATATGCACCTTTTCTTCAAGAACAGATTTGAAATGCAATGGCTACAATAAGGGATGATTCATTCTCTGTTCAGGAAACTGATGAAGGCCAAAGGTAAAACTGCTCCTGTCAAAGATGAAGGAGAAAAGAAGAAAGGACTGGCTATGTTTGGACAAAAACCTCCCACTCCCAAAATGTTACGTGCTTTTGGAGGCTTCGGGAAAGGAGGTTTGCTGGAGAAACTCAGGGTGTGTTGATGATCTGATCAGAGTTATAATGGTGCAAACACACATAGTTAAGGCAGTGTGTGTCTGACAGTGGATTTGCTAAAGGTTTGGATTTAGCACATGACATTTGAAAGATTAAAACAGCAACAAATTCTTAGATTTCATACTAATAATTTAGAGATCTGAAAGAACGATAACATTTCTCTTTCCAACAGGCTCAAGCAGCAGCAGAAAAAAAGAATTAAGAACTCCATCCATCCATCCATGAATTGCATCTATCTATCTATCACATCCATCCATTTCATCATCCATCCATCTGCTCATTTCATCATTTGTCCATCCATCCATTTGTCAATTACATCTATAGGAAAAAAGAGGCCGCACTTTGCATAGACAGTTAAACTGTCTATGCAAAGTGCGGCCTCTTTTTTCCTATAGATGAACTTTACTTATTAGGCCAGCACTCTTAAAATAAATGTAAGTGTAATTATTGAGTGAAGCCTGCTCCATCCTCCATTCATTCAATTACATCTATCCATCTTATCATCCATCCATCCATCCATCCATGACATTCATCCATCACATCATCCATCCACCATTTTATAATTCATTCATACATACATCGTCAATTACATCATCCATCAATGTATTCATCTATCCATTCATTCATCCATGTACAGTAACATCCATCAATCCATCTGACCATTTCATCATCCATCCATCCATTACTTTATCAACTTTATCGATCATCCATCCATCTCTCATTCATCCATCTCCTCAGTTGTTTTACTGCTGGTTGTGATTGGATTCAGATCTACATAAATATGATTTAAAAAAACTGTAAATACTGACTTTATGTTTGTGGTTTAAGGTTTTGTGACAGACTCTTTTCAACTATAATTTTGGACATATTACTCAACCGGTTCAATACTTTAGGCAGAGTCATGGTGGATGAGCCTTCATATACTGTAAATAGGTCAATGTTTTTCATAAAACAATAAAAAATATTAAATATATATTATCTTTTATTGTCATCTGTACCTTTTCATCAATAATATTGGAAAAAATAAAACAATGGTGCTTTTCAGAGTTTTATTTACTGTAAGTGGAACAAGGCATGCTACAGGCCCACAGATGCAAGACACATACATCAGCAAAACACAAGACACTTCTACAGCGCTGAGTTGACACTTCACATGTACACTATATAGATGGCCTATACAATGCCAACACAAAGATATCTGATGAAAAAATTGCTTTAATTAAAATACAATTCAGATTATCTGATATATATTCCTCTCAGCACTAATTGCGCACAATGGACTGGTACAGACATTGTGATTAAATGCAAAATGAACGTGCATCTTAAACAGTTAATACTGATCTGAAAAGCTGATTATCTTTACATATTTTTTTTTGTTATTAGGGGTTCAAGCACATAGTGCTGAAACTATTGTAATTGGAAGGATTTTTATTATTATTACTCTGCCGTAAAACTGACCGTGCAGACCAAACCGTAATGCATAGAGAAAATAGTATGACTGCCTTGAAAATAAGTAAGTACATGTGACATATGACTCTAAACAAGCATGCAAAATGTTCCTATATGATTTTAATGGCATTTTCCCTTTAAACCACCAGATGGCAGTAGAGGACCGCTCATTTTGCTCACTAAAATAGTTTATTTCAAGGGTTTTTTCACTTGAAATCACAATTAAACTTTATAAAAAACATTACAAGTCACATTTTGTCAAGATTTACCTCTTCAATTGTTCATTTTAGGTATCAGTTTTTACAATACTTTCAAATTACGATTGCAACGAGACCTGAAAATGATGTTTTAAAGGGGAAACCTGGAATAAGCATTTTCTTGTGTGTGCATGTGTGTGTCCAAGCAAGCTTAGAGTGTATGAAGTATTATTGTTCAAGCCTTTCATTCTTTTTTGTATACGTTATAACATATTCTCCATCATGGATATTTTATGTCACCACGCTGTCAGCTCTACATTTCTGGTTGGCCTAGATCCTAACAGCATAGATGGTCTTAAAGCATTTGAACGCCAATATTTGCTGCTCGCAGCTATATTTACTTTTATTATACTTATGTATTCAGGCACTTGACAGGATCATTGACCCATCCAGATGTCAGTATTTCTATGGCTTTCTTCTGTACATGCAGATTGAGATTTGAGCACTATTACTCAGTGTCTATAGTTTTAAGTGCATTCTGGTCAACAGTCAAACTTGGCATGGAAGCTGCCATATGATCTCCATTAAACAAAACTTTTTTTTTTTTTATAGGCACTGCAACTTAAATGATCAGGCACATTATACGTTATATACATTGCATGATTAATGCAATGTCATATTGATACATTAGCATGATCAATATGACATTATGCATAAGATATGACAATAGATTTGCGAGGCACTGATTAAAAAATCATATACAAATATAAAAAAATATGATGAAAAGTATATGATAATGACATGAAAATTTAAAGACATAATAATGCTGACTGTAAACTATTTTGTAAGGAGTTAGCAGGAATGACACTGAAAATAAACTTTAAAATGCCTGCGTATCGCCGCTGTATTTTGGTTATCCCAACAACACTAACAAGGATGTATCCATACAATTATTTTCCCTAATTTTCAGGGGGTTTTCCAGTAACTGATAGTTTTCATTTATAGTAAGATAATTAGATTTACAAACAAAACTAACAGACCATTTCAAGATCATTTGGCACATGAAAATAAATATATCTAATGATTTTGTAAAAAAAAAAGTTAACTAATTTAAAACTGATTTTCAAACCAAGTGGTAAATCTCTTCAAGAAAGCCTAAAGTTAGATTAACATTATGGTGGTGATGATGATGATGTTTAGTTGTTAGCAACAGGACCTTCACTTCTGTGTCGGCTCATTTGGAGCATCCACTGGAGTGTTTGAGTTCGGAGGTAGAATCTTCATCATGTTAAAAAAGGTGACGACCTGACCAGGAACCTCTGCCAGAACACACTTAGCGAGCTCCTCTTTAGGAGACTACAGAGAAAGAGAGAGAGGAGAAAACATTAGTCATCGTATTTTCCTCTATGAGCAGCAGAGTATGGTTTGAGATGGTAACAAGACAGGGCAGACAACATAAACCTTATGCTGCAGTCATGTCATGATGAATTTAACCTATGTCATGGTAATGGATATTACTTTACTTCAATTAACAAAAATGCCTTTTAATAGTTATAGTTTTAGGTACCAATAAAAACACTGGTTCGGGATTACTCACTAACTCAAAGTAATAGTATTAAACCAATGAATGTGCAATAGTATTAATCCAATAGGTCCAAAACCAAAGTATAGCTTAATGTTAACATTGCTAACAAAATAAAAGCTAGCTAGCTAGCCAACCACCAGACAGACGTGAGCTGTGTCTAAACTAATACTTTTGGAGTCCAACAACAGAAACACGAGTACGAACAGTTTCATAATTGTGATACGACATAAATGCAGCATAAATTCATCATGCTTTAGAAAACCCCCATGCCTTGCATTTCATTATCATTCAACGTCCTTCCTTTGTGATGCCGTTTTAGGACAAACATGGCATCCATGACCACTAATCCTGCAACAATGATGGCTGCTTTCAACAACACAGATGAGTTTGAGAAAAAACAACATGCTGTCTGACAGCCGAATGCTTTGAGGAGTGCTAGTGTGCATTACAAACATTCAGATAGACAGAGGTCAGGTGCAGATTAAGAAGAGAGCCCTACATGTCTATGAGTTTATTGGCTCGTGTGGAGGCGGCAGGTTTATATAGCTGAAGTAGGATGTGACTTGTTGTGGTAATTCTGCAAGTACAGATTGGGCAAGCATTTCTCTTGAGGCCTGAAATGAAATGGACACAAAGGTACAGGTGAGACGCTACAAGCCATTACATGCTATAGGTATTAAGGGACTAAAACACTATGAATAAAGTTTTTTGTGTTGTGTTCTGCTCTGCGTCTACTGGCATAAATAATTATGAAAGACGGTTGGTTCCATTAATGGTCTTCGACACACGCATTATCCACCGATTTGGACTGAACGCCAATGAATGCAGTCTAATTCCTGAACTAATGATTTTTATAAGCCAAATGAATCAAAGACACACAGCGCAACACTTTTGCTTGTTCTGATTGCTTGTTCATATCTTTTAGACAAATATTTTCTAAAAATAAATAGATAAATGAAATGTTACATCTTTTGTTTGTTATTAAATGCAACGCATTTATGCTACTTCTAAAATACATACCTTTTGCAAGAACTATTTCATATTTATTTACTTGAAATTATCGAATCACTTGGCAATTGAATTGAAATTTTTCCCCAAGCATGAATCATTAAGAACCCATAATTGTTGAATTGAAGAATTGATCTAGAACCTGATTTGATATATTCCTTGCGATGGCCACCATAAAAAAGAAAAAAGGAAATAAGCATATATCCCTGGCATGTCTATATCATATGAAAATGAACATATAAATAAAAATGATTGGAGTATCACTGCTAAAGATGAAATAATACTCCAATTAGTTCTTAATTTTTTCCTTCAACAATGGTAAAAATCCTACGCAGCCAAAACACAATAATGTACACTACCGTTCAAAATAAAAAAAGTTTGGAGCCAGTAAGATTTTTTTTTAAAAGAAAGAAAAAAAAAATTAACACTTTTATTCAGCACGGATGCATAAAATTAATCAAAAGTAACGAAAAGACATTTATGTTACAAAAAATTCTGTTTCAGAATTGCTAATTAAGAAATGTTTCTTGAGCATCAGAATGATTTCTGAAGGATCATGTGACACTAAAGACTGGAGTAATGATGCTGAAAATTCAGCTTTGCATCACAGGAATCAGTTACATTTGAAAATATAATCAAATAGAAAACAGTTATTTTATATTGCAATAATATTTCATAATAATACCGTTTTACTGAATTTTTATCAAATAAATGCAGGCTTGGTGAGCATTTTATTGACCCCAAACCTTTGGACGGTAGTGTAGATCTGAAAAAGAATACCTCAGAAAACACCAAAAGCTGCATGAGTTTGACCCCAAAAGAAAAAAAAGCAAAAGCAAATGCTAGCCCAAAATAGTTTGTGTACAAAACTCCTCAAACCAGTTTTCCACTCACGTTCTGGAAATTCCTGAAGGGCACAAACTGCACGATGTCACGCACAGCCGCTTCTCCCGTGATCGACTTCAGACGTCCGTCATCTGCGTCCAGAATCTCCATGTCTGTGAAGTCAGCTTTGCCTACGCCCACGATGATGATCGACATGGGCAAGCGTGAGGCGGCGACTATGGCCCCACGCGTCTGATCCATGTCTGTGATCACTCCATCCGTGATGATCAGCAGGACGTAGTATTGCTGAAACGGACAGGGGGCGGAGTCAGAGAGACATCAAAGAACCAGTGGATCACATGCTTGAGTTTGGGTTGAAGCTCACCGACGCCGTCTTCTGCTGCAAAGCCTGCTGTGCGAAACGAGCCACGTGGTTAATAATAGGAGAGAAGTTCGTAGGGCCGTAAAGTTTGACCTGAGGAAGGCACATCCTGTAGGCCTCCACCACTCCCTCCACACCTACGGGAACAGAACACACACACCATTTCTTGTTATGTGAATCGCTTTCTTGGTCCTCCAGAGGGTGGAAAACAGTAACATACCTGCGCAGAATGGATTTGCAGGATTGAAGTTGAGAGGAAACTCGTGCGACACCTAGGGGGAAAAAACAATACCGGTACTAAACTGAGGCTTCTGGGAGTTTGTCACAGTAATAACACCAGATGTACAGTACTTATTCATTTACCTGCCATGTAGGAGGAATCTGGGCGCCAAATCCAAAAGCAGGAAACATTTTGTCACTATAGGATATGAAAAAAAGCATGAGGCATATGTTGTTGATGTTTTTTTTTTAAGTTATTTTAATATATGATGAATTAAAAAATGTAACTGGCGCCCTTGTACCTGTCATAGTCCTGGACCACCAGGCCAACTGACCAGATGGCTGAGAGATATTCATTCACACCTTGAGGACTGATGTGATGTAAAGATTCAGGAGACCTGGGGTCACCATTTGACCCTGTGAAGTCAACGCCCACCTGGAGGAGGTATGACATAAGTAACCTCGCTCCAATGAAGGAATAGAATTCATCAAGATATAGTACATACAAATATTAGTCTTTGCAAAAATTCCTGTCTTTTTATACATCAAAAATAAAATAAATAACAAATAAAAGTATTTATATTTAAATTGATAATGTTTATTTTATTTTATTTATTATTATTACTGTTTTTATAATTTATACAGTTTTTTTATCACATTTATATTTATTTATATATATTATTTTTTTAAAATAATTTTTATAATATATAGCTCCAACATGAAGGAATATAATTCATAGAGACATAATACATGCAAATATAATTCTATGCAAATGTTTGTCTTTTTATATATATCATAAATAAAATAAAAATATAAAAAATGTCAAATGTATTTTATTTTAGTCATTTAGTATTATTAATGTTATTTTCTATAATAAATGATACATTTATATTGTTCCAAAATTTTAATTGGAAAATAAATTTCTCACATTTATATGAAAATAAAGCAACATACAGATGTTAAAAGCTAAAGTTATACTTTCTGTAGAATTGATGTAGAACTTACAGTGAAATTTATCTGGCAGCCTCCCATGATGTAGTCTAGAAAGGTGTATTCCTTGGTAATCTGAGACAGCAAACAAACATGTACAGAAGCGTTTTGCATAATGCCATGTAAGGAATGTTAAAAATGAAATGAGTATGCTTACATGTCACCGTACCTGACAAACTTTCACACTCACAACTCCAGAGTTCTTATAATTTTTCTTCTTCTGTTTCTTCTTACTGTTTATACAGTCAAACTCGGCCTTAAGGAGACAAATCTGCTGCTTTAGTTCAGAAACCTTCACACATTCGTCGGGTACGGAAATCAAAAGTGTGTTCAGGATAACCCACCGGAGCTGTGCGGGAGGCCCCTTGAAGTCGCTTCATATTGGTCTCAAAAATCCCTATCAAATCATGAGATCCATCGTTGTCATAATCGTAACATTCAACCTAAAAAGGGGGTTGAAAAATAAAATACAGCATGAAGAGATCTTAGGTGAATGGTATTGGAGAATAAAAGAGAAGGGAATTGAGAGAGGTCATGCAAAAAAGCCCACTAAATGAAGAACCATAGATAAGCACAGATCTATGAGTCGCTCTCTTCTCTTCATTCAAAAACTAGTAAGACACCAGCAAAACAGCACACCAAACAGGTTAGCTCGAAGACCCTGTTTAAACCTGGTATTAAGATGTGTTTTGGGCAATCGGATCACAAGTAGACTACGCTGAATATGGGTGTAGATGGGGTTTAAAACGCTTTGAGCTTGTCCACTTTCGACCTCTGTAGTCGAAAACGCATTCGACCTGATTGCTTTCGTAGGGAAAACGGTCATGTGGTCAAATGCGTTCGAACAGCCACTAAATACCACCTACTCTCCGCCTACTGACCTGACGCGTAAACATTCTGGGTAACGCGATAGCCAGACAGGATTTAAACTTTGTCGGCCGAAGACCCAAGTTTGGTTTGAAGTCGATATCTCCCCCTCGTCCACTTGTGATCTGATCGACCAAACCTAATCCCAGGTGTAAACAGGGCCTAAGTGAATAAATGTATGAAAGATGTTATAGATGGGCAACCTGCCATCTCCACTGTTGTCTACATAAGATTGGAAAAAAGAACATTCTAGCAGCAGTGTTTTCTCTGAATCCTTTTCTAGAACAGCGAGTCTTTCTGAGGAAATTGCGTAATTTGTACTCCATGACTTACTACTGAAATACAGTAATTAACAGTATTGTAAATGCAGTTATATCATTTGAATTTACAGTAACTGTTTTAATGTGTAATGCAAAATAAGTCAAATATAACATTTAAATAAGTATAATTAATTATACACTTATAACTTATTTTTTCTAATTATTAGTATTATTTTAATAATATAATTTTCTATATTCTATATATTTATAGATTCTTTTTAATTAATTTTGTTTTTCTATTTCGCATTTCCCATTCATCAGTTATAATAAATAAATGAATTTGACCAAAATTACACTAAAATGCTTTTACTGGTTATGTACTTATTTTAAATGCCTTTACATATCCAGAAATATTGTCTTTGTCCCTCCACTTTCTGTCCATCATTTTACCTTTGGGGCAGTTGTGGCCTGATGGTTAGAGAGTCGGACTTGTAACTCTAAGGTTGGAGGTTTGATTCTAAATACTGTGTGACCATGGTTTGCAGTGTGTGTGTGTGTGTGTGTGTTCAATACTCACTGCTCCTAATGTGTGTGCACTAACTTGGATGGGTTAAACACAGAGGACACATTCCGAGTATGGATTGCGATGCTTGGCCTTTACTTCACTTCAGTCCTATTAATTCACCTTTATTCATATTTCATCTTATTTCAAACATTTGAGTATTATGGACGCTTGTTTCCACCAGGGAATAAAAAAATTAAAAAGGTAATTCTTCTTTAAATTTTTAAAAAGGTTTTTTTCGCAATTCTGACTTTTCTTTCTCATAATTTCCGTTACATTGCTAAGAAATAAATTGTTGTCAATAAATAATGTCAATAAATTGACATTATTATGTCTAATAAATTGCGAGAAAAAACGGAAACGCTTCCTTTTACAGTCCTGTTACCCATGTACTTACTATGTATTTATTATAGTAATTATAATTACTGGGTAATAACTAGGTATTAACCCTGAACCTACCCCTAACCCATTTACTTACCATATATTAGCCAGTACTTTCTAGGTAAGTACGCTGTAAGTACACGTAAGTACTGTACTGTAAAAGGAAGCGTTACCGAAAAAACATAATTGTGAGTTTATATCTTGCAATTCTGATTTTATAACTCGTAACTTTTTTTAAAAGTCGCAATTACCTTTTTTATTCCATAGCAGAAACATAACTTTCATTGGTTTTGTTTCTTTAAGTTTTTCAAATGAAAATGTAAGTATTTTAGGATTTCAAATTTTCCGATACAAATGCCATTGTTTCCTGAGAATGACCGTAGTAGTTAAAGAGTTCACACATGAAATGACCTCATTCAGGAAACAACAGTTTGACAGAATAGCTCCCTTCTACTGATCTATGAAAGACACACTAGCAGCTATTCAGAGACACACACAGTTATGAATCAGACATTCTGATGAAAAATACCTTCTTGTATCCTGACAGTGAGTTTCCCATTAAGATGCTTTTGCAAGAAAAATCAAAAAGTCATGAACACTGATTGTAAGCCACCAAAAAACCCTCTGTCTGACAAGCCAAAGCAAAGCCAGAGTTGTATAGCCTGTACAATTAAGCCAGAACAATTACAGAATGTTAATCTAAGAGGCCAGCATTTCATTTGACACTTGTGTTAGCAACAGGGAGCCTTTTTAACATTATAAAATATTTTTCATAAGGACCAATAAACACAGACTCTACCTTGATTGGTTTCTCCATGTCCCCTGCACAAAGAGACCGTAGAGGGATTTTAAAAGGCCTCCAGCAAGGATTCAAGTTATACTTTACCACCTGGTATGAAAGAGAACCATTAACACTTACAATAAACATTAACAACAACCATTCAGAGACTTTAAAGGGGACCTATTATGCCTCTTTCAAAGTGTTGATTTTGTTTTTGTGTGCTACTAGAATAGGTTTTCATGCTTGAATGTTCCAAACCACATTCTTTTTCATATATTTGACATTGTTGCAGCACCTCTCTTCCCAGTCTGTCAGTAACGCTCTGGGGTGTGTTTCCTCAAAGCATCGTTAGCCAACTATGGTCGCAAGTGCCGTCACAATCAGCATAGTGCAACGAGTCAGTGTTTCCAGAAACCATAGTTCCAATGAACATTCGCAAGCAGCATCACAAAGTTGTGTGGTTGTAACGACAGCTCTTGACCTGTGGTTAGAAGCATTGTTTCTTCTTTGCTTGACATGTGGACTTAAATCCTTATCTTGAAAAAAATAAGCAAGCTGACATTCAGTGCAATCTATACCATTCATTTAGAATACATACATTTTTTATTTACGTCTTTTAGTTTGTCAAGAGATTTAAAGGGGTCATATAATGATACATGCACTTTTACAAGTTGATTGTACTGAAATGTGTGTTGGCAGTGCCTGTACACAACCATCATAAAATGATAAAAAACCATCCAGTGTTTTTGTTTTAATCTCCTCATATGTTTTCCCCTGCCTCAAATCAAGCCGTTCGACCTTGTGACGTCACACGCTCGGAAGCCCCTCCCACAATTGTTGATTGACAGCAACGTTTCAACACAGACCCGCCCTCGCTCGTGAGCGAGCTGTCAATCATAGTCTGCGCGGACCGGCGCGGTCATTGTTGATATGCTGGAGCACTGTCTATGAGCAGAATGGCATCTAAGCGATTGTGGTGTTCTGTTCTTGTGTGTAATAACGAACACAGCAGTCATTTTAATGTTCCTAAATCCGAACTGTTGAAGACGCAGTGGCTGAGTTTTGCTTTCGAAGGGAATATTCCCCACGAGCAACATCAATGCTCTCATGTTTGTGCGAATCATTTCTCACCAGACTGCTTTATAAAGGAGGGTCAGTATAAAGCTGGTTTTGCTAAGAAGCTGCTCATGAAAAAAGGATCGGTACCAGCTATTCGTGTTCCTGCTGAACCTCTAGAACAACTGAAGTGAGTGTAACTTTTTATTAAACTTTATATTAATATTTGTATTAATCTCTTTGCAAATCGCTAGCTGCATGCTTCACAATGAATGCGTCTAAGGTTTACACTCAGGGTACATTACGGCATGTTTTCTATGTATGATGTTCTCAATATAATTCATAATCCCACGTTTATACTGAACAACGCGTTATGGTTATTGTGTTATTGTGTTACAAACGGTGTACGCACAGCACAGAGGTGCGGGGTGAGCAAAGCTCATGATCATTTAAAGTCATATGCACTGAAACGGCGTGCTGAAAACAGAGCTGTTTTTGACCAAGTAAAATAAGTGTTTTCTTACAATACTAATGAGAATTTGTAATTAAAGTATATTACAAACTTTTAATTTAGACCCTAAAGAATCATACTAGCTTGTACAAAAATGGCATTATATGACCCCTTTAAAAGCACCGTTTTTTAAGAGTGTGCGTTGTGCGTGCGTGCTCTAGTACATAAGAATCTGGAAATAAACCAAAATAACTGAGAAAAATGAGAATGGGCTATATGCACGCATAACTTCCGCGTTTGACGCAAAGATGCTCGTGCGTTTCCGGTTGGGGAGATTTAAAGCGGAGGAAAACCGAGGAAAACGGGATTATGGCAGAGTCTTCAAAATTTACTGTCCTCTCGTCTTTGAAACGAAACTTTAATACGTTTAGATGAAATTTTATATATAGTTATGTTTATTTAATATAATAAACACAGAAGCATAAACAAAATGAGGAGTGTCTGTTTTGTCTGTTTTTGTGACTAACGTTCCTTTAGTATAGCAATAGAGTATAAAAACCAATATAAATTCTCGGTATAGCATTGGACTCTACGATCGGCGGAAGTAATCCAGCATCCTTAGACCTTCACCGGATATACCGCCGTGCATAGAGCCCATTAGTCCTTAGATCACCATAATTTAGCAAAAAAAAAAGTATCTCAAACTGATTTATTAAAAGAAGTTATTACTCCACCACGTGCGTGACATCATTATCCAACGTGGTTGAACGACAAATTTGCGACAATACGGTTTCAGGAAACAGTCGTGACTAGCTAGTTGACTTCTTCAACGATGCATCGTACTATGGTAGTTAAGCAGCGAGTTACGCTGTTGTATGGGAAACGTAACCCTCTTTAGTTCCTGTCTCTATAAAGCCCCTCCTTCCAAAAACCACAATGTGCTCTGATTAGTCGACTGGACCAGTGAGTGGGATTGGTCAACCTCTTTTAGCGTGTGTGTTTTGGAAATGTCACGCTCTTACCATAATTAGAGTTTCAACAGACTACTAACTAGACCAGGCCTCGCTCCTTTTCTTTTGCGTATGCCTTGGAAATAATTCTTTAAATGAGAAATATTTTGTAACGTGTATGTTCCTGGAAGAAAACTCAAGACTACAATTAAGGCGTTTCAGGGAGTTCAGAAACAGTGCGCGCTGATATAGAGAATAACTCCCTTTGGAGTGGATTTGTGCAGTGTAACTATGCAGACACTTTTCATGCTCGAACAGCAACATTACACACTAAAGAAAGTTGAAAATGTAAAAAAGCATAATAGGACCCCTGTAAGTTTGTGTACATCTACATACAAACACACAACACACAATGCACCTCAGTTCTGTGAGCAAGCTGCCAGCCTGTTTCCGTCTGCCTGTAAAATTCCAGGTACGGGTCTGATTTTCCAAGGAAATCCTGCAACAAATTCCACATTTAGACATCGAATGCATTTTACCATTTAAAAGAGAATTCACAAACTCACGTCTTACCTTTTTGTCTAATTTTCTGGCCTCCACTTCAAAATTCACAACTCTGTTGTCCTTGATTTCCTCTGCACTGATCTAATGTGATCAAATATTTGCTGTTACAACACGGCAATGGTGATTATATGGACAAATACATACAAAACCATTCAAAAGGTCAGCACAAATTTTTTTTTATTAATACTTTTGTTCATCAAGGAAGCATTCAATTCATCAAAAGTGACATACAGTTTGGACTGGCGGTATGGTTCTGTTCTTACTAGTTTAGGTCTGTGCCAGAACTAATGCTAAGCTTGATTTCTTTTGAACTTTCTATTCATCAAAGAATCCTGAAAAACTGTATCATGGTTTCAACATTAACATTTAAAATGTTTCTTGAGCAGAAAAATCTGCAAATTAGAATGATTTGTGAAGGATCGTGTTGAGACTGGAGTAATGATGCTGAAAATTCAGCTTTGCATCACAGGAATAAATTACTTTTTAAAAATATTTTAAAATAGAAAACTGTTTTAAATTGTAATAACATATCACTGTTCTTACTGTATTTTAGATCAAATAAATGTAGCATTAATGAGCATAAGAGACTTACTAACCAATCTTACCAACCCCATACTTTTTAACGATAGTTGATGTATGTCTATCACCATTTATTCCTTACATATTCATGTGAACTTTCAGTTGATGTGAATATGATGTTAAATATCATGGACATTCACCGTAATTGTTCCCTTTCCTGCAGGTTTTTTGTTCTTCAGCACCAAAGGTCTCGTCAGCTTGCTACTGGAAACAATCTGTACAGAAATTGGAAAAAAAGGGGGAAAAAACACATTAGATAATGTTAAAAAATAATTAAAACATGGATGCTTTGTTATATACTCAACTGTCTTACCTGACCCAACGAGCACTCAAACTCGCCCAGGAAGTCGTCATCACTTAAATCGATGGTTTTATTGTCAATATCATAAACTGCAAATCTGAGTTTCTGAACGATCTCAAAGTAGTAATCAACGACAAACTTCTTAGCAAATTTTGGGTTCAGGCAGTTGTTAATCCTCTCAGTTCTATCGACCTACGAAACAAAAACACGTTCTATTTTTTAAATATTCATTTTCACATAGACATTTGAACAATTTGCACAACAAGTCGACTGACTTCAAACCACTGGTTTCCAGATGCATTGAGCAGGACACACAGCGGGTCGGATTTGGACCCCACATCCATGTCCAGCAGGTTGTCACAGGAGACCGTCAGCTCCACCTTGGACACACACTGAGTTGCCATAGGACTTGATGAATGTGCCATGGGAACTGAAAGCATTTGTGATAAAAGAGGATTTTTAAGCCACAAAACTGGCAAATAGTCATATTAGGAACATTCCAGTGGTTTCTGTATTTCCCTTCGTGCTCTATAACATGATGTGGCCTCTATAACCACTATTAAATAGGCCAAACAGCAATATGTATGATAAGGTCATATATCATTTAGGCCTACTTAATTTTTTAAGGCTAGTTTTTAGCACCTAGACACGTACAGGGGTTGGATAATGAGTCTGAAACACATATAGCTTGAGTTATAAGTGCAGTTTTAGTTTCCCACGCTAACGCTACGTGTTTGTTTGAATGATCTGACTTGTCAGAACACATTCTTTTTTAATCCAACTGGTTCTGTAGCAAAATAATGACAATGTGAATATAGTTTAGAATCAATAAAGGATGTATTCAGTGTTGCTGCTGCTGTTGTTTAGTTGTAAATAGATGTTTAATTTGAACTGATAGTGGTGGTTTGCATTCTCCCTGCTTAATTAAAGTCATAGCATACGTTGATTCAGGTCATAACATCTCATTTGCACTCTAACATTACTAGTCACACATGACATAACCACAATTATTGTGGTAACCACATAACCACAATGTATCTTATTTAAATTAGCACATTTACAGTATATATGCCAAAACCCAAAAGTGATGTCCAGACAAGGAAAACTGACCCATCACCCTTTAATCAAAAATTATTAAAAATGTGTTAAAGATTTTGTAAGCATATTGCATAGCTGTGCTTAAAAATTATTTGTTTTATTTGTGATAACGCAATGAAACATGCCAAATTGTGAGACACTAACCCAGGCTGTTATACAAAAATACACACACACACACTGCAACTTGTAGGAACTGGATTTGTTATACTAATATACCATATTGCTCATGTCATATTTATTTACTATGTTTTTGTGTTGTTACTTTCTCTATATTATATATTTTTTATACAATTTTAACAATATTTGTTGCTGCAAACTTTTCAATTCCACGTGAATTCAAGCAAATACATGTAATTATAACATATAATAATAAAGCCAAAGTTTATGTATGTTTAAGCAGTCTACTTTGTATCATGTATAATAATAGTTATATTTTAGTGTATAATCTTATTTAACTGTGAATTAGTAGCGCGAGTAATTTAGGCCTCGGCACAGTCGGCAGTGATTGACAGGTATGTGTGCAGGCACGTGCACAGGTAGGGCTCAACCATAGAGGGCTCAACCTGTGCAGAGCACATGCCCTTTTTGCTCTTACACTCGAAGTACCCTTTTTTTTTGTGGTGGTGTTTTTTTTTCTTCTTCAATAAATCAATGCTATTGGTCACCCTTTACGTCTGTCTGCCTGTTTTAAAAAATATTTAGCCAATAAAAGTTCTTAAAAAGAGCTTGTGTAAATCTTGTTCGATCCTCAAACTGTCAGTAAAGCTGATAACTCCGCCCCCTCTATCGTGACTAAATTAACTGAAGCTCCGCAGCGACCGCACAGCAGCTGAACGGAGTTTTGCAAGGGTAAATAAGGATCTTGTTGTTTGAATAAGTACTAAACACTTTGTCTATAAAAGCTCATATTTTATTTATTTGATGTCTGACTGAGACATGTGGGACCTGTCACCTGAGAGAGAGGTCTAGGCTAGAATTTGCCATCTAGTCATAACCAATACATAGCCTACACTTAAATAGCCTGTGCATACAGTAGCTTTTCATCTTTTATAAAATGCGATTTTGGCCAAATGTATTTTACAACAGGAAAAACTGAGCGCCTATATAGCTACAACAAACTTAACCCGTTGATGAAAATGTAACTTAATGTGATGCCGCCGGCGCCGTTTAATGACGGACAAAATGCACATTTGCACACATTCGCTGTTCAAAAACCCCGTAACTGTATTTGAGTTTGACTTTTGTAAAATGTTAACAATATATTCATAAGTAATACAACGTATAACTTGTTTTTACCATCGGAAAATCATAAGCACAGGTGCGCCCCCGCGCTGTTTCGTTCTGAAACTACACAAAGCGACTGAGTGATCCTCGTCGTCACCTAGATAATAGCCTATATTTTTAAGAAATTTTCTTCTTTGATTTATGATTGCTGATACACTTAATTTATTAACATTTCATCTTGTTATGGCAATAATATTAAATTATGGTTAATTCAAGCCTGTTGATATGCACGTATTCGCTATATTTTTTTTAATCTGGTATTCTATACTCTCCGCTCGTCCTCACATGTATAAATGTAGTAAAACATGGTTTTACTACAGTAATGTTGTAGTAGTAACTAAAAAAAACATTACAGAAATCTATTTTAAACATCACTGTGAAATCTTTATATTTTATCATGCAGAATGTAATTCATGATTTAATTCATTCCAATGCTTAATTTATTTGATCCAAAATACAACAAAAACAGTAATATTGTGAAATATTTTTACAATCTAAAATAACTTCTCTATTTAAATATTTTAAAAAGTAATTATATCTGTGATCAAAGCTGAATTTTCAGCATCATTACTCAAGTTCAGTACTCCTCAGTGTCACGTGATCCTTCGGAAATGCTTTTCACTGCAACTGTACTTTTCACACTATTTTATTTATTTATTTTCATTGCTGGCTTATTTTAGGGAAAGTGTAGTGAACAAGGGACCTTCAAGAGACCAACATTCCTGGTCCTCCACAGTATCAAGTTTTTGCCAGGTAGGCGGATACATGTTGGATATGCTATAGTTGTATGGCTACCATTGTATGGCTATAGTTTCTTATAATCTGGAATTGAGTTGGACACAATTATTTAAATTATATTTCAAAATAGTTTCTCAAAAATACTTGACTCATGTTTATGTGTGACATTGAGAAGAGGGGAAGGTAGAGTAATGTTAACCAAATAATACAAATTAGCTTATGAAACCAAACAGAATAGCTAAAAAATATATATATTTTATTGAACTTTTTGTGTGCAAAGAACAAAATATATATATATATATATATATATATATATATATATACACACATTTTTTATAACTATAACATTTATAAAAAATATATAAATGATATAACTATTTTTTGTACTTATATGAATTCTGATTACATGGTGGGGGAAAAAAGGGAGGGGGTGCCCTTTGTCAGTTTCAGCACATGCCCCTCAAAAGGTCTGTGCACGGCCCTGTATGTGTGTGTGTGGAGTTGAGCAGAGTGAACTGTATGCTACAGTAATTTTAAACAGGAGGTGTGTGAGGAGTCAGTGTCTGTGTGAGAGGAGCAATGGAGGCTCTTGAATGGAAAATTTGACTTGATATCAGAGCAGTCAGTCATCTCATGTCAGATCTCACCACAGATCATAGATGTACAAGACTTTTAATAGATGCTCATTAAGTGATAAAAGTTATTTATCCTTACAGTAAACTAGGGTACCAGATGGCAACATACCATAATGTTTTCTTACACTAAATGGTTAACATTATACCATGGTATGTAGTAGCCTAAATGAACTCCAAGGTACTTCTCACAAATAGCTTTAGGCATTGTTACTTGAAATAAAATAAACGTTAATTGAAATAAAATATTTAAAACAAACGTATTTTATTTCAGCTATTTGCTGATTTTCATTAAGTGATGTAACGTTAGACTACTAAATTAACTAAAGTTTGATTAACTTGATGTAAAAATACATCATTGATCTATAATAACTAAAACTAGAATTAAATTAGAGCATGAATAAATACAAAAGGTGCCAGATAATAATAAAAAAAGGTTACTGCGCTAACGTTACTGATCTATCAATATTAAACTAAACAATTCATCTAACGTTAACGTTACGCTATTAAAGCCGTTTTGCTTTTGCCACATACGGTATAACGTTAGATATGGATCAGCTAGAGACACATTTATGTTTACAATGACGTCTCATCTTGTGCAATACTCATGTTGCTACGGAAATAATTGCGTTCACTACAATACTGTACCGTGAGGATCTCGCCATGAAAATAGTCTGAATAGCTTACCTCGGGTTGTTGGTTTCTGACTGTGTAACAGAGTTAATAGTTTTTGGTTTAGTCTGGTTTCTCTTTCCTTGTGTCTCAACCTCCTCGATGATGTGAGGCTGGCTGTTATAAATGTTTAGTAGAACAACCGAGTCCCCAGACCCTAATGTAAAGCAACTGTTTTGATCCGTACTTGAGGGAGTGGGACCGTTGATCCGCCCTGCTGGCAACACTGCGCATGCGCGGTATAGTAGGAAACGACTGTGACCTTAGGACTGTGACAGCCAGTCAGTGGGAGTGTCTCCACAAAGGGCCAGTTGCACACTGAATTCAGAACCGCATACTACTCTTCCTATTTCCCCCTATTTCTTTCTATGGCACAATCAATTAGAATGCTGTTTTGGCCAGTAGCAGTTTAACCAAGCGGTAGTAATCAGTCTTACTTCTTCAATTCAAATTAGACCGTGAGCAGTAGGTAGGTTATGTGACTTCAGGCAGTAACAACTAATTGACATTATTCCAGTCTAAATATCATGAAAGTAAGCAGGAAATACAGAGAGAATATTTAAATTGGGGGGGGGGGGGGGGGGGGGGGGGGGGGGGGGGGGGATTGTTACAGGGATAAATCATGATAGTAGGCTACTGTGAAACATTTCCAAACACAAAACTATCTCTCAACATAAAAAAGCAACAACAGCAAAATTAATCAAATTGAAAACTCGATATATTTATTTAAACAAAAACTATGTACTATAGATATTTCAGACAGGAAACCAAATAAAACTGTGCTGATAGTCTCTATGGAAACTAACTCTGAAGGACTGTGCCACTAAGTATTCAAGAATATATTTGTTACAAACAATCTTTCATCGTTTTAAGTATTTGGTTTATTTAGTTACATTGTTTTAAAAGTGACTGAACTTTATTAAAATGCAATAAACACAAAAACTCATCAGTTCATCTAAGCAACATATATCTTTTTATTACAACATTTATTACAGCAAGTATATACACTAGATATATTCATTTTGGAGCTGGTGTATTTGTGAATGAAAAAAAATCTTAAAGTAGATAGTTGTCAACCTTGAAACATTTGAAATATATAATATATAATATCAATATAAACATTTTTTTAAAAAGCCTAATGAGCATAGGCAGTGCTGGTCTACTGTTCAAGTTTCACAAAAGATATAAAACACACATATGACAACAATTTTATACAGTAAAACAGGAACCGAATCAAACAGATAGTAGCAGTCTAGTGTGCCACTAAAATGAATGGGACTTCCCAGTGCACAATTCCTTTAGACTGTTCAGCTCTTCTATCAATGTCTGTTTCTGGTTCTCCATCATGGCGATGCGCGACTCTAAGCTCCGCACATAGTCCTTCTGCCTGCGTCTGTACTCTTTGGCCGCCGTCCTGCAAAAAGCACAAGCAACACGGGCAACACACCACACATTGACTGCCTCTGGAGCCTCTGGCCTCCAGCAAACACACATGCACACATCACCATCTTTCGCACGCGGGACAACACAACCATGCAGCTGTCATCTTATCGAATATTACGAGCGGTGTCTAGACATTGTGTGAAAAGCACGTTTGCCAATTTGTGGCAGCTCTGTAAACGACATAGTCTTTAGTGTTCGGCTTGCAATGGACTGCTATTCGGTTTTGTGACAGTATAGGTCTTTAAGAGCCTTGAGTTCTTCAATGAGCATCTTGTTTTGTTTTTCAAGCACGGCAACTCGGTTCTCGAGACATTTGACATATTCTTTCTTCTTCCGCCGGCATTCCCGGGCAGCTTCCCTGGAAGCAACAACAGAGAGGCTCTGTGAGCATGAATCCTGTAAATCTTACATTTTGTTTACAGGTCCCACTTCATGCAAGTCAGAAATGCAGAATATCATCGTGGCAAGCATGGAAACGCAAATTAAGTCCAAACCCGGAAAGCTTGAGTTGTGAGTACTTGTATACAATATGTGCATGTGCAACGCAAATGATTCCACAAGCCGAGTTTTTCTATTCTAAGCATTGCCATTAAACAACAAAGGCCTTTAGCACATGCTCCACACACTGAGACATCATTTTCAAACCCAAGCTGAAACAAGTATGAAAGCTGAAAGCAGGCCAATGGATGCAACAGAAGAACTTGTGAGGCCTCAGATGCGGAAAGAGCTGATGGAAGGACCAACCAACACACCAGGACAGACAAGCTGCTTATAATATCATGCAAAAAGAATAGGCTGATATAATGATTTCATGCTCTTAGGCTACAGAAAACAGTGGTAATCCTGGAATGGGGAAGGATGCCTGGGCATTACCTGTTTTTCATCAGTCGGTGTTCCCTCTTGCGTGACGCGTCCTCAGCCAGCTGCTGAGGGCTGGGAAGAGACCCGGATGAGCTGTCATTCACCTGGGAAAGGCCAGATGCCGGAGAGGAAACCTGATATGCAGACATACCTCCAGGAGTGGCTGCAAAAACACACAAACATATCCGTTTATAGAGGAACAGGTGTTTTCAAAGAGTTTTTTTTTTTTTTTTTTTTTTTTTTTTTTTAACAGGGACAATACACTAAGCATTGTTGCACATAGACAACCGATGCTGTGTACATAGGGCATATAGCATAAAGCTAGTTATTAGAAAACATTTACTGGACATGTTGTCATAAACAAGAATATTTTTATTTGCTGGCAAGTAGTTCAGTTTTTGACCCTGCTAATACTTTTATTGGCTACAAAAATACCAAAATAATATTTCATTTTTATATTTATAATAATCAATAAACTGTGCGTTTTATTTACAAATGAATAAAACTATTTACAACATATGACCCAAATCTCTCTCACATTGGTCCCAGGTCATCTTTATTGTTTAGCCCTGCACCAGCAATATTTAAGCAATAACAGTACATTGTTGTGGTTATTGTTATGGCTGTGCTGGGCATTACTGCTATTCCGGTTATATACAGAGGTCTCAGAGAGTATTTGGACACTAATGGCACGCTATGAACACATATTAGGCAAAATATTAAACAATTGTAAACCATTTTAATTCAAGATTTCAAACAAAACATTTCACAAAAATAAGTGTTCTAAAGCTTTTTTTGTGCCCACTTTATAACCAAGCTAATGAGTGAGTTATTGTTTTTATACAAAAGCACTGTGTATGCATTATGCAATACAAAAATAAATAAATAAATCTGAAAATAAATGCTTTAGTAAAGTTAAAATTTCAACAAAAACAACTAATTACTTTCCAGGAAATTTATTCTAGGTAAGTTTCCTATTACATGAATTATAAAATTCAAGGTTTTCCAGGATGAGTGGGACCCCTGACGGTTTGCAACAAACATGTCAATTAGGTCAAGCAGAGATTAATGACTTTCTGCCTATGACAGCTAGAGGGTGGATATTATCAAGACAAACTTTACAAGCATACCAGTGGTGACATTTAGACGTCAATGTGGTTGAGAGTTGCAATTGCTGATCTCCATGATAAAACAATCAGGGGTTAATTTGAAATGACATATTTGTCATGGTACTTGTCTCAAATTTAAAATAGAAAGAATGAATGCAAACACATCTCCATATTCTTATATGCATAACTTTAAGCATAAATAAAAAAGAATATTATCATTTATATTTACAGATTATAAAAGATTATACTGACATGGAGTTGTGATAGAAATATTTTATGTAATGGGTATTTTCAACAATAAATTAATGTACAGAGAAATGCAGACTAAGGATGCTCAGGTCAAAGACCATAATACTTACCCAAAAAGTGCTTAACACAGTAGAACTATTATGATTATCTTAGATCATTACAAACCAATTACTGTAACAAATCACAGTGAAGAGGACTTGAGTGACATTGATTTTTACTCAACTGTATGATTTAAATGTACATGTATCTTTCTATTCAGGAGACTCACTTGGTTGTTGTGACCAGTGATCTGACTGTGAATTAAACTTCATTCCTGCAAAGAGCAACTTGGGAGTCGTGTCAGGTATATTCTACGCTCAAAAAACCACCACAGAGACAGTGATAGTGTTGGAAGATTATAGAGCCGACCTCGGGGTGAGGCTATAATACTCTTGGTATTAATGATCCTGTGTCGGACCAGCGTACACCTGAGAAGGACGGTGAGAGTGTATAGATGCTAAAGATGCCGTCACCATCCTTCAGGGAAGTATTGGATTGTAAGTATTCAGGGAATTACCTTGAGATACTGTAGTTATTATTATTAACAACTGAAAGTTGTTTAAATTGTCCGTGGTGAAGAAGTCAGATTTAGTAGGTTGTATTCGTATTGATTATTTCTACAATTGAGAGTCTGATAGCATGAGTCCATGAATATCACCATGCTACTAAACAGGTCTGAGGATCAACAGAATCAAATGTCTGCAAGGTCCACAGGCATTGAATTAATACCCACTAGAGATCAGCAAACACATTGTGTTGCCGCTGAGTATGTCACAGTGTTAGACTGTAAACAGATCTACTCGTGGTGAGGTTATAAACTGGATTTCACACCAATAAAGGCTCCTACATATTTGTGCAGATTGCAACATGCAACCATCCTGCTCTTTTGAAAGCAGAGTGAATCAATTTCCACCAGAAGCCGCAAAACTATGTGGTCACAGTCACATATTACACCAAGCAGCAGGTCACATGGGAGACTTGCATGATTGAAAGTTCTTACTTTTTGATCTCTCTTCACTGAAACTAATGAAATAAATGTACAAAGCTCATGAACAATTAAAAGAAATACACAGCAAAATAAGCAACACATCTTTACGTCTCTGATTCTTGTTGTCTCCTTGGAGACTGTGGCACAGTCTAAAAGATGATTAATTTAGAAGTCTTGCTCTCGCAAAAGGAGCTGCTTGTATTCACAGCATGACTCTGAACTGACGTCAATGTACATCTTATTTTCTGTTCAGCATTTACATTTCCCTGCTGGTGTTCAATTCCAGGAAACAAGATGACGTCAGCTGCACTGTGAGTGGGCAGCGCATTCATGCGTTTCAGAGAGAGAGAGAGCAACAGAGGTGCTGACAGAAACAAGTGAGGGTAACAGAGGGACTCAACAGGGAGCAATAAAATCACTTATGTGAAAATTTAAATTTTACCCTGTTGCATGCTGTAGAGATGACCCATAGCAAGAATATAATAAGAAAACAGATTCGATACCCAAAAAAATCGTACATCATTTTCTAAGTACCATCTCTGTGTGTCTCTACCAAAACTTCAAAGTTTTGTTTGGGCATTTGAAATATTGATTGTCAGTTTATATTCTCTGAACATTGCCAAATCAAATTTAAAATTACCCAAGCAAATCCAGAGGATAAACAACCAAAATAAACGGAGGTATTTTAAATGCAATCTTTAAATGTATTAAATGTATTGTTAAACGCGGTGAAAAGAGCAAAATAACCACAAGAAACACCCAACGTACCTGATTCTGTGTCATCTCCAGTCACAGCCATATATAGTGAGCTGAAAGCAAGTCTGTCTCTCTCTGCTGTCAGCATGCAATGATGCCCAAACCACAAGCTAAGTGTGCAGTCACTGTCAGGGCCATTGACATCACTATGACATCATTGGCCTCCTGATGTCAGTAACGCAGTGGCTAGCGGAGCCAGCCCTTCCTTCCCCCACCCCCCTCTGTCGTCATTCACACATCAGACAGTGAACCGGACCAAAGCAGACTATAGAAGCAAAGGCAGTTTTTTATGTATAAGACTGTCTCTAGATTTTGTTTTCTATAATGGTTTCAACAGAAATAAGATGTATTATGTACAATGTCATGTGAAATTGTTTTGGAAAGCCTGCTTTTCATTTCAAGCAAGCAGTGCTGACATGAATTTATGCACAAAGGTCTTTGTAAGGCTGTGAATTGCATGAAACCTGTCAGGAACATATACGGATCACATTTCACCCAAAAATAAAAAAAAGAATTACAATACCATACATATTGTTGGGGCATTAAGATGTTGTGAAAGAAATTCAGTAAGGAAATTGATCAATGGCGACACAGAAGACTTGTACACTGTTATAAAGAATTCAGCATATTAGAATGATTTTTGAAGGATCATGTGACACTCAAGACTGGAGGAATGGCTGCTGAAATATCAGCTTTGCCATCACAGAAATAAATTACATTTTAAAATAAATTACAATAGAAAACATTATTTTATTTCAAGAAAATCTTTCTTGAGAAGCAAGAGGCTTCTTTCTAAAATATAAAAAAAATATTACTAACTCCAAACTTCTAAACTGTATATAAAAAATAATTAAAGGCACAATATGTAAGATTTTTTTCGCCACAAGAAGGCGCAGTTTCCAACAATAACAAAGGCGTAGGTTGATGACGCAGTGATGAGCTGAATGATGGGACTTGCTGACAAGCTGATGGATCTAATAATGTTTATGGATGAGTGCAAACATTCATGTTTTTTAACATTACAGTGGTATGAAGCAGGTCGTGATTGCTAAAGAGACAGATATCACACGCGAGTCCCGCGGATATAAAGGAATAAGGACATTTAATTCTATCGAACTACCCGCAAATGCTGGAATTACTCACACAGGTCAGTTTATTAGACAAATTAAACTTGTGAGGTAACGCAGCGCTGCTTCACTTGGTCTAATGTTACACTATCACACTAAACGGCATTTAAATGTGTGTTGTAAAGTTATAATGTTACGTGTTAGTTCGTTTGCTATACGAAACTAGCAGTGAGCTAGATCAACATTAGAATAACATACTGACCATATTCTAACATTTCATCATGTTGAGCTAACGTTATATAACATTGATTTGTTTTATGTACATGATTTGCTCACCTGTCTAATAAAGCTGTCAAGTTGTGACTCTTGAAGCTCTGTCAAGTCCAAGTTAGTCGCGGACGTGGAGCTCTCGGCATCTCAAAAACGCCACGCTGATATTGATCCTCATTTTAGTTCCCCTTTTTTGTCCCAAAGTCTCCTTGCAATGGTCTATGTTTGCAAGAAACAAGAACTGCGTGCCGCTAAACGTTACGCACTACACAGTTGTCCACGTCTGTCGCCATGGTTACGTCATGGCTATGGCAGTATGAACGGAAACCGAGGATAGCGCGGATATTGCGTCATTGACAGGCGACATTTTTTTCAGGGACGGCCACTTATTTAAAATAGGAATTTCTCTGAAATAAAAAATCTTTGGAGACTTTTGGGATATTGTAAGTACACAACTGCAGGAAATATATCACACTGTGCAAGTGATTTTTGGATATTTTATTACAAAATTCTTACATATTGTATATTGTATTTTTACATATCCTATTTTTAGAAAAACTAAGATTTTTTTTGCAAAACCGTTCTCGTTACTTAATTGTCATGGAAATAATGTCAAAGGCAAACAAAAATCTTTTGGTAAAAAAAAAAAAGTATCATTGTCACTATGCAAAATATAATTTATTTTGGGGCCAAAAGTGACCAGAGCATGTTCTCATAAGAATTACCCAAGCTTTATAATGGAAGTGAATAGACCCTGAGTATTTGAAGCTCCAAAAAGCACATCCATTATAAAAATAATCCATACGGCTCCAGGGGGTTAATAAAGGCCTTCTGAAGAAAAGCGAAAAATATCCATATTTAGAACTTTCTAAACTATCATCACTGGCTTCTGGTAACGGCCGTACGCGAGTCCAGTTTGGGCGGAAGAGTGACCTCTGGCCCAAATGCGTCTGACCCTTTATTAATCCATTGGAGCTGTATGGATTACTTTTATGATGGATGCGCTCTTTTGGACTTCAAAATCTAAGGTACCATTCACTACCATTATAAAGCTTGTTTTTTTTTATATGGTATTATAACAAAATGAGAGTATAATCCAAATGAATGAAATCAATGACAACATTACCTTGGCCCTTATTGTCAGACACAATGTAGGTGCCATTCCTGGAGTGGACAGCATACTGCATTATGGGAGACCTAGGCCATGAAGTGAAGGTTTCATATCTCTGCTGGCAGGGGATAAATTGGACACTGCCGCTCTGGTTGACGGACACTTCAGAATAATAAAACAAAGGTCACATGAGGACAAGGCTGTGCATTTGCATACTTTTGATTTTACAATAATGTTTAAGAAATCACCTACAGTGGCCTCAAAAAGGTTGTTTTTTTTAAAAGAAAGACAGCACAAGCAAATTTTAAAAACATTTCACAAAAAAGGTTTGCTGAGTTTTAAATAATAAAAAGATTTAAAATTGAACAAAGTATTTGAATACTTTTTAAACATTACGAGGAAATGGCTCAGAAAAGTAAAGTTGGTTGTTTGGGAATTGCCATTTGGTTTGATATTTTATTATATAATGCAATGGCATTCATTCATTTTAAAGTGTAACTTAAGATTGTGCCCAAAAGTGTCTAAATAGATTTTGGGGCCACTGTGCATGGGAAATATGTCTTTGAAACGCCTCACTGAAAGGGCCTGCATTGGTGTTGTTGAAAAGATTTCTTGAGGATGCCTCAGCGTCAAACTTCTTTTCTGCATCTTCATCTTTTAGACAGTCACCCAGATGTGTACTGGTAGAAGAGTCTGGGAGATCCCCTTTAGGGTTTTCGTCTTTACAAATTACTGATGATGCCTGAGTAGAAATAGGTTTTTTTGATTATTAAGATTTAAAAAAAAAAAAAACATAAATCATCAGAATACTTTTTTTTTATGAACTATTCCTTAAAAACTTATTTTCTGAATCCCTGATTTCTACCTGCCATATACATAGGGTTACATATAGGCTACAAGAAGGACCTTATGGTGATCTTGTGATGAATACCTACAGTAATCTATGAGGTTTAGATCACACACATATGATTTTCCAAAGCACAAAAGGTCATTCCTACGCTTTTTTCCACCTGCCACCTACATGCGCGACCAGATCACAGTGACGCTGGCGTCTGTGCGATCTGTGTGATACGGTAGCGTCTGAACCCACTGTCTTCAGTCACTCAGAGACACCACATAACACTGAAGCTGCTCAGAGGAGACTGTGCACTATTAAAAATGATCAATTGAGTTTTAAAGGGAACCCCTGTGACCAGAGGTTTTAGGTGCATCCCAATTTGAGTACTTGTGCACTATTTTGTAGTATAAATAGTGCGAGTAGTGTTTACACTGCATTTATGTCCATTTATTATGCCCTTCCCGTGCTAACTTCCCTCCAACTCGTTCACTCGGATGTACATCATTGTTTAAGTTGCACGAGTGTCCTCTACTGGTGGAACCCTTGCAATGTGTTTACGGTAAATGGAATGCCCTAGAGTGACAATACAATAAACTATAACTGTGTAAAAAACAGTCAGCTTAAGGTAGAGTATTACACAGTTGAATGTATGTCAAAATAATATGTCTACTGCGACGTCACAATCGTGTTTCATTGTGGTCTATGGGTCTGCCTGAAGTGTACATATATTGAATATACTTGGGCTGCATCCGAAATCGCATCATTCCCTATAGCAGGCGAAAAACAGTATGTGACAAAAGTTTGTCTGAATTCAGAGTACTCGTAAAAAAAAGGCAAAAAGTCCCCGGATGACCTGCTACTTTTGGCTGGATTATTAAGTGTGCATTCGATGGACACTTTACTATCCCGTGAGGACACGGGAGGCGATTTATGAATGGAGGTGAAGCAACGCATGAACTGGCGCATGATAATGACAACATGGCGAATATAGTACATCCAGATTATATTCATACTGCAGCTGCACACATTCACACTATATAGAACGTACTTTTAAGCGGTCATGAATAACTTATTCAAAATAAGTACCTAGTCAAGACAATTGAGATTTCGGACTTAATTTCGGATTTGATTTCTGTTTAAGCTAATTTTTTTATTTTTTATAATTTAATTTAACAGCAGAATTCATGGTGAAAACTATATTACCCATGATGCTGTACAGAAAATTACCAAATTACACCAAATAGTGAGTTTGTATGTAATAGAATCAATCTCTCTCTCTCTCTTTCTCTATATATATATATATATGCATGATTTGCATTATATAATCAACATTTGTTTTATATCTCTTCAAAAATGATTTGATTATGCTGTACGCAATGCTACATGGGATTGTAGTTCCTTTGCTCAATAAAGCTATTAAGTACAGTCTTGTACCTTTGTCAAGACTGGGGGGGGGCAAATAGAACTTAACGTTACTTCCGGAACCAGCGCTGCTGAAGAGAGACTGACTCCAATGTTGAATGACACTTATAACATTCATACACTAACATTACACGGTTGAGTACACAGGGCATATAAGTTGTATAAGTGCATAGTGCGCCATTTAGGACAAACCCTACATTTTTGACACAAAATTACCCTTTATTTTAAACTAAAATCCCATAAATTGTGGCAGTAAAGACAGTGACTTTTAAGTTGTAGCAAAGAGAATAAAGTAACGTTACCTTCGATACTCTTTGGTTGTAACTTAGGCATTCAGTTAACTTTAACGTTACCTGTGCATCTTCTGCAGACCGAGTGATTGTTTGACTTCCATCACCTGCATCCATACTGCTTTACACTAAAGAGATAAAATAGCAAATTTCTGTGTCTCAGATAAAATAATACAATGAAACCATAATAGTAATAATATACAAAACATACTCGGAGTGGTTTGAAAAGAAATTTTGCCTAAATTAGGATGTAATATATAATAAATATTTTAAGGTGTGAGGAGTATCGATGAATGAATCTGAATGTTTAAACTGGCTAACTTAGGTTTCGCAGTAAATGTTGTGTTAGAAGATAACGTTATGTTTTTTGAAAAAATATACTAGCTGCTAGCTCTATAAATATACTAACTTACTCTTCTCACAACACATTTGAGATGTCCTTTAAATGCTTTAAAAAGTGTCAATGGACAGAAAAGTGAACGTTTTCGTCGAATGTCATCTAATATTGTCGTTTAAAACAATTTCTTACCTTCTTCTTTTTATGAGAAAGTCGTTTGTATTGTAACGCGAACGAGTACAGTCGTCGAGTACACACGGCGAGGCGAGCGGTTTGGTTTGTAACGGTCAATTTCATAATAAGCGCGAGCTCTTAAATTTTTCAAAGTCAATTGACTCGCGCGCAGTAAAACTATATTAACGTTACCTGTACTACGATTTTTAGGAATTTAATTAAGTAAGTCCAAATTTGGGATGCCAAAACCAACCGAATAAACCACTGGAAGAGAGCTGGAAAATGTAATACATTGTCTTGGACGTTTTCTGTTTTACTAATAATACAGTTAATTGACATGGACTAATGGCGACATCCAGTGATTGAAGTTGGAATAGAATCACGTTCTCGTATCTTACGCTCCATGTCTTCTCCAGTCATTTTATTACTAAATATTTTTAAAATTCATAACATTTTAGACAGATTTGATAAATCGCCATTCAAAAAAGGCATTTGATATGGGTTTTCCATGATTAAAACCTTTAAGACAGTGTCCTTATAATTGCTATCTAACATCAAAAGTAAAACTAGAAAACTCCTAATTTATTATTGTATTTATTTGTTGGTCTTTTTTGAAAATACAAAACAAAAACACATTAAACATTACAAAACATTCTTTAACCGAAGTGACACAGGCAATGTTTAAAGTAAAAAGACAATGAAATTCAGTTACTGTGTAATCCTAAGGAAACAAACAATGTAGAGATTTGGGTCAATAATAACTAAACTCAAATTCACCTCTCCTCAAAGGTAACCACCAGTAGTGTTATCAAATCAACTTAATTGAGTTTTCTTTTTTCTTGAATTAAGCACATAAACAATTTACCATTTAAAATTTCGCAAATTTAGTGCGATTCCAATGTAAATTTTTCGGTCAGACTTTAAAAGTTAAGAAAACCAAGCCAGAGGTACACAAATGAGTAAGCATGCTCTCAGCACCAATACAGCTCAATCAACCAATTTATGTACACACACAGGCAATTAGTGCAACAATTAACTGCAGTGAGAGCGTGTAGAGTGATAAAACTTATCAACTAAAAACAGGCATATGAAGCGGAGGCACAAACTCTAAGGGTTCGTCTTCAAGCGGGGCAAAGCAGTAACAAACACACCGTCACCCAGAGAAGACGAACCATGCCTGCAGTTACAAATACCCAAATTAAAACCAGGAAAAATAACAAACAAAAAAAGTTATTTTAAATGCTAACGTTATTAATATCTTGTATGAAATAACAATTAAGACATTGCATTTAATGTACAGTTGTTTTTCTCCCAATCCCTTTGGATTTTTGCTCGAGATAACTGCTGATGGTTTTGCATCTGTCATATGTGGTAGAATGAGCTAGTGCTGATGGGATTTTTTTTGTCTCTTTTTTCCATTTTTAAATATATACATGCATTCAATAGGTATTCCAATTAAAACTAATTCCAACTCCCTTTCTGGTTTCACCATTTAAAGAGTTAGCTAAAAACTGCAAGACAGTCCACACAACACAATTCAGCATGAAGAGCTTGTCTGTTCTTCGGCCGTGAGATATGTCGTAGAATGAGTGAAAGATGGGAAGTTGTTACAGAGCCGGACTGGGAAGATACTCTTTCCTTTCATCTGCCAACTGGAGTCGGATTCACATTATGTTTGGAAGGAAGAGCAACTTTCTGATAGCACTTGTAGTGTCAGCTCCAATTGTAAAATACTGGACAGTGAGAATGCATATCTACCATCATTTGACCTAAAGATGACAAAAAGACAATTATTTCAAATACGGACAACAAAATCATGTTATTTTGTTAGTGTATACACCAGGGATTCTCAACTCTGGCCCTCGAGATCCAATTTCCTGTGCAGTTTATCTCCAACCCTAATCAAAGGCCCTGTTAACACCTGGTATTAAGATGTGTTTTGGTCGATCGAATCACAAGTGGACGACACTAAATACAGGTGTAAACAGGCAGGGTCTAAAACGCTTTGAGCTTGTCCACTTTCAACCACTTCCAGAGGTAGTCAAAAACGCATTCGCCCGGATTCCTTTCATAGTGTAAACACGTGGTCGAATGTGTTCGAACAGCCACAAAAGACCCCCTACTCTGCCTACTTACTTGCGTAAACATTACGAAACAAAAAGCTTCGGCTCTCAGTGCATTTTCCCGTAGTCTCCGGGTGCATATATATGTAAATTGCGTGAGCTTACTTCGTCCATTAGATCAAAAGATCTGAAAAAGCCCATACATTAACCTGCCTATAGACCCTCCCCTCGAAGAAATCAGGACAGAAGTTGTTGAAAGTGGACAAAAGAGAAGGATTAAAATACCAGGTGTAAACGGGAATGTGTCTCCCTCATATACTTGTGATGTGATTGAACAAAACATATCTTAATACCAGGTGTAAACGGGGCCAAACAAACCTGAAAAAGCCAATCAAGGTCTTCTGGATTACTAAAAAGTTGTAGGAAGGTGAGTTTAATCAAGGTCTGAAGTAAACTCTGGGGGAGTCGAGAACCCCTGATAAACTCAGAGAAGGTGCGATCACACTAGCAAAATTTGGTGAAATTTTACAGGCAAAATGTATCCATTTTAAATAGTGTAGTAATGTATGAAGAACAGCTCACACAGGAATCACTTTTAAACTAAGCAGCTGTCTGTCAGTCAACTTGGTGAATTCACGAGACCAACTGAACCCAATTCGAAATCTGCATGGGGAAATCTTTCGTCCTCACATGAAATTCCCAATAGTGTAGAATCCTGGAAATTTCGGTACATGTGAGCGCACCTTAAGAGCTGGTAAACATGTGGGATTTGCACTCACAGTGTCGTGTTCACCACTGCGGGGGCACGTAACTGTAGGTAGGAGTGGCGGGCTGGCGGTACGTGGGCATTGAGGGGTGGGGCGCGACCGGGGTTGGAGAGTGAGTGGTTAATAACGTCCCTGCGAAGGAAAAAATATTTTCACCCTTTTTTGTTCAACTAGATGAATTTCCATTGATTATTTCCATGAGACTCACCAGCTGACATCGCCATGGTGGTGCCTCCAACCATTCCCATGGCGACTCCATTAGGACGGGGTGGGGGAATTTGAGGGGCATACATGGCCGCCGGCATGCCGTTGGGCTGGACCACCGTTGTATGATGAATGACATGGGGCGGCGCTGCGTAAAGGGGCTGTGTGTAGTAAGTGCCTTGCTGCTGTGGAAAAAACATCTAATATCTTAAAATACAGGCCAGGGTTGACATTACTTATGCTTAATGACGGCATGAAACAAAATTTGCGATAGTATTTTCTTTCCTATTGACCCGTAAATCTGAGTGAAACGACTTCTCAAACAAGAAAAAATTTAGGATGGGACTTGATTTTGTCCTTTCGGGGTTGATTGGATGGTTGTCATTTGCTATTGCTGTGATGTCATGTGAGTGACAGGTTGTCCCGCCCTCGTGCCGGTAAACACGTCATCAGAGAAATCGTTGCAAGAGGGAGGGGAAGTTATTCAGATTTTTTTTTTTTTTTTTTTTTTAAATACTGATAAATCATTCATAATAAATACTGCAAAATTCCATAAAAAATAAGAATTGTACATTTTTATTTCATGGTTACATCGCCTTACCTGTGCGTAGGGGTTCTGCTGGGGGTAGGGACTTCTCACAGGGTAGACGGCAGCAGGGTAGGGGTTGGGTGATGAGGAATAGGGGGGTACAGCACCTGTTGTTGGGGAGCAGGACATTTTGAAAGGGGTCCCGGGAGCGTAACCTGTAGGGATGCAAATGCATTTAAAGAGGTAAAGAAAATAAAGTAATTTGCAACATGGCTTTTAAAAAGTGAGCATCACACATGACCCTATGAATAAAAATAGTTGTAAAATTAAGTACCACCCTGTATTTTTCTGGAACAAATTTTACACTGGAAATATGCAATTTTGTAGTAATGCAGCAAAATTTTGGCAAACAAAAATATTCATCCAGTTCAAAATCAGCGACCGAAACTGACATGATTTAGCGCTTCTCCGATGGTGTGTGTGTTGACCGTTTCAGTGTGTAATTTGTGAACCCAATGTGGATAAGCTACAACAGGTAACCAGCTGTGTGGATGGTAGAGCTGGATTGACAATAGCGATTTGTCGTTTTTAATCAATCTTCATTTTGATGAACTGGGATCTAGTATATGCCGGTTTCAGATGATGCGTGAACAAAACTTAACATTATTTGAAGCATTACCTACCATCCAATGATCGCAATATGCTTTCAATTTAAAAAGGAAATTCAAATAAAATGTTGTTTTGATGCTATTTACTGTGCCAAGGCCGACTGCACTATATTACATATTCATATTATTACTTAACCTGTTGTCTTTATTATTTAATGTATGTTTGAATAGATTTGTCATGAAAGCAAGAATTTATTACAGCCACCATTTAAATGTTTATATTTCAACAATAAATTGGAGTAGAAACATAATCATAGGCCTATCATTAGAAAGTTGATATAAAACTGCCTTACATGCAACTTAAATGTGTATATACAACATAGTTTTTATTTGACTATTTATTATTAAATGCATTTGATTAGTAAATTGGTTATTAAATACATTTGATTTTCAATTTCTCTAAATGAAAACTTCAACTTCGGTTTCATTGAAGAAAAAAATAATAATTTTGGTGCATCACTAAAGATTATGAAAGCAAAATGGGCAGTGAATGTCATTTCAAGTTGACTGTCTTTCAGCTGTACTGTTGAGGTATAACACGAAACGTTAAAGAAAAATAATGAAAATTAAAAACAAACTCCAAGAACTCCACTTTCTAGCTTCTTAAAACATAGCAAAAATCAAAACCTATGGAAATATTTCTTGGCTGAGCAAAGGAGAGCCCTGTAATAACTCATTGCATTATTAACAGCTGTGTTTTGGCTGAAAAACACTGTAAAGTTGAGCGAGTTTGGACTTCTCTTACCTGTAGGAAAGGCTGGAGTAGCACCAGGGTACATGCTGGGGGAGTACGCTGGAGCTGCCGCTGCATAACCCACAGGAAATCCCGCTGCAAGAAGTCCAGGAGAAATAAATAAAATCACAGCAATAAACAATAACAACAAAGACAATGTGCTGGAACTTAATTGTATATAGTGTGAAAACTCCAAACACTTCCAATCGATTGCATGCAAGTGAGACAGAGCTCATCTCTGGTTACCTGGGTATCCTATTCCTTTAGGGTTGGCATAAGGATTCCCTGATGACGCAGGGTTATAAACAGGGTTCATGATGTTTATCTTTCTGCACCTTTAAAGAGGAAGGCAGCAGAAGACATTACATACAACCAAACAATGACCTATTACTAGACAGTTGAATTTTGGATCACTTTTCTTCGGAAAAATTACAGACCAAAAATGTATGCACCTCTTGATTGAAATAAATGTTGTGATGTTATTTCCATCAAGAGGTGCATCAATTTTTGGTCAAGATCTTGTATTGACAATGCAAGAGTCCAGCACTCTGTAAAGTCTCCTCCAGCACATCCCAAAGACTCTCACTGAATTTAAGGTCTGGACTCATAGCCGATTCATGTGTGAAAATGATTCTTCATGCTCCCTGCCAACCAATCTTTCACAATTTGAGCCTGATGAATTTTGACATTGTCATCCTGGAATATGGCCATGATGTGTCTCATACATGGCTTTTTAAGAAATTATTAAAATGGTTCTCCATAGCGGCTATTGGACACAAAATAATACATATCAGTATTGGTAAGAACAAAGGGAAAGAAAAAATAGCTTTGCCAAGGTTCAGATTTATCATGTGAAACGGGTATTTTAATGAATTCAGTCCCTCTATAAACCACAAGTCATCCTCTCTAGACCTGTCAATCAAATTGATGTCTGGAAACACAAAGCCACATATATTTTGACAGATTTTTAATGCATTGCATGAGTTCAGTAACATGTAAAAAGATAGATTCTGTGTTACTCAATGACCTATCAAGAAATTGTCGAAATTATGAAAAGGAATGCGTTAAATCGCGTGCTGATGTCAGATGCAACGTCGAGGTCATCCGAGATATGAGATTCAAAACATGCACCAACATGGTGGGGGGATATAACAGATTCAAAGCAAATGTGCATAACGCATCGCATTCGTGCCTCCTCTGAAACACAAGTGTGGTTTTCAATTAGCCTGAAGTCCCGATTGTAAACTGACTCTACCGGTCGGCCAATTAATATTTTACATGCAAGGATAAAAGGATAGCTTTTAGCATCACTGCATATGACGACCGTGCTTTTATGCGCAAACACATCATAATAATAGACGTGACATTGTGCACGCAGGATGCAGCGCAGCGGCTCGGTGTTACAGGCCAACAGCAGCATCTCGCATCCCACTTTATCCCAATTCACTAACGTTAACGTTACATGACCCACTCCTCAATCCATCCGCTTATTTTCCCCAAACAAAATCCCGCACAAGTGGGCAGCTAAAGCTATGTATATTAATCGGATAGTGACTGTGGGTACGTACGGTCGCTGGTTGTTTTTGTAGCTTGCGAATTAATCCAGTATTTCGCTCGCGTCTGATGATGTTGTCTGTCTCGCGCTCTTACGTCGGATGCGAACGCAACGCACAGCAGCGAGCCCTAGCAGCACCGCGCGTCACATCCGCATCTGGTACAAAGCGGAAGAACGTATTCAAATCGGGAATGCAAGCCGAGTTTTTTTTTATGTAATATGTAATAGCACATTTTTATGTCTAGATTTGTTCTAAATGGTTGTTATTATTAAATAAAATCGCATGCTATGAAATAGGCCACTATTTGTTTAAAATGTGTAATCATGTGTTTACGTTCGTGTTGTGGTGGGTCAATTTTACTTCAGTTGTAATGTATGTTTTGTAATATATGTAAGATATTTTAAATAAAAGTGGAAAGGTTTTGTCTCAACCTTAAAAAAAATATATGTTTGCATACAAAGCAGTCCTTATACAGCAATTAATTGTTTTTTAAAAACGTTTTTTTTTAAACAACATATTTTACTATATATATATATATATATATATATATATATATATATATATCAACTGCCATTTTTAAAAACCATATGAAACTATTTTGATTTACGTTTAAGGCTACTATTTTCTAGAATAGGCTAAGTAACACTACTAATCAGATATATAATATTTGCAATTTAATTGCAGACAATAAAATAAATATATATATATATATATATATACATTATTGCAAAAACGATTTTCAACTTTGGTTATTTAAAGCATGATAACGGCAGGCCCAAAAATTAAAATGTATACATTTTTCCAACAACATACAACAATTTTCTTTGTATAGCTTTCAGAAATAGAAAACTATGTTATTCAGTTTAGTAGGAAAGCTATAAAGATCGCTATATGTCTTTTTAAGGTGTTTTGTTTAATACCAAGGTAGTGTTTATTTGTGGATCATACTATAGTAATTGAAACTCTTGAAAGGGAAAATATGCAAATAAAAGTTTTAATCTACTAAAGTGAACAAGAAACTGTAATTTCCGAGTAACACCTGTGTTACTTCAACATGGTAATTAATTAATTAGGTTTTATCTCCCGTACATAAGTAATATGTACGGTTTCCTAAAGGGTAAACCAGACTGTAAAAAAGGGTTAAACACTATTTTCTTCTTTTTTTTTTCTTTTTTTTTTCATATCTTTTTTGTTGTTGTTGTTGTTGTTGTTGTTGTTTTTTTTATTTTTTTATTTTTTTATTCAACAATTACACAGTTTACAGGAACGTTCATCTCCATTATAGAAATAATACATTGTGCAGTTTTCAACATTCCGGGTGTTTTAACATAAACAAAACATAAACAAAATACTCACATCATCACATTTTGCCAGGGGAAGTACGGATTTACAAAAAGATATCAAATTGTTTACATACATTCACAGTTTTTGTTGCTTTTTGATTAAGAGAATACTTAATCGTTTTGACATATTGCTTGACCTCATTGAAGCAATAAAAGATGTTTTGGAAATCTTTCTCAATTTTTTCTGCAATAAAATTACAAATATCAGACCAGAAACTTTGGACAAAAGGGCAGTACCAAAACAAATGGGTAACTGTTTCAATACTCATAGAGCAGAAAGTGCACATTACATCAATGTCTTTTAAAATTTTTTTTAACAATATGATCATTAGACGGGTAAAACTTATGAATGATAAATGATATTTCTCTAATTTTGTTGGTCAGCAAATATCGGTTGGGTAAGAGCCAGACCTTCTTCCAGTCAATGTTTTGCACAAATTTATTCCAGTATGGAACCAAATATGGGACTGTGATAATATCTGTTTTGAACAGGGATCTAATTAGTTTATTGTTCTTATTGTTACAAGAAAAACAAATCTTACCAACTGAAGTGTCAGTCAGCGATAACAAAGTTAGTTGTTGTGTGTCCAATCTTGGTTGAGCTCTATATAACATGCAAACACCAGAAGGAATTGCTCCAAAGACTTTGGCATAATCTCCAGGAGACACAGGAATTTTGTATTCTTCTAGAAACTCATTATAAGAGTAAAGACAACCATCCCTGTTAAATAATTGGTCAACAAAAATAATATTATTATTAAACCAGTAATCAATAAATAAAGATTTGTGTTAAAACAATATGTCTTTGTTGTTCCATATGTAATATTTGTTGGGTGAAAAGTTGTGTTTGAAAATAAGACCATGAACGGAAGGCCTGGCAAAAAGGGTTAAACCATAGGGTTAAACACGATTCATGATGATGGTGTGATGATGAGGTCATCATGCGTAAGGTAGCCGGTAGAGGGATCTCTCTCTCTCTCTCTCTCTCTCTCTCTCTCTCTCTCTCTCTCTCTCTCTCTCTCTCTCTCTCTCTCTCTCTCTCTCTCTCTCTCTCTCTCTCTCTCTCTCTCTCTCTCTCTCTCTCTCTCTCTCTCTCTCTCTCTCTCTCTCTCTCTCTTCCGGGCTTGTGTGTGGCGCTGTTCTCCTGACCGTCTCAGTAGGAAACATGGCGGCCGTCAGTAAGTACTTGACAGCGAAGAACTCCGCTGTAGCTGGCGGTGTCCTACTCGTTTTATACTTCCTAAAGCAGAGACGAAGATCCGCTGGACTTAACAGGTATGCAAAAACGCACATAAAGTGTCTAATGCATGAATTCAGATAATGACTGGAGTTCAGTGTCAGAGTGACCCCAGCAAATTTAGTCTACCGGTAGTTTAATGGCCATGTGTCAAAACCTAATATAACTGCGATGCTCCAAATGTGCTGTCTAGGCAGGCAGCTCTTTAGGTTTTAAGACGCAGCCTATATCATGACCTTAAATATTGAAATACAATCATTTAAATACAGATGAAGAAGTTTATTGAACATGATTATTAATTGTTGCAGTCTCACTGTCCAACAAAGGACTCTTTCATAAAGGACACTGTTCGTTGGACATGTTGCCACAGTCTGCATAAAAAAAACCCATCTACAGTAGTTTTTAGTGGTTGAAACAGTTAAAAATGATTCATGCTCAACCTTGAACTCACTTGATTTCTGAGTATTAGCATACTTTTCACCAAAAAAATAAACACTATATTTATATAGCGCTTCATATTCAATATGATTAGACCTAATCAACTACTATTGTTTACTGGTGCTATTATTATTTTTTGATCCATTTCATCATTCTCAACAGGAAGAAGGGTTCTCCCAATGATCTGAACAGTGAGGTGAGAGAACCGTATGTGTCTTTTACTGGGTTTGCTGCTGTAGTGTTCAAGGATAGTGACATTGATCAAATCTCTTATTCAGAGTTTTAATTGAGGTACTGAATGTCCTTGAACAGAACGGTCTGTACTTTTTTTCTGCAGTCTCTATTTTCACTATTCATATTTATTATTACTTAATAAGTGGTACTTTAGTTCAAGGTCCGGCTGTGTGAGACTATATTCCATGAGTTGCCTTTGACTTTCAACACTTGTTGTGCTTTAAAACCAACAGAAAGATGGCAAGAAAGAGAGAGCCGCTGTGGACAAGCTTTTTTTCATCCGGATTGCACGGATCCTCGGGATTATGGTGCCGAGATTGTTGTGTAAAGAGGTGAGAGTTGTAACCTACTTTGTGCCCATGTAATGGTAATGGCTTGACGACAGATGTTCAAATGTTGAAGTTTTCTCTTTTTTTGCTAATCAGAGGCAAGTGACATGCTTACAAAAAATCCATTTTAAATAAATGCTATTCTTTTGAACTGCCTATCAAAGTATCCTAAAGTAAAAATGTATCACGGTTTCCACAAAAATATTAAACAACTATTTACAACATCGATAATCATATGAAATGTTTTCTGAAGGATCATGTGACACTGAAGACTGGAGTAATGATGCTCAGTTCATTATTGTTGTTCACTTTATTTACTTATTGTGTGTGTGTGTGTGTGTGTGTGTGTGTGTGTGTGTGTGTGTGTGTGTGTGTGTGTGTGTGTGTGTGTGTGTGTGTGTCACAGACATGGTACCTGTTCCTGATCGCAGTGATGCTTGTGACTCGGACCTATTGCGACGTCTGGATGATTCAGAACGGCACTATGATTGAAAGGTACTGCGTGGATCTAGACTTCAAATTTGTTAGTGCTGTCAAATATATCACTATTTCACTTTGTGAAGACGCCAGGCACCCAGTTAAATATTGCTTTAATGTGATTTGATTGTTTTTTTGTTTGTTTTTTAAATCTTTGACAGTGGAATCATTAGCAGAGATATCAAATTGTTCAAGAGGCACTTTTATTCCTACCTGACTGTCATTCCTTGGGTAATTTACTGTATCTTCATGTGCTGTGAAAACTAATGTATTGTTACTGATGTGGTGGCATCATGTAATTTACATCACTGAACCTGTCCATTGTGTTTCCTCACATGCTCACTTTTCAGATCTCCTCTGGTCTACAAATGCAGTCATGAATGTGTGCTTCCTTAAAGAGAATTTGCATTCATTTTGTTTTTCATGCACATGAAGGAAAGAATGGCAGGATGTGTGTTGATTCCCTTCTGCATTAACTCTGACCATGTCTGCATGTGTTTGTGTGCACGTTGTTGTTTGCAGTGCGATCATTGGTCGATCCACTGAAGGTTTCAAGAAGTACTTATTCAACTTTATCACGGCCATGCCAATTGTAAGTTTCTGCTTTTTATCAGAGTCGGTAGTAATTGTTAATAGTCAGAGGAGTTCTGAGAATACTAACAGTCTAATCTATGAATTCAACACTAAAACTGCTTCCCAATAACAACCTTAATATGTACTTCCCGTTGACATCAGCACTTTTATGATGTTTGTTTAATATCAGTAAGAGAGCTGCATGCAAGAATTGTATGAGTTTGTTGGTATAGAAACATGGTGTAAATGTTTGCATTTCAATCATTCAGATTGCCTTGGTGAACAACTTCCTGAAGTTGGGCTTGAATGAACTGAAGCTGTGCTTTCGCGTGAGACTTACCAAACATCTCTACGATGAGTACCTGAAGTAAGACCCGTCACTGCAGTGACATTTTCCCCTATATGGACAAATTACCATACAATTTACAGAACGACTTTTTCGGTTCACACATGCAATGGCATTCTGTCTTTTCACCGGTAAGATACTATGTTCGTCTAGCTGCACATGTTTATAGAAAAACAATTAAAAGCAGTGGAACTTACCATAAATAGCTCAGACAGAGCTTTATGATTCCCTTAAAGCAAACTTCGTACGTCAGCATGTTCAGACCTCATAATCTTCACTCTTTGTTCACACACAGCATCATACCGGTAATGTTACAACTTCTCATACCGGGAAACTGTAACAACTGATTTACCGGCATTTTTGAAAAGGTCCTGTTGTTCATATATGATCTCTTTACAGTAATTTACCAATAAAGGCTGTAAAAGGCGCTAATGTTCCAACTTAAATATTCTTTACAAAAAGGAAAAACTGCATAATGCTATTTTCGCAAGCAGTGCGTTTTTATTATATTTGCTCATACTGGATTATGCGTTTGTTGTAATGTAAAAAATTGATGCATTGACATTAAAATTCTGTGTAAATATAAATTTTTGTGAAAAAATATTTATGTATTATTTAAAATAAGTATATAATGCTTTCATTTTGAGATTAATTTAACATTTTAGTCTTAAAACTATTAACTGACCACTATGTACAAAGGTAATGTAAACATATATAAAAAATACTTTAAACAAAAAATATTATAAGTAACTAAACTAATATCAGCCAATATAAGGACACCAGATTGTTGAGGAGAGTCAACTTTTACCTCACTGAGTGATAGGACTGATGATTATCTGAAGAAAATGTCAGAATCGAATTACTAATGTCACTATCTTTGGGTTCTTAGGGGATATACATACTACAAAATGGGAAACCTGGATAACCGCATTGCTAATGCTGATCAGCTGCTGACGCAGGATGTGGAAAGGTTCTGTAACAGTGTTGTGGAGCTTTACTCCAACCTCAGCAAGGTACAACACGCTTTTGTCTAAAATACCAGGTTTAATTTCCCATTAAGAGCAGATGTTTCTTTTATTTAGATGAACTGTGTTTGTAACGATTTTTTTTTTTACTTCCCCCACCCCTCTCCAGCCACTGTTGGATATCGGCTTGTACATATTCAAATTGACAACAGCAATCGGAGCTCAGGTGAGTTTAGGAAAGAAGATGTGAAATTCTTCTTTGGATAAATGCCACTGGATATTCTGAAGATCTGTTGGTCTCTTTGCACAGGGTCCCGCGTCTATGATGGCTTACCTACTCATCTCCGGCCTCTTCCTGACCCGTCTGCGCAGGCCGATCGGGAAGATGACAGTGACCGAACAGAAGTACGAAGGAGAATACCGATACGTCAACTCTCGTCTCATCACAAACAGGTGACCTTTCCTACTTGTATCTATCTAACAGTATAGATTTGTCTACCATAAATGTTTTTGCTCAAATTTTGATGCACACTTGTATTACAGTGAGGAGATTGCCTTCTACAATGGAAATGTCAGGGAGAAACAGACCATTCATTCAACCTTCAAGAAACTGGTGAGAATGTGACCATATGAATCTGAGCTGTAATAATCACGATTAATCGATTTGACAGCACTATATATGTATATTTTATTTATTTATTAATTAATTGTATTAATTATTATTTAATTAAAATATGAAGGCTATTGCGGCTTTGTTTCCAATCAAACTCTTTAGGATTTAGGAACACTTGAGAAATGAGAAACATTGTTTTACAGATTTTACAACATTACTAATGTTCATATTTTCATGATATGCATTTATGTTAACAGTACATGCATTTATGTTAATCGATTTGACAGCACTAATATATATATATATATATATATATATATATAGTATAGTGTGTGTGTGTACACATTATATACAGTATTTACAAACTTTTATGTTAGATGCGATTAATCGTGATTAATCGATTTGACAGCACTACTTATAACTAAAAGCAGATGTTTTAAATGATGCAAGTGAATTTAGGATTCACAACATTATAATGTACATTATGAAAAATCTTTTATTATACTCTTTTTGTTTACATTTAACAGTGTTATTACATTATTAGTGTTTTTTTTAGCATTTACCTTTGTGATCATGCAAAGGTAATCTGAATGTAAAAAATGAATTAATGAGCATCCACAATGAAATACATTTAATAATCTAATATCGACCTATAATCTGTACTGCATGGTTATTCTTGATATCTGAGTTTATTGGCTGAACTGTTTGTTTGCAGGTCGATCATCTGCACAATTTCATCTTTTTCCGTTTCTCCATGGGTATGGTGGACAGCATTATCGCCAAGTGTAAGAGGAAGTTTCATTATCTTGCCAAGATAACATATATATACATGATGAACATGGACCATAAAAGATGAAAGTTGTTCTCTCTTGTTCCAGATTTTGCGACCGTTGTTGGGTATTTAGTGGTGAGTCGTCCATTCCTTGATTTGTCTCACCCTCGACACCTGAGCAGCTCCCATGCTGAACTGCTGGAGGTAAAACTTCACTCCTGACATTGTGATTATTCCTACAGTAGTTTGTAGCCCTTGATTGCATTCACAATGCATGCTATTTCCGAGAAAAACTTCATATTTATTTGAAATAATGAGATACGGGGCTTGATTATCCATGTTCTCTTGCAGGACTACTACCAGAGTGGCCGTATGCTGCTGCGTATGTCGCAGGCGTTGGGCAGAATCGTCCTTGCAGGCAGAGAAATGACACGTCTGTCAGGGTAAAAGTTCACACATCCTCATCACGTTGCATCAGCATGTTTAATCAAGTTAATTGATTGCGCGGCATTTTAATTAAAAACATGACTTTGTGTGGTACAAGTACAGCACATTTGATGCTATAAAACGAGTTTGTCTTTCCCTTCAGCTTCACCGCTCGCATCACTGAGCTCATGAGGGTCCTGAAAGAGCTGAATTCTGGGAAATATGAACGCACCATGGTGTCTCATTCAGAGAAAGGTAAGCTTCTGAAACTGTCAAGCTCCAAAACAAACTTTAGAGAGATACGTAGTTGATTTTTAACTGTTTGTTCATGATTTTCATGAACAGACACTTCAGAAAAGCTCACACTGATCCCTGGAAGTGGAAGAATCATCAACGTAGACCATATCATCAAGTAAGAGCAGCTTCCCTCAGTCCTCTCAATTTCAGTGCTTCACCGTTAGGAGAACCAGCTATGATAAATTTAATATGCGATCTCTCATCAGGTTCGAACACACACCCCTGGCTACTCCTAATGGAGACATTCTGATCAGAGATCTGAGCTTTGAGGTGCGTTCCACTTGGTTATTACATGGTTTGATTTGATAGTTTAGACGATTTTTGTCAGTTAATGACTTTTCTCTCACAATTTTGACCTTGATATCTGTTCACCATTTATAAGTTCTAAGTTTTTCTGAATAGCAACTTTATTTTCTTATAATTTTACACCTCTTTACATTTCATAATTGTGACCTGTTTTTTTGCAATTGTGACTTTTTCATAATTGCTACTTAGATTTTCGCAATTGTGACTTTCACGAGAGGTTTAATTATCTCGCATTTGTAACTTTTTTCATAATTGCACCTTTAATTATCACTGCGTTTCATGATTTCAAATATATATTTTCTTGTAATTGCGCGTTTTTTTTATATATTGCAACTTTGTTTCTCGCAATGTGATTTCATCTCACATTTGCAACTTTTCTCGTAATTGCGACTTTTTCTTGTAATTGTCACTGTTTTTCATTATTTTCACAAGATGATTTCATATCTTACATTTGCAACTTTTATTGTAATTGCAACTTTAATTATAACCATGTCTTGCAATTGTGACTTTTTTGGAATTTCAACAGTTTCTTACATTTGCAACTTTTTTCATAATTGTGACTGTATATCTTGCTATTGCAACTTATTTGTAAACTTAATTTAACAATTACCTTGTTTACTTTTTTAGTCTGGTTGGAAACAGGCTTCCATCCCTGTCAGAGTGATGTTTGTACAGTGGTACAGTGCGTATATGTGTGTGCTCATCTCATTTTGTATTGCTCTTCAAAGGTGAAATCCGGAGCCAATGTTTTGGTGTGTGGTCCCAATGGGTGTGGAAAGAGTTCACTTTTCCGGGTTCTTGGAGAGGTGAGCACTTCTGTGGTACTCAGACTGGAATTCTGCCCTTGTTCTTGGCTCTCTGTGGAAACTCTTCTATTTTGTCTTCTAAATGTTGGGTTGTCTGTGTCTCTCCCTAGTTGTGGCCACTGTTCGGTGGGAGTTTGACGAAACCAGAGAGGGGGAAGCTCTTCTACGTCCCTCAGGTGAAAAAAACCCCTCCTTTCTCATAGCAGAACATCTGAATGGACCACAACAGCTGAATAACTTCCCTTTTTTGTCTGCTTTCAGAGGCCTTACATGACCCTTGGCACACTAAGGGATCAGGTGATCTACCCAGACACCCATGAGGACCAAAAGAAGAAAGGCATCTCTGACCAGGTACTGTAAACTAGTTTTACGATCTAAATTCCTGCAGCTCTAAAAAGTTTATATTGATCCATGTCTAGTTTTTAACATTTTCATTCCATCGTCCTGTTTTTTTGTGTGTTTTTTTTGGCAGGTGCTGAAGGAGTACCTGGATAATGTCCAGTTAGGACACATTTTGGAGAGAGAGGGATCATGGGACATGGTTCAGGACTGGATGGATGTGCTCAGTGGAGGAGAGAAGCAGAGAATGGCGGTAAACAAAGACATTTTCAACAAAGTCTGAGTTTGACTTACAGAAGTCAAAGGAACAATACTGATATTGTATACTGACTGTTTCACCTCATTAACATCCTGTTTTTGAACCACTGCACAAGAATTTGCGTTAAAGCCCAGATGTTTTACAATACTATTACACTACCACCCTTAGACTGAGCACATCCTGTCAGAATTACCTTACCGTAGTATTGAGGTAATAAATTAGAGATTCTACACTAATCTGAACACCTCCATTGACTCAGGACGTTTCTATTTATTTCGTTTCACATTGTAATTTAATTTTCCAATGCGTAGCCCCGCCCACACTGAAATCTAATTTGTCCGAAATTTGTACTAGTGTTTTTTTGGGGTTAGTAAATTAGATTTGTATGTTTATAAATGAAAATTTAGAGATGTTTTAAGGTTTATAAAATGATGTTTTTTCCATAGATGGCTAGGCTCTTCTACCATAAGCCCCAGTTTGCCATCCTGGATGAGTGCACCAGTGCCGTGAGCGTAGACGTGGAGGATTTCATCTACAGTCACTGCAGAAAGGTACCGGACATCGCATCACATCTGTGTTGAAGAGATTTCTCTATCCTAAAGAAATTTCCCCTTCATATTTCAGTACATTTTGCTGAAATGTCCCTGCTTGTGTGGTTTATTCTTTTTAATTGGCAGGTTGGCATCACCCTTTTCACAGTCTCACACAGAAAGTCCCTGTGGAAGCATCATGAGGTAAGATCAGTGGTGCTGCTCCATGATCAATATTTATTAACGTACACCATATGCTTAAAAGGTACTTCACGGCTGACAAAATGAGCTTTCAACACAACTTGGCTGTCAATTAAGTAGATAGGTGAACAAAATATTTTAGGTTGGTACTACCTTACTAGAGAAAACCGATAAAAAGGGCTGTTGTTTTCCCTCTTTGCTAAAATAGTTAGGAAAACTTCAACACCCATGATGCACTGGGCATGTTGCCATCCAAGGCCACTCAAATAGCGCCAAATAGTGCCTTGTTTGAGTAGGAAATACTTCTTAGTAAACTTTTAGTCACAATGCTGTCGACTTGTATTGTTCCCTGGTGCAAGTATTCAAAGAGTAAACATTGAGCGGGTGAGTTAGGATTCAATAAGGATACAAACTTCTGTGTTTGTAGTCTCATTTCAAACTGGATGACACTGTGTTTTAGGCCAACGGAGGGGGACTAACTGAAAGAAACTGCCATTTCATCAGTTAATTTGGAAGAGCACCGTTTCGTCCAAGAAAGAAAACTGTTGGCATAGTGTTCCACTTTTACCATAATGCTGTGGGTAGAGTAAAGTACGATACAATTTTCATTGATAACCCTAGTCTTACAATATCTGTTCTGTTAATAACCCTCCGTCGATCCGACTGCCTGTGGGTGGGGATACAAAAATGCTGAAGAATAATCTATAGTTTTCACGAAAGCCCTGAAGTGGGTTTTACGTCATCCGGCTGACTTTTTTGACAAATAAACATGAATTTCTCGTAAACATTGTTCATTTTCATATACTACCCACATTGTAACGATAAAAAGCGAGTTGAAGATTACCGAACTTACACTTTAAGCACAAATTGTCCTTTTTACTTTACAGCACTACCTCCATATGGACGGCAGAGGAAACTATGAATTCAAACTCATCACCCCTGAAACTGTGGAGTTTGGCTCTTAAAGAGGAGCGACAGCACTATACTATCAGCGGCCCTAGTTAGGGGCCCTAGCTATTTACTTCTGAAGGAGTCACATGCCAACCTAATCTAGGAGTTTGTTTTTAATCATCAATAACCTTTATGGGATGAAAATGTGTTTAGAAATGTATTAACACTACTTTTGTCCTCAACGATTGTACATAATTTTGTAATTTAAGCAGTCCAATTTAAAGGACATCCGTTAAGTACGCATGGGAACGTATAGCAAGGAAATACGTCTTGTGTCTGTGCACTAAATTGTTTAATAAATGAAATGTGTCTGTATAGGGTCAAACAAATCAATGCCAGCGGACTGAACCGAACGTTTAATATGTTAGAAGCAGGATAATGAACTATTATTGCCTTCTCATCAGCTAAACTTTCATTATGAATTCTTTAAGCTACTAAGTGGCCTTAGTGTTCACTGCAGCATGGTTGGGCGTTTTGGATGTGTGCGAGTTGCTTTTTGGTGCACTTTACCTGGCATGGTGATTTGAAAATGCAGGAATCCGTGTGAAGAACAACTGTTCGATGAGAGGTTACCTATGCACTTGTTTACGCCAGCTTTGTTGGCATTTCTTGATGTGAAAGGAATCTTTCTCTGCAGAACGGTTGTACGTAAGAACTGTAAGAAACGTCATTGTCGTAGCACTTCACGCATCAAGCAAATGAACCACTTTGCTGTATGTTTTCATTAAAAAAGATTGATACTATGAAGTCTGCCATTTTTTTTGGTCTTGAAGAAACGGTTGTAGATTGTGTTGATGATTTCGAGAGAGTGTCAATTCCGTTGAACTGGTTTATTGCACATTATGAGGCTGGTTACTTTAGGAAATCTTTGAAAAGACGAATGTTGACCTTTATATCAAATGTAAGTGAAAGGTCATTTAGATTAGACGTTCCTTTGACCTTTCACCCTCCACATGACAATGTATTTTACATAAAGTCACCTGTTCTTGGCCAAAGGTGGTAAAACACAAACTCGGACATCTTATTGGGCAAAAGTAATACTAAGTAATATTGTGCTGTTTGATATTTTAAACTACAATCCATCTTATTTTATTGATTTTAAAGTTTTTGTCTTTGGCATTATTATGTTTTTTAGTACCGTGGTATTACCATTTGGTACAAGCACTTTACCAAGACTGCAATGGTTTTGTAGCGTAGGCTGTGCATGACTTGCTATTCAGTGTATGTTAATGATTTATGAGATCTGCTGGATAGCTTCTACTGTAAACTCTAACCAGAGCCTTGCAAAACACATATCTGCTTGATATGATATGAAAGATTTGGTATATTACAAATGGATCACTAAACAGAGTTTCAGATTAACTGTGGTTGTCATAGTAACACTGAAGATTTTATTTCACAGAGAATTGTTTTGTAAAAAAATATATTTAAAAATGTATGTGACGTTGATTATTATAATTTCTTATGTATTTAAAATTACAATTAAAATAATATAGAAAAGTAGATATGATTCATTTTATAATAAATAAGTTTAATGATTTATTTTATTATTAAGCACTCTTGTTTGTAATTGTTAAGATTTATTATAAATATAATTTAACTGATTAAAGTATACAATAATTATTAACAAGAAAAAAAGTATTATTTTACATATATGACACACTGTTGTAAGTGTCGTAAAATGTTTAATGTTCTTATTTATTTAAAATTATAATTAGCATTAATAAAGAAAAATAAATGTTTATATGATTACAAATTTAATTTATAATACTACTAATAGTAGTTATTATGATTAAGCACTCTTGTTGTAACTAAAAAAAGATCATTATATTAAAAATAATTTGAAATAATATAAATAAAAATTACAGTTACAAATAATAATTTTTATTTTTAATTATTAGTATACACTTTTGGTAGCTGGTCTTATTAAAAAAATATCAATTTTATTACAATTAAAAATAACAACTCGTATTAAATTATTCTTATTACCAGGAACAATTAATATATTATAAGTAGTTTTACTAATATTGCTATTGTATTTCTAAGCACTTTTTTTCTGATAGCTGATAATGAAATGCTTACAGTGTAAACTGGTGAACATTGTCCTCTGCATCATGTGCTTCACTCTTTCATTCGGAACTCAATACAGGAAGCTTGTCATAGACCACATCTAGTTTCCCTTTAGGTGCAGAGACTAGAGTGTTAAGCTGTTTGTGGCTTGTCAGTGTCTGTGTCTCTTTACACTGTGACCGTTTCCAGGATCAGATCAGCCATCAGAAGGCATGAAATGGCGTGGTTGGCCTTCCTTCTTATCTCCTGCCTTCAGATATTCAGCCCATGTCAGGCGAATGAACAAGGTAGAGCATTTCTGATGTATTTTCTTCACGATCTATATGATTACACATTTTTTAAATGTCAGGAAGTGTAATCATATTCCTGGACACATAATTACTAGTGCAGACAAACCGGTTCAGTAAGAATGTTCCATGTGATCTAGCATGGAACGGATCTGTTGAATGTGCTTTGATATAAGTCTTATTTCTCTCCAGCTTTTCTAAGGTTTGTTGGGATTGGAGATTGGGGTGGACTTCCTTCGTACCCCTACTACACGCCACATGAGTTGGACACAGCGACCGAGCTGGGCAGAATTGCTGAGAGCTCAGGTCTGGATTTTGTCCTCAGTCTTGGAGATCATTTCTACTTCAGTGGGGTCAGGGATGTAGATGACACCCGCTTTAAGGTTTCCTCTCCTACATTTCTTTCTTAAAGTTGCCATGAAACGTAAGCTGTGATAGTCTTCCCTATTGTGATGTATATTTGTAGGGCTGGACTTGATTTTGTCTATTTGGAATTGATTGGATGGTTGTGGTTTGCTATTGGTCGATCTCATGTGAGTGACAGCTTGCCAGTAAACACATCATCAGAGAAGAGAATTGTTGTTGCTGCAAGAGGGAGAGGAAGTTATTTTGATTGAAGATTATAAGGGTACATGAGTTAAAAAATAGTGGTGTGCACGGATAAACTATTTATTATAAATACTGCAATACTCCTTAAAAAAAAACATGAATTGTCAATGTCACGGTGACTTTAAGTGCTTGTGAAATTGCACAAACCTTTTGAGGTATCCATCATGTAAAATACAAGGTTTCCTCAGGTTGACATGTATTTCAGGCAGTATAACTTCAAGGTTTGATGTCTGGTCTGGTGTTGATGATGTAACTAGGATGAGACAGACAGTGGGACCTTGTCCGGGGTACTTTAGTGTTTACACCATCAGGGCTGCGTTCCAGTCCACTTTTAGACACGCACTTGCAAACTTCCCAAAGCACTTCCCCTTGGGGGAATCCCTGCCGCCATTTTGAAGTGCGTTCCACTTCCACGAAGTGGACGAGGGAAGTTTATATGGACAGACCCTCGTTCCCTTGATTTTGACCGAGGGAGCGAGTCTACTTCACATGTACACTTCAGGCAGCTCCATATACCACAATGCAACACGATTATGACGTCACCGCAGATCTCATCTAATCACCAGCACCACAAACAACTCTGACATATTAATTCTATTTTTTTTTTTTTTTTTTTTTTTTTTAAACAACCCAGACACACCTATATACATTTGGATGCTTCATTAAAGGAGAACTCCGGCGCAAAATGAACCTTTGGTCTAATTACACATTGTTACCTAGTCAACCGTTATCTGAGATTTGTTTTCATGATTATCGAATGTAAATAGTTTTATCTCTAAAAACAGTTTAGCCTATAAAGCTAGTATAATGCTAGTATATTGGGCATAGTGTAATGACAAATAAAAATCGCTTGTTAATACCACTAACAAGGCTCAAAATAGCCCCACACTAACACGGTAGCATAATGAGGGTCCATACCTTCAAACCGAAGCATTGAGAACTTTGTCAGTGTCCAGACAGTTTAATAAGAAGATATTTTAAACATACAGTCAACTTCGCGTATACAGGCAGGAGCCATCTTTGAAATACAGTCTCTACCAGTCGATCTACGAACGCCGATCCAAGCCTGCTGTTCGCGCTCACCTTATCACAACTTATAGCTCGTTCACATCTCACCAGCGCACTTGGATCAGCGTTCGTAGATCGACTGGTAAAGGCTGTATTTCAAAGATGGCTCCTCCCTGTATACGCGAAGTTGACTGTATGTATTAAATATCTTCTTATTAAACTGTCTGGACACTGACAAAGTTCTCAATGCTTCGGTTTGAAGGTAGGGACCCTCATTATGCTACCGTGTTAGTGTGGGGCTATTTTGAGCCTTGTTAGTGGTATTAACAAGCGATTTTTATTTGTCATTGATCTATGCCCAATATACTAGCGTTATACTAGCTTTATAGGCTAAACTGTTTTTAGAGATAAAACTATTTACATTCGATAATCATGAAAACAAATCTCAGATAACGGTTGACTAGGTAACAATGTGTAATTAGACCAAAGGTTCATTTTGCGCCGGAGTTCTCCTTTAAACAAATTCTTAAAAGAAAAAAAATAATAATAATAAATCAACTCCATAGCTGATTCCAAGTGATCAAGGGCTTAGGACGTTCCAATAGGCTATATGCACGCATAAGTTCCGCATTTGACGCAAGGATGCTCTTCAGTTTCCGGTTGGGGAGATTTAAAGCGGAGGAAAACCGAGGAAAACGGGATTATGGCAGAGTCTTCAAAATTTACTGTCCTCTCGTCTTTGAAACGAAACTTTAATACGTTTAGATGTAATTTTATATATAGTTATGTTTATTTAATATAATAAACAAAGAAGCATAAACAAAATGAGGAGTGTCTGTTTTGTCTGTTTTTGTGACTAACGTTTCTTTAGTATAGCAATAGAGTATAAAAACCAATATAAATTCTCGGTATAGCATTGGACTCTACGATCGGCGGAAGTAATCCAGCATCCTTAGACCTTCACCGGAAATACCGCCGTGCATAGAGCCCATTCAGCCCATTTCAGTTTCCGCCAGTAGTGGGCACTCGTGCGACTTAAGCAATGACGTACATCCGAGTGAACGGGAAGTTAGCGAGTGAAGGGCATGACAATTTTGGACTGGAACGCAAAGGGGTAATCCATCAGCCGGAAGTTGAAGCCTCGCGGGAGCCGCCATTGTAGCAGACCATCACCTGCTGTTAGCATCCCATTGACTCCCATTCATTTTGGCGTCACTTTGACAGCGAATAACTTTACATCTGAGGCGTCCAAAGACTCCATTTGTCCATTATTTATTTCTAAAGAAACACGACAATGTATAAAATGTTCCATTACTTTGTATCTTACGTTATAGCCCCGTAGAAGCCGTTTTTTTTTAAAATAGGCTAAAGATTGCGTCATAACCACGGGACTTTCTGTCGCACAATAGAGACATTACCGTATAGACAGGAGGAGAAGCTCGCAGGCAATCTTTAACTGTCTATGAGGCAATCAGGAGTACATGGAGGCACAAAGTCAAGGTAGAAGCCCATAAATAGAGAGTCTATAAAAGCAATGGGACAAAATATTTCAACAACGTTTTTGAGGAATTAGGTGATTCAGATTTATCTTGGCACAGCTACTATAAGATTTTCAACTGCCAGACTGTCGTCACGCTCAGTTTGAGCCTGCGCAGTCGCTCAGACATCAGACAGGAAGTGCAATAATCGGGCTTCAAGTCTTCTCCGTTGAAATCAATGGGGTCGCTCTGTCCATTTCTTTTACTGTCTATGCTGGAACGCAGCCCTGGACATGTGATATAGTTTGTGTGAAAGACAAATAGGTCCCTCTAGTGGTAGAGGAACAGAACACACTCAAGCTTTTGCCTTCTTTACCGTAGTTTGTGAATAGTAATAATATAGTTTTACCACAAATAAAACTGGATGGCTCCTTGTCACCCTATTTAGATAGATGCAACTACGGTCATTGTTATTAGTAGCCTAAACACATTTAGAAACTATAAAATAAAATAAATAAAAATATTACAAAAAAGTGCCACGGTACAGTGAGGTTTCAGATGGTTATGCCATTGTCCATTGATATATTCTGTAATATAGGACTGAATGATACCATATGAATGAACCATGGTGTTTTATTTTATGGTATTTTATTTGGTTTACTGGTTGCATTTGTATTAGGACCAAAGTAAGTACAAGTAAAACTGGTTGGCTCCCCATCACCATATTTACATCAGTGTAAATAAAGTAATTGTTAATTGAAGCCTAAACAAATTTAAAAACTCTAAAATAGAATAAAATAATAAAATAAAAGTGCCATGGTACAGTGAGGTTCCAGATGGTAATACTATAGTGCTTTCATATATTCTCTACCATGGTACTGAGTCATACCATATGCACAAACCATTTACATCTCTTAAAAAATTACTTACTTTTACTTAAATAGCTAAATGTACTTTTATAAATAAACATTAACTTTTATTAATAATGATTACTTTTATTTATTTACAATATTTAATATTTTAAAATGTTTAAAGTTATTTCAATATATATATATATATATAAATACTTTAGATTTATATATGCAATTACCAGTATATATAAAATGTGTGTGTGTGTGTGTATATATATATATATATATACATACACACACAGACATTTAAATATATATATATATATAATTTAATATTTGTAATGGAAAATATATGTTTTTTAAATGATGTTCTAATGAGGCTCTAATAAATTCTTCAGTCTACCTATGAGAGTGTGTTCTCTCATCCCGCGCTGATGGACGTGCCATGGTACCTGGTAGCAGGAAATCACGATCACCGTGGAAACGTGTCAGCCCAGATCGCCTACTCAAACAGATCTGAAAGATGGTGAGTCAGAGGTCAAAGGTCAGAATCTGTGCATTAAAGAATGTAAACATGAGCACTCGTGACCACAGTGAGCTGCTGTTAATGTTTGGCAGGATCTACCCAGACCTCTATTATGAGCTGAACTTCAAGGTTCCTCACAGCAACACGTCCATCACAGTCCTGATGATCGACACAGTGGTTTTGTGTGGCAACACGTATGACGGGCTTGAGCCCGTGGGTCCCGAGGACTACGTTGCTGCTAGCCAACAGCTAAAGTGGATCGAGCAGAAACTTCAAAATACCAAGTGAGATATTAGTACAACGACAGTAGTTAATTAACACACAAATGCAAACACTTGCACAAGCGGCCCGATATCTAATATAGGTGAACAAACAACACTGAAATCCAGTGTTTTGTTTTTTTACTGAGCAAACATTAGTCCTGTAACAGGAATTTTAGGGCATGTTTTAAAGGCCCTGACCTGTCACACTCCTTTCACTCCTCCATTGTCACATTCCTTCACTTATTCTCTCTCACTCTTTCACCGCCTCAGATCCACCCTCACATTCTCTGAAATCCCAGATAGGACCTGGAAAACACTCCTGGCATTCTTTTCTAAATATATGACTAAGTCTTTAAGACGAAGTTCACCCAAGAAGTAATTCTGTCATTATTGTCAACATAAATGCTGTTATGTTTTGTGTGGAACACAAAGAAGAAACGTTTAACCCTATAAAGGCTACTGTATCATAGTTCATACATGAATTTCTAAGGCCTCTAAATTATCAATACGATCAAAACTGAAAAATACAATATTCTATATGTGTTCTGTCATCTGTGTTTGGGAGTTTATACTTTTTTGCAACCAAAAGGCCTTTTAGTACTTTAGTAAAACATTGATCATGAAAGAACATGAAAGATCATACTAAAATGTGTCAAAAATACATCAGGTTTTTGATGAATATTCATTTGTACATCTCTCAATCTTGCATTGCATTTTGTATTTTGCCCCCATAATCAAAACTACAGAGCTTTGATCATAAATAAGCAGTTAAATATCATCTTATTAACACATATTATTGGGAGATATAGAGTGACAACTGATAGTAATATGCATTTTATGTAGTCAGTTACACCATGGAGCCCCTAAAGAGAAATAATAATGAAGGGGAAAAAATTGAGTTCTGAGGAAAAATAATATGTTCTCTCGCAAATGTGTTGCGTTCCTCTGAGAAACTTAGCGTTCATTAACATTTTATTAACATCTTAACATTTTGAGTTCTTTGCGAGCGAACGCAAAGTTTCTCAGGGGGACGCAAAAGTTTTGAAATATATATTTTTTCCTCCATCTCTTATTTTTTCCTCCACCATGTCCCTTTAGATGCTCTGTATTTATACTGTTATGAATATAATAATCTTACTGATTTTTATTTCAAGCTATCAGAATTTCTTCTTACTTTTTGGCCATATAAATAAAATCTATACTGCATATTTTTGCTCAGAATAAAATGTAAAAATATTGATACTCTCACAGTCATACTATAGGCCTATGGGCCATAAAAGCCTGATGTATAAAATATGATATGGAAACTTCTTTTTTTTCCATTTAAAAAAAAATATTTTTTCTGACCATTATTTCATATTTCAGGCTTTACATGGTTAAATAATCTTACAGCTCTGACTTTTCCATACAAGGACAGTTTATAGTACTAATAAATGTGCATCAAACCTTTTTTAATTGCCCAGTTTTATGAATTGAAAACACAATTCTTACGAGTGAATACCTGTTAACTGATCTTGAAAAAGGACGAAAGGTTAAGGATTGTGTTTAATGTACAAACTGTTAGCAGCCAGATAAACCTAAAGTCAAGCCGCACATGCCCTCACACGTGCAGGGGGGAAAATACAGTCAAAATCCCACCGAGAATAAAAGCGGCATGCGCATGCAAACACTCACAGCTGTTTTCCACATCAGAAAGTCAAACAAAGTTGATATTCATCAAATGCTTTTATAATAAATGCATCTTTTGCTTTCTAATCCTCAGGTCAGATTTTGTCATTGTGGCCGGTCACTATCCAGTCTGGTCTATTGGCCATCATGGGCCGACTAAGTGCCTGGTATCGAAACTCAGGCCCCTTCTGAAGAAGTACAGAGTCTCTTTATATCTGTGTGGTCATGACCACAGTCTACAGGTCGGTATCTTGAACATCGCATTATCGTGTAACAGGAAATTAAGCAGCTTTTTAATAAAACATTGTATTAAGCAAATGTATTGAAGTGACTTCCATACGTTATGGCTGTTACTGTATTGACCAATCAGCATTATGCAATGGAACTATAAATATGTTCTAAAAAGTATTTCTGTTTCACCAGTTTATCAGAGAAGACGATGGAAGTTCGTATGTTGTCAGCGGAACTGGGGTTGAAGAGGATATTTACACCGGCCACAAGAACAGCTTCCCGTCCTCTTGGCAACTTTTCTCCAACATGGTGAATCAGACGACAGGCGCATTTGTGTACTTTGAGGTCGGTACGAATGAGATGCTGATAAGTTACATCCAGCCAGACGGGAAGTGTGTGTACCAGACATCCGTCCCTAAGCGCAAAGTCCAACTTTGACATCATTATTTGTCCTAGTCTGCTTTTAATAAACACAACAGTCACTTTGGCGAAAGTCCTTTTTTAATTGCACTAATAATTCTGTTGTATATTTAATTTTATATAAACTGTTGTTTTTAGTTAAATTCCTGTTTAGTTTGCGGTGAACAAAATAAAACATTTACATTTCATAAAAAGTGATTTGCTTAGATTATTGCAAAAATACTTCTTTTTTTTACGTGTATGCGCAAAATCATATTTTATCAGAGTTTCGAATGCAAGTTTGCAGTCTGTATTGAATGTTATGCAAAAGAAACTTGGCAAGAAACTTTTTAACGAGTTGTCCTATCAGGTTGTACATACAATGCAACCAATGTTGTCTGATTCTAGCGAATAATTCGAGCCAATTGGGTTTCAAAAACATGCAGCACAACCAGTGTAGTCTGATTAATGACTCTTATGAACTGGTTCTTTTTAATAAAAAAATAAAAAAACATACAACAAGTGTAGTATGATTTCAGAAGGAATAAGTTTCCAGTTTGAATCAGTCTGATGAATCCTTTACTGAACTGAATCGATCAGAGCTGTGACTGAATGAACTCCTGACTCACTTACTGAAATGTAAAATATATATATTTGTAATTATTTTAAATAATTCAACTTAAATATGTGTTCGATTCGATACATATCACGATACGATATTATTGCGATACTCCAAGACATATGATAAAAGGTAAACAAACAATGTACTGTTGTTTAAAATGCTAAATTTCTATATTACATTGTGTGTGTAAATGAATAGGCTTGGACTTGGTGCTGGTAACCCAATGCACCAGACAACGGTGAAACCAGAATAAAAATATTCATGATTTTGAAGCTGAAAATACAGAATTATTTTAGACGAATATGCTTGTACTCTGTCCCCGACTAGATATAATTAAAATAATGTAGGCCACTTTTTACTAGTAACATAAGACATTTGGCATTATCAGGAGGACCCAAAAATATTCCCAGATTGCATTATTATACATTATATATAGTAGTTTAATGTAGTACTGACACAAAAACTCTGAAAACTTGAATTTTTTCTCACACAGTCATTTTTATTTTGGGTGAATTATACACAATACATAGTCACTATCAACGATACATATTGTTGCATTTTTGTATTGCGATATATTGTGACACGATATATTGTTACACCCCTAATATATATATATATATATATATATATATATATATATAACAACTTGGACCTGTAAATATCTAACAGTTGATTCACATTTAATGTAACTCTACTAACTTACAATTGGGGGCGCCATTGAGCTATTTAACATCTGTATATCTGAGTTTGATCTTTCTAACCGAACGTGCCTATATAAGGCATAATATTTAACATGTTATATATAAGAAGTTCTTAGAAAATATAAAGGCAAAGATCTAAATGCTGATTAGTCCACGTGTGTATTTTTGTATATTTATTTGTGTGTTTTTAAATCCACATCAGTACCATTTTTACTGGATTCACAGGTCTGAAGTATAATCATAAAGTTTATGCACCAAAATGGCAACAATACACCAGATATAACATCATTTTTTGATTAATGGTTAGCCATGTACAGTTGCAATGTGATAAAACTTAAATTAAAAGAGCGTTTCACTCTTACAACAAAAATACTTTAAAAAACGAATACAGTTTACAATATTAGCTAAAAAAAATAAATTAGTTCTTTCATTCCATAAAATATTATCTGATTTTGATTCTCCCAAGTGCGTACAAAAAACCTCTCTTAAATCGTACAGTATTTCCATTTGTTAGCAAGTAGATGAAAGAGGCAGTGCTTATAAAAATGTTTATACAGTACACTTCAGTGCCAGACTAAAGAACCCGCCACCTGACAATATAAAGGTCTTGTCTTGCTAAATTATATGTCTAACATATCTGCATTTTGAGGTTTCACAGAAACACTATTTTTTTTTATAGAAAAACGGCACACCATCCTCCCTTCATAAGGGAGAGTCTAATTTAGACGTACCAAAAAGAGCATCCGCATTCCTCACACACCGTTCAATGGTAATCCCTCTTTTCCTGTGTTTTTCGGTTGCTTTCGTCGCCTGCAGCACATCACGATGACAATAATGATTGTTGTCATTGCCAGAATGATAATAAAAATGGCTCCGACGATGACACCTATGCCGTACTCTGCAAAAACATTACATCATCATCGTCATTATGGTCACAAACACTCGATTCAATGAGTTTAATTGGACACCACAGGAATTTTGCAGTTCTATTGGTCCCTAGACGCTGATATGATTCATTGACACGTTACTATCATAATCCGCCCAACAGACACATTTCTTATCAATTATGGGTTGCATTAAATGTCTCAGCGCTGTGAATCACACATTCATAGAGTCCATATAATCCTCTGATATGATACTATATCAGCTATCCAGGCACTTCATAAATGGATGCGTTTCAGCGAGAGTCCAGATCAGGGGAGTGAGTCTATTTTGGGAAAATGATTCATTCCCTATCGGACAAAATTCCCAACGTTTGCTTTTCCTTGCGATTGTTGTGCTGAAAATCCCTGACAGACCACTTTAAAGTCTTGTTATTTAAAGAGTGAAAGCATTACCTTCAAAGAATGATGCGTCATCTTCTGGAGAGCACTGGATGTGGCTGAGCTGCCCGTGTTGTTTGTCCAGAGCGCGGGAGGGGAGGTAGACCTGAATGTTGAAACAGTAACTCACTCCTTGGTCCAAATCCGTCAGCTCAATGGTGCTGCTTTTACTGGTCATCTCTTTCTGAAGAGGCAAACACATAAAATGATGTATAATACGTATAATGTTTCATATAGGTAACACTTTATTTTACAGTGGACACCTTAAAATAAAGTGTAATAAGGTCCCATTCCTTAAGGTTTTAACAAAAAGCAATACATATGCTACAGTATTTATTAACCTTTGTTAACGTTAGTTAATACGATCATTGTAACTTCATGTTAACTCATGTAGAACTCATGTAATGTTAACAAATTAAAAAGTGTTTGAAATAAGGCTGCATTCATTTGATATGCAAGATAGAGTAAAAGAATAATACTGTGAAATATTAGTTTTATTTTAAAATAACAGTTTTCTATTTTAAAATGTCATTTATTCCTGTGATGCAAAGCTAAATTTCCAGCATCATTACTCCAGTCTTCAGTGTCACATGATCCTTCAGAAATCATTATAATATGATGATTTGCTGCTCCAGAAACATTTATTATTATCAAGTTGAAAACAGTTGTGCTGTTGCTTATTTTTTGTGGAAATCATGATACGTTTTTTTCCCCCCGGATTATTTGATGAAATCGAGAAAAATATGTATTTAAGAAATCTTTTGTAACATTTGTCTTTACCTTCAGTTTTGATCAATTTAGTGCATCTTAGCGGAATAAAAGGATCTAAAAATCTTACTGACATAAAACTTTTGAAGAGTAGTATAGATTATTTGGCAGAAACTATAGTTATATATATTAACTATAGTATATTTTTGTAGCTGGCATGTCTATATTGTGCACTGTGATATCATGGTGAGTAAAATATATATTTTTTAATAATTGTCAGATTTATATATATATTTGTGGAGGAAGCTTTTAGTCTCTAACTGAAAAAAAAAGTGGATGGTTCATTTTCATTTAATATCTAATGATTTAATAAATGCAAGGTGCTAAAACGGTTAAATGACTTTGTGTTTATTATTTAGTTAACAGGGTATAAATCCGGATTGTAATTTACAAAGTGGCAAAAGCGCTCAGAAAAGAAAGAATGATGAAAGATAATACATTTTACAGACAACACTAACCTTTCCTGTGCTCTTGGCTTTCCTGTAGATAACCTTATAAAGCAGGTCGTCCCCAAAAACATCCCGAATGTTCAGTCTCTCATTAAGATTATTAAAGAGAGCTGTGGGGACATCCGTTACAAGCAGTGTCGTCTTCCTCTCGTCATTGTTTACTTCTATTTTAAACTCTGGTCTGCCAATGCCAGCTGAAAGACAATCAAAGCAGAAGATCTTTGTAATGGTTCGAAATCTTCATGTCATTAAATAGAGTGTAAAGTTGGTTGTTGAGAATACTGACTGTCATAATAAGGGGAGAATCTCTCAGAAGTGACATGAGGGAACTCAACCAAATCCAAGGAGACGCCCCGCATGGGTTCAGACAGGATGTCGGCTTTGTAACTGGCCTTTAGGTTTTTTAATTCTGCAGTCAGGTCGCATTCAGTTTCCATAGTCCTGATACAGTGTGGCGTCCGTTGTCTGTCCTGGCTCGGTCTACAAACATTTACACAGACATTAAGAATGTAAATACAACTTTTGGAAATAATAAATTACATTACATGAGAATCGGTGACAGGTTGGTGCCTGCTGTAACAAGTCATGGGTGTGGAACTATGCTAGAGTTGCCAAATCTAAACATTCGGGAGCGTTTTTTTTTTTTGTTCATAAAGGTTTTTATGGGTTACACATTAATAAAAGATTGCCTAAAATTGAAATTGTAAGTTTAATCGCTGCCCTAAAAAATTGGTTCGAAAGTTACAACCTGCAGAGTTAAATCCAATTCACTTTTTTGTCCACTTTTGATTAAATTAGTGGTGAACATTGATAGAAAATTGAGTATAAATGGCAGAAATTATTTTGACATGTTAAATAGATGGTAACAAATTAGAAACTCTATAATATACACTTATAATGCCCATACACTTTTATTGGTTTATGGCCATGCTGAGATTACACAGTGAGAAACCTTTTGAGATAATCAATGAATTATGACTTGATTGGTCAGAATCAATATGATCCAAGTAATATTAGATAGGCCTAACTGCAATACATATGTGTACATTTCACTTTCATATTAAACTTGGGGAGACTAAAAGATTTAGACCATTTTCTCTTTTGTGTTCTGACTATATCTTTTGATGTGATGTACTAAATTACATTTTTAAATTAAACCCGGTTTTGCTAATTCCTGCGCATTTTTGATAGCTATAATACTGCATTCAGAACAATGACTGTGTAATAATAAACAACCTGACTACGAACTGTATTGTAATAAAACATGACTTACTCTGAAAATTCAACAGTGTAGGAATAATTCGTTGGTTTTGGACTCCATGTTAACATGGATTTAAAATTAAAAGAGGACCAGGCTACTCTCTGTGCTTTTGGAAAGATGTCTATAAAAAGAGCAAAGCAAATGAATCAATTAGATTGTTTTAAATGACACAATAACTAAAGTAAAACGATAGAAATTGTTTAAAATAGCAGTTAACAAACTGAATAACATTTCATTTCACTGAATTCAATCGTTGTCACAGGTAAGAGACTCACCTGAGGCGTAAGCCTTCGTGAAAAATGAAACCAGGACCAATACAAGCATGCGAAATTTCATTTGCCTGTTGCTTTCCATGTTGTCCCAAGGTGACAGTACTAATCCAACTACAGTACGTAGACCAAATAAAACTCCTTTAACCAGGTAGGATAAAAAATATGATAGTGTATCCTGCTCCCAAGTGGTTTATAAAGTCCTCCTGATTGTGTGTGAGCGCAACAAACCTAGTCAGACCAGTTGGGATCCGAGTGAGACTAATTAAGCCCCGCCCTCTAGAACAAGTGGGTCTGTCCACTTATGCATTTGACCATTTATGGATTTCCGCATTGACATAGTTGCCTATTACACAAAATGACATAAGAGCATTGGCGTTTAAATAACGCGCGTTTGAAAGGAAATGAATATATTACTAAATGATAAAATAATATGTATTTCTTTGTTTTTAATTCATTTATTTAATGTACTGTATTAGTTTAGTTTATTAATTACCTATGTAGTTGCTTTGAAATTAACCCCTACAGAGAAACAATTTAATAATTGTTCACTGATATTGAATTAATATAATATTTTTATCCTGACCCAAAGTGCAATAAATCATATTTATAGTGACTGGAAAACTGGGGATAGTTGTCACACTATATACACTTTATACTTTATAGTGATTTATTTATTTATTTCAGATTTGGTTTATTTTTGAAAGTCAATTTCGAAAGTCAATTTCAAATTGTTGTAAATAAGTAATGAAAATTTCCAAAAGTTGATCTTTTGAACTGACCAGTATAGGCTCATTTGATGTGTTTAGTCACTCTTTACACATATGTGCACTGAAAAATAATGCAAGAAAAAATAGATGTCTCAAAAATCTAAAATGTGCAAAAAGTCAACTTATGTAACTTATATCTCCCTTTTTATTATTATTATTATTGCCGAATTTATACATGCATACAAGATCAGGGGAATGAAGCATGCTTGTACCGTTTCTCTTACAATGAACAATCATAATGACAAAAAAAAGACAGCATAAATATTATGGAAAACATAAAGGAGACTTTTTTGAATTTCCTTTCCTTATATCTCCCTATCAGAAAACAGCCCCCCCGATTACAGCATCAGCTTTTCTGCAAGTTATGTAAAAACAACAATCATATAGGCAAACCATTTCAAATGTTACATCTGAGAGCAACACAACATCATATCTCATTAAAAAGAAATCTGATTTCATAAATAAATTAGTTTCGCAAAAAAAAAAAAACAGTTTTGAGATTATTGTATTTGAATGACAAATGTCATTTGAAGCATAATTTGAAGTGACAACACAAACGAGACTCCATGATGTAATCATGCATTGTGACACGTAAATGGCTTTCAACTAATTATGGACATAAGCCCCTCCGATGACCACCATGAATACACAAGAAAATTACTCATGACATGCTAATGATTTGGTATTCCGGGAAGTATGACTTCATTTCTGTCCCGGTTTCAATTGGTATGTGACGCTGGCACCTCTAAAGTGCTGAATGCCAGCAGGGATCTTTTTGCCCATTCAGATCCTTATGCTAATGAGCAGCTTAGCCCACTCTCGCGTGTGGCTTTGCATGTTAAAACGCTCACAGGACTCAGCGCTTCCAGAGAAACTCACCCAAAACCACTAAGAGACTGCAGATGAGACTGGAAAATGCAGGTTTTCTTGTAAGCGTCATCATACTTTCCTGTTTGATAATATTTTTAGACAGTTTTCTGTCACCCTTTTCAAGTGTGCAGGGAAATTCAATGCCTAAACATGAACTTAATAAATTAATTTAAACAATAAAGTCGTTAATTAACATCCTTAAGCTGAGTGGCGGATGTTTTGCATGTTTAACATTGAAAGTTACAATGAAACCAAAACTGACAATTCATTTTTTTATCAGTGCACATCTTTTTTTTTATTCATGTGCCCTCATGATCTTTAATTAAAATAACTTCCCCTCTCTCTCTTGTAGCGACATCTCTTCTCTTCTCTGATGACGTGTTTACTGCCACGTGGGCGGGGCAAGCTGTCACTCACATGAGATCGACCAATAGCAAACCACAACCATCCAATCAATTCACCTTTGGCTAAGCCCCGCCCCCCTTAGTTACTGTTGCTACGTCCGACAAACAAACTTCATCTGGGCTCTGGTATCAACATGGCTTATGCTGTGACAGCTCTTCCTGCTGAAATTTTATCAAACTTTTATAAAGCAGCAAATAAAGTGTCCGATAGAAGTAGGCAAAAGGGTCTGTAATTTACGTTCGAAGGCTATATTCACGACATACAGGTGAAACGCAAGGAACAACAAAGCATCCAAATAGAGGCAAAAGCATACCGGTCACAGTCAAAAAATGAACCACCGCATATCCTATTAATCGAGACGGAGGCTGGGACTAACAATATCAAGGAGCAACACTGTTCATGCAAGCTGGGTAGGTCTCTATTCACTTCTATAATCGTTATTACAAAGCAAACGGACTACGCGAGTATAACGTTGTATTTATTAGCAGCGTGAGCTACACTTGTCAGGATTTGACTTCGGTTTGGGAAGGGAAAAAAACGGACACCCCCCTACAACCTCTCTGGGAAACGCGTATCTGTGTTACAAATGCCCCAGGCACAACGTTTAACCATATTTTTCATAAAATTACGACGGTAATAGCCTGCCGAGACCAAAAATATGAGACGCCTGTGTTAAAGTCAATGGAGCGCTGTGAAAAAGTGTCGGACCTCTGTGGGAGCTGCGCTGTGATTGGTCAATCTACATTCTAGGGTGTGGCTTAGCCAAAGGCGAATTCCCTGTGCACAAAATCAAATCCCGCCCTAAATTTTTTCTCATTACAGAAGCCGTTTTACTCAGATATATGTCACAAGAAAGGGCTATAGAGCTGGTAAGTCCCACCCCTTCCGCTTACCCCGCTGGACCTCTAGGTTGAAAAATCGTCAATGCAAGTGAATGAGAGAAAATAATTATTTTCTAATCCCGTTTGAATTTTGCAATGAATGAGAACATATGTTGTCTGTGAATTTTTTATATTATTTTTCGTGTAAAGAATGCTACAATTTAGCGGGTAGAATTTTCATACGGTTAGACTTTGTGTGAGAGCACTTTGTGGACTACAACTCTTCTGCTTTCGACGCGTTTGATATACGTCACCACCACTAGCACACGGATCCCGCTAAACATGCCTTTGTTTGAATGGTGACATTTGGGTACAAAACACACAGGCATCTCGATCTAATTCCTTAGATTATCGCACCGTGATTTGTGGAGGGAAAATGTGTTATGCAGTGACGTCACATATGCGACGTGTAGTCTTTCTCGTTATGTCTATTCCACAACTGCTAGCCAAAGAATCATACAATATACTGTCAAACTCGTTACATGAGAAATTATATAAAAAAAATTCACAGACAACATATGTTCACATTCATGGCACAATTCAAACGGGATCAGAAAATAATTATTTTCTCTCATTCACTTGCATTGACGCTTTTTCAACCTAGAGGTCCACTTGGAGTTTTACGGATGGGCGGGACTTACCAGCTCTATTGCAACTTCTGTTTAATGCCGACTTTAAAGGCCCACTGAAGTGCCTTGAAACGCGCAGCATTATTCAATGTGTTGACGTAATTTCCACTGAAACAGGAAGCAGGGCGGGACATATTGAACAGCTCCGCCCCTTTTAAAAACATGGCCAATAGCGTTTCGTTAATATCAGCTCGGCCAGAGCCGCTGAGCTCAAAGACTCAGTTTCCTCCTAATATCTAACCATTTCTCCTCCTAATCTCCTTCATATCGCTTTGAAATATACATTCTGTGCAGAATTCAAATAGGTTCGATACGCATTGTGTGGTCAGCGCTGACTCGTGCATATGATCCGCTCTGTGCTATCAGTCCACGTGACACTAACATGAAACCAGACTTTATTCGCCCCAATAGAAAGTCTATTTACAGTGTCTGAATCGCTCCTTATTCACTATACAGTGCACTATGTGCCATGTAGAAAATAGTAAATATGTGAACAAGTGACCGATTTTAGCCGCAGCTTTATTTGGTGGCGGGACACTAGATTCTAGAGAGCATTTGATTGGACAGAAGTGAGAGACTGTAAGGTTTGAATGCTTATATCTTCTAAATGTGAATTTTGTCATTGTTTTGGAGCACACTAGCTTATAGATAACAGTAAGGCTAACATATTTATACTAAAATAACCAAAAAACTTCAACTGTTTTGATTTCATGGGGACTTTAAGGTTATGGGTTTGTTCAAAGTATGCAGAACTAATAATAATACATTTTTAAAGTCTATAGATTATTTATGTAATGGGAAATGGAACAAACAGTCGACTTCTCCAAATGTCCAGTATTAAAATAAATGAGTTTTAGATAAACAGAAAACAGAAATGTGATTATCACACATGTAGTCCTTGTGCGAATGAATCCATCATCCATTTTTGTTGTACAATAAAAAAGGATCCTCTGCAGTAACCATTTCTCCTCCGGGGGTTTTCTGACCTCTCTGATTAACCAGATCATCTCAAATGTCCTGGAGAAACCTAAGAGAGGACGTGAGGTCTGAAACAATAGGAAGAGATTGTTTGGCTGAACTCATTTACACTCTGTAAAAACCCACACACACCGCTTAAGAAAACATTCAAGCCTATACTGTAAAAATGATTGGTTTAGGAAAACATCTATAAAGAAACATTAACAAAAAAATGCTTTAGTTTGTTTGACCTTTCCAGAGATAGAGATACAGGAAGTGACATATTAACCTTTCTGCAAGTCCTTACTTTTAAAGGCTGCTACATAAAACTGGGAAAAGGACAACAAATGAATTATTATTAATATTAATAACCTAAATTATTAGTTTCTATGATAAAATACTAAAAACTCAAATCAATTATTTTGTGAAGTGAATTTAGGCATCAAAACAATGGAAATAATGAAAAATACATGTTTTGAAGATGATCAATTTGTATTAAAATTAATACTTATGACTGCATCTTAATATGAAATTAGGGAGAATGAGCACCAATTAAATATATGAAATATATGGGAAGGGTGATATTTATAACGACTTTATATTGTCTCCTCAGATCTTGAAGAACCATCTTTGTATGAAAATTTGTAAAATAACACCATACAGGTTTGGAACAACATGATTCGTGGACAATGATACAACATGAGTAAATGATGACTTGCGTATTTT